GTATTGTGGAATTAGAAAATGGGTGCGGCTGCTGATGGCAAGTTTGTGACAATGATGTTGACTCTCTGACCATTTTGGTCAAGCCTAAACAATTTAGCTATTCTGGTGTTGTTATATGGATCTGAAGGTGGACAGTGAAAGTCCTTCACCATCTGATATCCTTCTGTTTCTTTTAAAAAACTAATAAATTCCTTAAAAAGGGGTAGAGTGATGTATACAGCTAAATGATTGATTTTAACAGCTCTCTGCTTTGCTTGAATCATATTTAAAGCAGATGAGCCAGATACCACAGCACCTGTGGTTTTTAGTAACCCAATGAAGCATTGGATGTTCTTCATGTAGTGCACAAATATTATAAGTCTTCACCTTTGCATATATTCATAGACTCCAATGTGAAGGATAGGGGATGCAACTGCCAAGAGTGATAGCTCTGCAAGGTTAAGAGAGTCTAATATGTTTTCTGTGATCTCTTTATATAGAGACGTGAAGTACAGTGCACCTGATGTTAACATGGCAGTCATTGCTGTCGAGGTAAAAGAGACAAAAGGGGTTAAGTCTATTTGTCTTCAATACAATTAGGAGTTACTTCAATCTTTCAGCAGGATATATTTTTTACCATGCTCATATAAGAATCACTGTCCCACCATAGTTAACATAATGTACTTTGCCTGGTGTGTACTATACACAATATTAATAGCCATGGCTGAATGAGAAAATAATATTAAGAAAGTACAATAGTCAAGCAATGTCAAATAAGTTTGGTGTACCTCAAATATATTAGTGTTTATGCATTATACCATTAAACAAGTCATTTTGTATATCAGCTCTATTACTACAGTGAATATATACATATATGACTTAGGTGGGACAAATTGCTCATAAAATGATGTGCTCAGCAACTTTACCAACCTCTCTGAGCAATATATCTCATGGCATACAATTTGCTGAGAGGTCATGCATGATGGCAAGCATGCTACCCTATGGCAGTGTGAGAGGAAGTTATCACCTCTTGTTTCAAAAAAATGGTCCTACATGATGAGTGGATGCCATATTGTCTAATACATGATTATGTTCCCAGATAATAGTGGATACACAATCATTCATCACAATGAACTTGCACGTAAGAGAGCAATTAATAACATTATGTAGCTTGATACCCCTTTCCTGAATGAATGGGCAGATATTAACATCATCAACGTGTTTGAGCATAGTACGACCTTTATTGAGGTAGATGGGTATGGGATACGGACACATCATTGCAGTCCCAAACAGTAGTTCCATGATAGAAGGAAATCCAGCCTGTGGTCAATCAGTTGTTTATTTCAAATATTGTATAGGACAACATCCTAAATCACTCACATTGCGGCTAACCAATTCATTGATTCAAAAGTTGATATATTGTGTGATATAGGCTCCAGAATACAGATCAGGATCCTTGAAGATGTTGTTTCAGCATGCAAGATTGATACAATGGTTCGTTAACCTCCAGTGTAAATTCTGCCCCCTCACAACATCCCAAAATGTGTTCCTATTCCCCCATGTCACACAAAGACCATCATCCATATGTCACCAGAGTGTGGGACACTTTTTCAGATAAGGTGATGTCCAAAAATTGTTGTACATCTTGATGCTGTATCCACAATGGTGAAAGTACTCCGCACTTAATGATCAGGGGTGTGAGACAGGAAGGAATGCAATATGGTGGTCAATTAACTCTGGATAGCCCACAAAGAGACCATCAGAAGAAATGAAGATGCAATTAGTCAATGGGTGGTGGGCCAGAACAATAGGCATGACAGAATCTGTAGAGCTATTTATTAGAGTCATTTTTTCCCTGTTTTTCAATATAATCATGACTATATAGAGCCATAACAGAGGATGGGGTGAAGAAGGTGGGTGAACTATCACGAATAAACCTAAGATCTTGAAAGAAACCAGTAAGTATGTCTTTAGCTTAAAAAGGTGTGGCGATTCACGACTCATGTCAGCACATAGGGGATATACCGTATAATATGATGTCAAGTGTGGAGCTTCCTAAAAGGATAGAGTTTGTAGCATTCAGATTGGTCTATAGATAATGATATTTATTGTCAACAGTGTGCTTGAGAATATAGTTCATCCTGCTGGTGATTACTTTCTGCCAAGTGTCAAAAAAAGATAGCTGACTATGAAGCAGTGAACTATGTGGACAACATCCATTGTTTGAATGACTTCAAACCAGATATCATCCACAAGTGCTATGGCAAGACAAGTTAATTATGTCGGTATGAGACTGTCAGAGAACTTACCTATTGTGTTGTGCAGCAACCTACTAGAGGGGTATTTGCACTGCTTGGTCCAATAAAAAACAAGAAAGGGGTGTTTTGAACTATTTGGTTGTGGTTATTTACATGCCAAATGTTAGCTGGGAGGACAGTTAAGATACATGGATACCTTTACCAAGTATTCCTGCTATGTATGCTGCTATCTGTTATGTTTCACTGAACTCCTGATAATTCCCAATCAATGAAAACATATGTAGGTTAATAGGATAGCTCGATCCAAAAGCTTGACACTATGCAAGTTTAGATTGATGGGCAAAAGTGAAGGACATACTCCAACAGGCGAGGTAAAAAAAATGAAGTGTCAGTTTGTTGTTTCCAGTATTGCATGAGAACTTATTATAATCCCTAACTACAAGCTAGGTGTTTAAACAAATACATCAGGTTTCTTTCTCAGAAACTAGTGTCCATGATCTTGGCTCAGATTTCTTCAGTGTCCCACTTTGGCATCCCAGCAAGCTGGTGAAACAGAAAGTAAAAGTGTTCTTTGAAGACTTCAATATCCTTGACATATTGCTCTCAGGCCTCTACCCGAAGTAGGAGTTTCCCATTTGAAGCTTGGATGAAGTACTTTTGATGAAGCCTAACATTATCCATGATGATCTTCATAGGAGCCCAACATGCATGCATTTCAGAGACCAAGACACCTTAACCCACTGACTGTATATGAGGCCAGTCTACTAGATCTCCGGGTTTCTTGAGTGATTGAAGTGTAGTGTTGTTAGCACCAAATAAAAGCTTGTGGCGAAGCACCTCAACCATATAGTCATAGATCTTGTGATACATTTGAATTATTGATATTACAGAAAGCTTTTTTCCATCAAACTTGAATTCTGAACGGTGAGCTGAGGTGAACTGAAGGCGAGGGAGTGCTATATGGCTTTAACATATTGCATAGCACAATCAGTGAAGGTTTAATAATTCAGATGGTTAGTCTGAACAATGTTGGGTCTTGCTGCCTAGCTATGTTGTCTAGAAGACAGTGTTTGACCCTAAAGGGTTTCTGTACTAAGCTCAAAGCTCAGAGAGAGAGGAAAACTACTAAGACCCTGACTCAAGGTGGAAACTGGTGAAGAGGTAATTTGATTATGTAAGCTACAAAATAGCAAACATAAGGTAAAGACAGTGTCTACAAGCCTAGTCAGGAATGAGTCTCTACACCAGGTGTATCTGTGGACTGAGCAAAATGGCCTGGTTCGATTCATCTTTGTAGAGTATCAACAAAGGTTCTGTTAGTGGCACTATCAGTACCACTCAGACTACTCTTGAAATTCATTACTTACTGGTATGGGTTGGGTGTTTTAAGAACTTCAGTCAATATGGAAAATAAGGCTGAATAAATTACCTTCGCAAGATGGCTTGATATTAAATGCACTGGTACGAAGCGCAAGTGAGCATCAATACTGATAGACATAATGAACCCATCCATGAGAGAATGGAGAGGAAAGTGTCCTTGATCAGTTTTGGTAGTGAATGTTGCCAGTACCAGACTATGATAGGCTTGTTGAAGGGATTTTTAGGAATATTGAGTGAATGGCCTCTAGCAGCCGTCCTACAATCTCTTTGCACATTGAAAGACAGTAGGATGGAGAGTTACTGGGTAACCATGGCTTGGCGTATCATGGCCCTCTGCTTCATTAGTCTGGTCTTCTCTGTGTGATATATCTCCTACATACTAGAGATAATTGTTATCATTGACATCAGCAAAATCTCAGTCATCCTAGCAGCAAATCTCATTTCAGGCATCTGTGGCTGCAATTGGAGCCTGGGCTGTTGATGTCATACTAGACAGTGTGAAGGATCCACTGTAGAGATTCGCATAATTACAGGCTTGCAACGTGTTATACTTCAGTCCATACCACCCAGGTTTGCAGCACCAACTTGCAGCATCATTCCCTGACCTTTCCTCAGCTATTTCCATATCAGGCAACACTTTCCCGTGTCACGCAACTTTCCTGCGCCTCATGATGCCCATGCATTGCTCACTTTCCCATGCTTTCATCGCCCAATCATCCAGGAGCATCCATCCACTGTCCAGCAAGTCTCATTGGTATGTATTTTCACATTTTATTCAGAATGGCACCATATTAGAGCATAGACCCTGACTTACATACCCTATTACATACATTATCTCCTACTCGACTCACTTAGTAAGATACATATATAGGACCACATTTTTCACCCTTTACTACACCACACCTTACCCTAGTGGAGTTCCCTCATCATGTTCATAGTCAGAGTTAGAATCTATTAGCAGTCCTTTTAGTTGTCATTCATTGAGCCCTTGTTTATTGCTTGTTTGATTTTGCATCTTCACATTTTGTGTTCCTGCACTCTCGCACTAATCTCGCATGAGTTTCCTGTGCTTCACGCTTATGTCGCTCGCCTCGCACAGCCGCTGTGCGACTGTGAATTTGTTTTCTTTGCTTCCCCTTGGATTAAATGTGCTTGTCCTTGCAAGTATAGCAGCCTAGGCATTGCACAATTGATCACTATATCAGCTTCTTGTGTCCCTCCCTTGGATTTATCATTTGACCTAACAGCTGAGTTGATTCACCTTCACCACATTATTCATGCTACCTATTCTCAAGTAAAGGTCAGTGTTGGACATTGCCAAAACTTTCAAGTATTCTTCAACAACTCTCAGCCCAATATCTTCCTGACAGTGTTAGTCTTAGCATGAGCTGCCTGAGACACATCCTCCTGGGAATAGCGGAACATTACCATCTCTCAAATTTTCTAGAGCATATCACAGATGATGTTCTGCACTCCCAGCTCAGTCACACTGCAGATACAGGCAACTGGATGTACACACGAGGACACCAAGACCATCCTCAGTTAACTAATCCAGTTATTCACCGAACTATCGCTTTTTGTGACTTGTGGCACGAGCTGCTTGGTTTTAAGGATGACCCTCCAAACCTCCAAAGTGCCCTCTTACTCCAAGAAGGATTTACTCGCAATGGATCATCTCCAACAAAGACTCTGGCATTGGTTTGGGTGCATCAGACACCTCTAGCATCCATCCCCTCCCAGTCATATTACTCCCTACTAGTAGGAATACATCACTATCAGTCTTTCCTCTCATACTCAATGATTTATTTGATTGTGTTTGGTCTTAGTGTAATAAGGCTCTTGAAGCGACTCAGCCTTGGAGTGAGGTACTCATGTTGATTGGGATGCTGCTCATCCCTAGACAGGGGAATATAAAGCAACTCTGTGATCTGTTTGCAGAAATGGTGAGTGTTCCACCATATCAGACAGTTCATTTTTGAAAAGACAGACTAGCCGGAATCCAGCGAATTTACCAGTGTGATCAAAACCAAATACTGTCGGCCTGACAGATGAGGTAAAATGCTTGCTACCTGGGAGGTGAGAAGTTTTGTCTGTGCTGTCATACATATTTTCATTGTACCACATTAATAGCTCTCTGATTTACTCAATGGATTTGTTCAAATTGATCATATATTGTTTCCGGACGAGTATCTGCAAATTGTACATCCCACTCCCACCGAACCAGCACACCTTACCTACCATGATCTGCTTTCCACCCCTCAAGGTGTCATCAAGACTTTGGATGACTGGATGGCATCCACATCATCATCTTATTTTGACCCAGCCATTGATGAGTTTGCTGATCAGTCTGTCTATAACTACTGGGGTACTACTATCGCCTCTACTACCAATGGTCTTGACGAGCTAGAAGAGCTCTTTACAGAGGAACCAAACAAAGCACCATATGAGGAACTGGCCCTCAGTGGTTTCTATCCAAGCCTCGCACAGAGAGATTCTAATGGTCTTGGGTGTACAACCTGGATCAAGGCCAACAGCATCAAATACTTACTTGGCCGCGAAGTGAAGGGGTCATCCTGGAGGAGAGTCATCATACTCACTAGATCATTGTTCATCAGCAATCTGTAGGTAGGAGAATATCTGAACTCATTCAAGATTTCACCAGTGGACGTGCGACACCTGATTAGCAAATGTTTCCTTACTGTGCTAAATATGGTCTCTAAGGATTACCAACAGATGCTGAATGAGCCAGGTTGGCGCTTTACACATTAGATGGTACACACCACTTACGGTTTCATCAGTGATTCTTACTATATCCCCTGAAGAAATGATTGCTGTTGGATGGCCAGTATTTCATATAAACATAGGTTTTCTCTCAGCTTCCGCTTCCTCCTGACTAATGTGAGCAGATGGCTTCAATCTATGCCAACTCAAAGGCGGGGTTGAGGAAGGTCGTGAAAGGTGCAATGTTGCAATGTTGCATACAAACTTTGGTGGTTCGGTTTCCCTTGGAAAGAGGATCAAAGACTTAGTAACTCTTTTCAATTCGAGCCATCTCAGTCAAGTAAGGGTCGCAGACATCATTTCTTAATTCTACCTCACAGCCTTTCATTATCAAGGTGTAGGAAGCGATCTTCAATCTCATAATAAATCAAGTCTTTAGAGAATTACTTTGGGCCTCGCTCCTTCATCCTGTCAGCGACTTAGCAGATGGGAGACATGATGGGTGCATAGCCAATCTCTTTCCAGAACAAATTATGTTAAGGTCCAATTGCTTGGTGCAAAAACCAACAGGTAATCTTATGACCTTGGTAAGTCTTATCTCCTTAGTTCTTTCTTGTTGAAATAACAAAGTCCGATATCCTAGATCTATCAGTTAATGTATAATGGCATGAAAGATGAAGACCCAGGAAGTGTCGCTAGCTTCCATAGCCCCGACATAATGAATGCCATCATGTCAGCTCTCAACACAATGTATACTCAGCCGCATAGGTTTGAAGCTTTCACAGAAGCAATAAGGCAACTCCCATTCCTAATGTGAGTATCCCCATACATGATGTCTGACTCTGCTCATCATGATCTACATTTAGGTCGAATAATGTCCTGCCCATTGGCCCAAAAACTGGGATTCCAAGACCCATTGAGAAAGGAAAGGCAAAGATGGTGAGGACTATGAACAACATTGAGAATATTGAAATTCAGCCAATCTGCACTCTCGATGATCCATTCAGTGTACTTCCAAACTGCGGGGGCTGTAGTTCTCTGAAGTCTCTGCGGCTTGCATGGGACTTACCTGTTTCATACTTCACAAGCACAAAAAAAAAATAGTGTATGATGCACGGTCCCATCAATGCAGTTTTGTAAAATTCCACACCTGTACTTCTACAAATCATATGTACAATGCAGCAAGACCTGGTATGAGCAATGAAATCGAAGTTTAATTTGGCGAGTTCAAAAAGCTACAGTAAGTACTATGTAGTTTCAGCTGAGAATACCCACACACTGGCACTGCCACGTTAAAGAACAGTGAGTTTGTACCCCAAGGGTAAGGCTTGACATGACAGTTCATGTATTCACACTGAGAGATGAGGCGAATATGTTGAAACAGTGATGTGTGAGTGCCAGACCCCTTGCTCTGGCCCACACTCAACTTACACTGTTTGCTCACCTCCAAGCCAACACAACTGACCAATATGTCACACTGCATACTGAAGAACCTTCTGGAATCTCAACAAAGATTGACACTCAGCTACAAGCTATAATAGAAAGCATTTTTGATCGCTGTATTAAAGAGAGGGAGTACCACCAGGTAACACAACCGTCGTGGATGCTACCTACTCTGAACTCACCGTTTGTAGGCAGGCAATTGCATTGCATTGGAGCCTCATTGTCTCAATGTTGTGAGCCATATATATGATCTAATTCATGATGTCTCCCTGCTTTCATATACGATGGAAGCTGTTTTTGTACAGGCTTCTCCCTCTCCTACCATGATCATGTTCTCAACTTCCTCTTCCCTCCTCCAACATCACTGTCAAAATCCCTGCACATTTATGCCCTTACTCAGCTACTAGTCACCCTTAATCGGCTGTTACTCGTTGTTCCACTCCTGGCTTCCCTCATTCCAAAGGGGAGACTTCTTGCATATCAATTCGCATTCAACTTGGGTGAGGGAGGTGTCCATGAATTCTTGCAGAGGTGAAGGTCAACTTACCTGAGGGCAAGGAGGTAAGTATTATTATATACATGCCAACAATACATTAAGTGCATTCTTTAGGAAATGCAAGACATATGACAAGCTTGATAAAATCTTGGATGAAGTCTGTCAAATTATACCTGGAATTCTTGAAGTGCAACAACAAAGTAGATATGCTAATTCTGAAGAACACAGAGGTAAATATTCTTGTGATAGATTTAAACATTGTTAATATTTTGTTGCTAGGACGTTCTCAAAGCCCCTTATATACCATACTGCGGTCACTCTACAGAATGCCTTCATGACTGGGCCAAGTTCTCTATGACCACCGCCCTCAGCATCATTCACAAGGAATCATTTCGAAGAGGGAATGAGCACTTATCCCCCATACCTTTCCCAAGCAGGGTCTTGTGATGCTTGATTCTGCAAATTGGACCTCCGCTGAGATGTTGATGTATACTAGAGAGACACAGCTTAAGACAGTGTCTGACAAGCATGAAGTGTTGGTATGGCCATGTTCTAGACCTGAAGGTGAGTACTGTGTGATGCTTCTCGGTCACTTTCACTTAACCAAAATACAGATGCCAACATTTGAACATGTCTCTGATGCCACACCCAATCTTTTTGCCTATCCTCAAACAGGATACCTTCGTGGCTATCGCTGTTCTTTCAACTCTAAGAGGACCACTCATCTCAGATCACATTTCTGCCTTTTTTTACTCAGTTTTGCTATCTTTCCATATGAGGACTTCTCATGGCTGATAAAGGACTTTGAGTAGAGTATCAACTTTTTCTGCTGTTAGCTGTAGCCTGTAATTGGAACTGAATTTATCTATTTTGCTGAGGTGTCTATTGCATAAATGACACCCTTGAGTTATACCTAACATGGAATAATGTAGTGACTGTCATCTGGTCAATGTACCCTGGCTGTGTCACAACTACCAGCAATGTCCATTTTGTGGCAATCTTACATGAATTTTACATCTCTTGACAGTGTAGTGATGGTCACGGTGCTGGGCTCGGAACCACGGTTTTTCATACTCATGTGAACACCCGAAACATACGCGCACATGTCCGACGCACTTTCGCACATGTCCGAGCCACTCCGCATTGGACCTTCAGACATCGCATCAGCCAATCGCACTTTGCGCGCACTTGTCCATCTCATGTCCTGTCCATCCAAACTAGCCTCACTAGGTGCGTAGCTATTCCCGTGCACGTCTTCTGACATTCGGACCGTGTTATTACATGTCCGCAGCACCTCGTGTCTTATTACATAGGACATCGGACCCAAAATATATCGCTACTATCTTCGCCTGTAGTATTCCGGGTTTCTATGTACTTACCTAAATACTCTGTAGTGACCCATAGCAATTATCATCCAGTAGTTAGGAGCAGTTTTCCGACTCTGCAGATCACCCAGAATATCCTCATAGTTCTTAGTTGCATTGCAAAATATTACCATTCATTCACTGTCATACTCCATCACTCGTTATAAAGTTTCCAACCCATTATTGTGAAGTCCGGAAGTCCAAAATCTTGGACATCGCACTTTGGCTTCAGACATTGGATAAGTACCTTCGGACATCATCGGATTACCTTCGGACATTGTTTCGCAGCATCAGACATTTTTGTTATTTGCATTACTGACACATTTTTACTACTAATACCAATTAGCAATCCCTTTAGGATCAAACTGCACTTGCTCTGCAAGTATAGCAGCATAGGTCGTGCTAAGATCTACCTAAACATTGTTGACTAGGTAGTACAATTTCTGCTGAGCCCAGCAGAGTTTTACTCTTTACAACAGCTGACTAGGTAGCATTGCAAACAGTCATCGCAAATTCAAGTTCAGGCAGCAGGTGACCACTTCTGTGGAGTGATGGCAGGCTTCTTTGAATAGCTTATCTACAAAGTACCATATCTGCAAGACATACAGTTGAAATGTTCATAATGCATACTGATGGGACCGCCAAAATGTTATGCATTATGAGGAATATGCAAGACAATATTTGTCATATACTTGTGACATGTGTGACCTCCGCCAAAAGGGTGACAGAAAGTTTTCAATAATTCCTACACAAGTACATGATTAAAATGAGAAGAATTGTTTTATACATGTTTAGCATTATGTAGTTCTTTGTGTTGTAGGTCAGCATGAAACTTTCGAAGTTGTGAAGACAAATCAAGTGAAAATTGAAGGTCACCATATTGCATACATGCAACTTCGAGCCGCTGGCACAAATTGAGGACATTGTTGCGTGTGACTGATCTGAGCCCACTTCTTTGTCATCGTCAGTTGTCGTTGTCATCAGAATCAACTTCAATAACATGTAGTATGGTACCATTTCAATGGCTCGCTGGCTTCTATACATAGTCAAAAAAAGACAATGCAACAATAAATCTATGCGCTATGTTATTGTTCACATGCCCCACCCTATCAAATCAAAACCTCATAATGCATATTGGGTATGCAAATGTTATGCATTATGCGTCCAATTACTTGGGAACGCCGTCGGGATCCACAAAAGTTGATGCATTATGAGATTTATGCATTGTTAACATATGCATTATGAACATTTCAACTGTATATGTCTTCATTAATATTAAAGTTATCTTGCAATCACTTATGTATTACCATGTATTTGGATATAATATGTGGATATTTGATTTGATTTTGCCAGAAATATCTATCAAAATCACCTCATGGCCGATTTCCTGATGCTCTGACAACTCCCATCCACTAGGACCCTCATGTTAGCTCTCCTGCTCACTAGAACTCATTATATCATTTACTCCCTCTGAAATACAGTGTTTTGTGTTCATGATCTTAACAAGTGTGAAATAAGTTTGGAAAGTGTGCAATAAGTATAATAAATATCTCTGAATTGTGCTACTGACATGACTCACAATGTAGGAATAAGTACAAAATAATTGCAAAAAAGCCAAAATAAGTTTGGAAAAAGTGGAAGTCAGGATGAGGCATCTGCTTTTTCGACTTATAATTGCCTTGTTCATGGCAAGTAGCCATTCTTATGAATGGCTTTTCCGCTCCTTTTTGGGAATTATCCGGCGGCAAGTTGCAAAAAAGGAATGTCAAGAAATGTGTGAATTTACTGATGAGGACGGCCCTTGGGCTTTGGGCTCATGGTGATTGCGGACTTGCACGCCAGGATACATTCAAACATATGTTAAAATTTTATTGTTTGTGAGTAGGAACAAACATCAGGCTATCGTAGTTCTGCCGACTTCTGCCAACACCCTTGACCTACTGCCGGCAATTGCCACCTGGCAGAAATATTTCATTTTGCCAACAACGAGACTTGCCAGAAATGGAAGAAGTCGGGTGTTGTCGGTTTGGTTGCACGTTCGTTCAATTACGCCGTGTGGAAAATGCTTAGGATCGATGGAGCATCATGACGATTTGGGATCTTGTTTATGAAGACAGTACGGCTCCAGATAACGAGGCCTGATCACCAACGACCATGAGCTCGCTAAGAAATCACCGTGTTATCATCGCTTCATTATTCTTACCAACGACTGCAGTTATAGGTGAAAGTAGTCCCCCTACTCCAGACATTTATGCTCGTGAGACAGGTGGGACAGCGGCCACGCAGGACTTGGGCGGTCGTCCTCCAGCATTCAGACATGCTTCATCACGATCTATCGGTAGCACGCCAGCTCCTCTCAAGAGCATAGTCGATGATTTAAAAGTTAGTTCTTTCTATTATCTCTAGGTACGACGAATTAACCCCTACAAGTCTCGTGCAATCACTCCAATCAGCACTCCTCCCTCTGAATTAAATCCATTCTCCAAATTCGCTTCATTAGCCCCATCTCCTGCAGGCAAGGGTTCAATCTCGCCATCCTCTATCCAAAATATGGACGTTTCCCTCGCAAAGTTTCAACCAGATCCACTCCATCCTATCCGTCTACAACGCAGATCGTCTTCAAAGCCACCTAGGCACCCCACCCGCTCCTACTCAACCGCATCCTCCGAACCCTACTACCTTACACCAAACATCCACTGCAACGGCGGTCTCAAGAACGCAGTCGACAGCGTCAAAGATCGTATGACTAACAAACTCTGGGTCGGGACTCTCGGTAGCAGCACAGACACTTATAGCACAGAACTCAAAGCGAGCATCGATCGAAGGATGAAGGAGATGCATTCTAGTCTACCCGTTTGGATCTCTGATGCGGAATTTGAGAGTTGTTATGATGAGTTTTGTCATCAGGTGCCTTTTTTCCCTATCCCTCGCGGTTCCTCACTAATGCCTGATACATAGGTTCTTTGGCCATGTCTTCACTATGCGGTCCCCGACGCGCCAAAGACAAAACTCTTCTTTGAGAGCGCGGCGTTTAAGCAGTACGTCGCTGTCAATAAGCGGTTTGCGGAGGTTATCGAGAGCGTGTGGACAGAGGGTGATGTCGGTGCGTCTTTCGTTGCGGGAGACTTTGCTTCTGTCTGATGTACGCTCAGTCTGGATCAACGACTACCACCTGATGCTCCTCCCTCTCCTCCTCCGCCAAAGTACACGTATACCCGCTCTCGCTCGCGCTACAATCGGGTTCTTCATGCATGTCGCTTTCCCAAGTAGTGAGATATTTAGGTGCGTCATGTTTTTTGTTTGGGTTGGTGTCGGTGCCGATTCATGGGCACTCGTTACACCCCTCCCCTTTCCGTATCATGTCATCATCTAAACCACTAATCCAAACCCTATAGATGCCTTAGTGTACGCGAACATCTCCTCCGCGGTATGCTCGGTGCGGATCTTGTAGGATTTCAGACGGCGAGTTATGCGAGGCATTTTAGGTGTGTTTTGGTTTTGTTTCAGCTCAGGTTATTGGGGATGGGGGTTAGGTCGTGCTAGGAGTTGGGAGTTGAGTCTTGGTTTCGTCTTCAATCTCTGCGTTCATCTGCGCACTCCCAGCGCTCGTCGAAGTACCCTTCACTCGCTACATCACCCTTCTCATCTCGTGTTCGTTGTCAACTTAAGACGCATGAGCTGAAGCACGCATCCATCCACACAGACAAACTGTCTCTCGTATTCTTGCAGTCGAAGCGTTGCCTAAGGGGATTCAGGTGTGTTTCTTGCCCTATCCTGGCATCCTTCTGTGCAGGGTGTTTTGGTTGGTGTATGGAATGATTGTGTACCGATTCCCTCTCCCTTCTTTCTACCCCTTCCCTCTCTTCTACCCCTCCCTGCCCACTCACACCCACACAGGTCGAATACGGTATCCCAGGTGGCGCCCGCGAAGGCCACGGCCGTTTCGTAGACGTGGGCATCTTCCCTATGGGCATAGATGTAGGCGCCTTACGCGAACGGCGCCGCGAGCCCGACGTCTCTTATTGGGTCCAACTCCTCCGACAACGCTATGCGGGTATGATGATAGTTGTGGGGAGAGATAAATTGGATGAGATTCAAGGCGTGAGGCATAAACTCGAGGCGTTTGAGTTGTTCCTGAAGAAGTGGCCAGAGTATCAGGGGAAGGTGCATTTTTCTTTCCTTTTCCGTCTTCTTTCACTTCTACTTCCCGTCCTCCTTTCCCATTCCATCCATCCTTCCAATCCGAATCATAACTTATACTGACACAACCACCAGGTCATCCTCCTTCAAGTAGCCCTGCAAACAACCGAATCCAACGAGTTAGCAGCAGGTGGCGTCTCAGACGTCGTAGCACGCATCAACAGCGCATTCAGCACGCTCACATACCAGCCAGTTGTGTTCCTTCACACGCAAGAAGTCACGTTTAGTCAGTATTTGGCGCTTTTGACTGTCGCAGATGCGTTCTTGGTGACAAGTCTGAGGGAGGGTATGGCGTTGAGGTGAGTTTTCGGTTCATCGCAAATTGGTGATTCGCGTCGTATTTTGGTTGTGAGTGTTGATGGTTATGACAGGACGCACGAGTTTGTTGAATGTCAAGATGGAAGACATAGGCCTTTGATTCTGAGCGAGGTTTGTCTCCCCTTACCTTGCCTTCCCAATACTTTTGCTTATTGACCCGGTTTACAAGTTCACTGGGTCGTATAGTTATAGCGGATTCAGGTCATGTATCGCTGTGAACCCGTATGATACGCATGGGACTGCCAGGGCTATTTATCAGGTGTGTGTTTGTGTTTATTGGTAGGAATGGTGACTGATATTTGGTGGGGCGTATTGGTAGGCTTTGACTATGGGTGATGAGGAGGCGCTGTCGAGGTGGGAGGTGAGAAATCTTTGTTTGCTTGATCGATGGATGTCTGTTGACTTGCTTTTAAACGTTTGCTGATCATTAAACACGTGCTCATCCCCTGTTACACGCGCCCATTTACCTCTTACACGCGCCCATTTCCTCTTATACGCGCCCATCATCCCTTTCATACGCCGATCATTAAATATGCGCCCATTTAACCCAAAACAGGACCTCCACAACCACGTCGTAACCCAAACAGCCCAAACCTTTGTGATCTCCTTCCTCACACGTTGCCTTCGCGCCAACACCGAACACACCACCCAAACAGACCTCAACTCTGTCCCTGTGCTCAACACCACGCTTCTCCTCCCACGCTACAAACACTCCTCTCGACGAATCCTCCTGTTGGACTTCGAAGGCACGCTCTGGCGCCCCGACATGTCGCGTGCTGGACTCCTTGCGCCGTTCGTGCCTCCCGAAGGCGCAGTAGAGCTCCTGAACAAATTCTCTGCGAATCAGCGGAACGAAGTGTGGTTGCTCAGTGGATTACCTATTAAGAGCCTCGAGCAAGTCGCTGCAAAAGTGCCTGGGGTGGGCATAGTAGCAGAGAACGGGTGTTTTGCGAAGATTCCGGTGCAGAATGGGAAAGGAGGGGTGTGGATAAGTATGGTTGCCAATTTGAATTTGACGTGGAAGGGTCTTTGTGTGGAGATTTTGAATTATGTGCGTGAATTTTGGGGTGTTTCGAGTGAGGGTGGTGCTGACTGACATGTGCTTTTGTTATGGGGTATAGTTCACGGAACGAACACCTGGTTCGTTTGTAGAAGAGCGCGAGGCGTCTGTTGTGTGGAGATTCTGGACTGGTCCGACGGATGATTGTCCAGATCGTCAGTGGGCGAGGCGTCAGGCTGCTGAAGCGCAGAATCATATATTTGACAGGTGTGTTTTCCCATCCCTACATCATTCTCATCCTCATATAATTCTATTCCAGCCTTGGCGAACGTTACGGTCTGCGCATAATTCCAGGCTCCAATTCCTTCCTAGTCCTCCCAAACAACATCTCCCGCTCTACAGCAGTAGGCGCGATCCTTCACCCAGGCGGACCCGCCCACTCGCCCCGTTCATCCTCGATGCCTGAGCTAGACGTACCCGTGAACGGAGGAGGTAGTGAAGCAGGGTTTGTGTTTGCTGTAGGCGGCGACGAGAAGCTACTGAGGAGATTGAACGAGTTGGATAATGCGGAGACAGTGTCAACAAGTGGTAAGGGGACAGACGCGAAGTGGAAATTGGATGCTGGGGATGTGAGGGATGTGATGTGGTTGTTTGCGAATTGTCCGTAGGTGTCTTATACAGGTTTGAGCTGAGTGTCGTTTTGGTTTTGAATATGTATGTTGTGCTACTAGAGATTGCTCATGATCATGTCGTATTTCGGAGTCGTTGTATTTATAGCTAGCTAGCGTTGTCGTCTCTAGATGAGTGCGTACATTATAATGTGTTGTAGATTTAAGACGTGTTTGACACAATCGTGCCTTTGTTTTATATCACCTACCATCTTCGGTGTAGATGTTAGTGACACAAGCAATACCGTGATTGTTACGACTCACGGGCCAAACCAACCTTTGAGAAAACTCTTGCCAGTCAGTAAGTGCTGGATGATGTCAATGAGCTCGGGAAAGACATCGGCATTAACATATACTTATTGCGATTCACTACCTGCACGCTTATAGTTACAACTCAAATAGCACTACAAGCATCAAGATGTTCGAAGGGAGTTGTAGGCTAAAAGATTGAGTCCGTACAACAGTAAGTTTAAATAAAAGAAAGTCGACAAAAACGAATGTAGAAAATTCCAGTGTGGTAATCCCCAGCAGCATTGGCATACCGGATGTAAGCACCAAGTACTGTTTACCAAAATTATAAATAACACGATATACAATATCTGTCAACTGTGACAGAATAAGGCGAATGTCGCGAACGAAGACTGGTTGGATGACCGGTGCAAGATGGAGAGTGACGATGTACAGTGATAATGACACAGTTGCGAGAGATGGACTGTAGTGATCAAAGAGATACTATAACGACAGACTCAGTCTGTGGGCAGCAAGAAAGGGAGAAAAGAAACATACCAGTGTGATGCTGATCATGCGATGACGCAGTAGCAGTTGGCATTGCCATAGTGCTCCTGGTCAACTGGTACTTGTGCTTGAGTCTCTTCAGAGGAGGGCGCAGAGAAGAAGGTAGAAAGTGAGGAGAACGAGTCCATAGTGTGATGCAGGAAGAGACAAAGGATGACTCGAAGTCGAATACTTTTAGAGCGCAAGAAGCTCTGATGTCGTTAAGGAGGAGTCGCAAGTATTGGTGGGGGAGTCCTTCTCTGAGCTCTCATGTATTTATCCGTTTGTACCAGGCATCGCCACCGGTGAAACGAAGGAATCATGCTAACAATTAGCGCGGTATGCAATGTTCCTCGCCAAACATGGATACACCCGCGGATATGAAACCGATGGAAGGCGCACTATTGTCTGTGAAACATGATTGGCCAGGTGCCGTGAGCAGAGTAAGCCATTGCTGGTATGTGCACTTTGCACTATGTAGATCAATGCAGAGAAGACAAAAAGAACAGCAGCCGATTATGTAAGCTTAAAAGTTGTCAGCCAATCAAATGCGGTTTGCATTCTAATTTCTTATTGTTTGTTAGCTCCCGGTTCCCTTGGAATCGACGAACAGTCGGCGAACTTCGTTGGTAACAGCTACTTTCATATCGATAGACCAGAATCCATTTTTGTTCACCACTTTTGTTTAGTTGTGGGACAAACAAAAGGGTCCCATGATACCTCGTCGGGCAAGATACTGGACTTCGTAACTTTCTCATTCAGCACTGTCTTCGAAAACCATTCTCACCATGGTTGGAAACCGCTGTCACATTCCAGCAGCTGTAAAGCAACAATATGTTACTCTATGTCTGCCCAAACGACATCCAAGGGCATAGTACAAGTCACTAATAACACAAGCCACCGGTAACCGAACTATCAATCGAGTTCTCCGACTCTCGTCTCACAGGCTCTGTTGTCAGAAGGCCCTTGGAAAGCAGTCATACCTGCGAGTACTAATGCTAAACTCATGATCAGTAACAGAGACGATGTTGAATATACCGTGACGAGTCGGTGATAAATTGTCGCACCAGCAGTGAACTCAGAGGGGTGTCAGACGCGGTGTCGAACGAGCAGCATATCATATCATAGAACTTGCGCACCCCGGTACCATTCTGGGATATCTTACCCGAAGAAGTATCGCAATAGGTGGGACTCTTTTGTTCGTCCAGCTCTACAACTAAACAAAAGCAGTGAATGAACAAAAATGGATCCTGGTCTATCGATATGAAGGTAGCTGAAATCGGTTGACAATAAAATGGCTGGCACGAATGGGGATTAATCTTTAGAGGAATGAAAGCGTGAGGATAAGGCAATTAATGAGCATGCGCTGGTTCTTTTGTTTCTGATTATCAGGACTCTAGAGAGCAGTTTCGTGGCCAAATCGGTGGGTGCAATCACCGGAACGCATGCCATCCCTATGGTCGTTTGGTGACTCTCTTATCTCCTGGAAGAAAGGCAGTCCTCGAGTACATATATCGTCAGTGTCGAGCTGTGGAAGAGACGTTATCGCGGGTCGGTAGTCTGGACTCTGGAAACAATAGATGGAATTAGTGCGATAGCTGATATGACGTACCGTAAGACAGGAGCACAATGCACCCATGGACAATCGGCAACTACATCGGTAGAATGGGCCATGTGCCCGTAATGAATCAATGGTATGGAGTTTACTGTACATGAGCAAAGACTCGCCTTGAGACTAGTATATTTATCCTCAGTTGGAGACCAGACGAGCTCGAGAAAGCGCGACAGATTCAGTTATATCCTAGATCTCGGACCAGCAATTCCTGCCATGGGGCAGGAGAATGCCTCTAAGAAGAAAAGATTTCACTATGGTCCAGAAGCCGACACCAGATCACAAGTTGTATGCTAGTAGCGACAAACGTCAGTATAAGCAATATGAGTAATGAGGATCTAGAAGGCACATACTGCTCGTTCCTTGTCCAGCTTCCATCTCCAAACGTTGCTCGCAAAGTAGTCCTCCATCGCTGCTGTTCAGGTTGTTGCATTGCCATCAAGTGCACTGTTGCACTCTTGGAACACGACTAATTCGGTGAGTAAAAGTCGTCGTCCTCGTGTCCGAGTCATTCTCGATGCAAGCCAATACATCGCTCCTAGCCTACCGACACTGGGTTAATGTCATCTCCAGTTTCGCATACGACCTGCCATCTAAATCTACATATTTGGTGTTGCTACAATAACACGGTTAGCTTGAGTCTTTAGAGAATAAGGGTCGCAGTCTTTAGACGTTCCAAACGCATCACGCGACGCAGATGGAGCAGAGAAAACGAAAGAGCAAAGACTTATTGATCCATCCAGTCGGTCGTGACGCAGTGGTTTTAGATGTAGTTTCCTTGACATCATCCTTAGATCTTGGTGCATCAGGAACGAGTAAAGGCCCCATAGGCATAGAAATCACAACCTCCGGTACGTCATGGCTGTGAATGAGTCGGAACAGATTTAAACATGCCTGTATAAATCTTTTGTCGCTGTTGCGGAACTGTAGCCCCTAGCCTGAGAGAACTGGCAGCAGACCTGTCAGGTTGTAAAGGGAAACCAGGACAGTGCGTCATTTAGTGCGTGGCGGTGTGTGCTATTGATGACATAAGTAATTCTCACGACTTGGCATCAATGAATCCGAAGTGCTGAAGCCAGCTTACCTTGTTCCCATTAACTTGATACATTGCCAGAGCGTAGTGCATGAAGATTCACGCTCGGCCGCAAGGTGGTCGATCGTCTTATTGTTTATGCTATTGTTTTTTGGCCTGCCAATCGAAGAAATTTTGCTGGTCGTCGCGAATTCGATGGAACTGTTTTCTCAGTCAATCTACACATTAAATGGACATATGACCTCTGGTCAAGTCCGAGGCTCGCTGGTTTCACTCCCGACTAGTCCCTGATGTGCAACGTTGACCCGGATTATAGGTCTATTTTTCCATCTGCGAAGGCTTGTTCATCTGTCTCATGTATTGTTCCAACGGAGGGCCTGTCGAAGACGTTCCATTCTAACGCAGGAGGGTCCGAACTTGGATAGTATAATGTCAATCATGGCATAACTTGACCAGGCAAGGGGCGACCGGTAATACATGAGTCGTGTTGCTGTCTCAGATGTTTCGAACCCAGAGGATCTTACTGACGTTGCTTCTGACGAAGCATAGTACTAGTGCATCGTAGGTGGATCAATCAAGGACGGTCAATGTTTGTCATTGAGGGCGGAGTCCAACCCTCTTCGCCATGGGACAATTGTATTCCACGTTTCGTCTTCATTGTTTATGATGTTCGACAATACGTTGCTCACTGGTCCTTGACTCGTACTCGAGCTGATTGTTGCTTTACAGTCAGTCCCACAGTTCCACACTTCGGTTTCTCATATATGAACTTCATGGATTCCTTGATACTGATACCAAACCTTTTCCATCTGCCCAAATCAAACCTTCTATTCAGACATGTACTTTCCTCCCCCTTTCACAGGTCACCTTCCAAAGCTGCCTTTAGAAAACATGAAGGTACTCGCAGTCGACCGCCTGTTTTGGATTTCAGGATATGATGTCGAAAAACACGTAAGCGCATTGCACATTTCTATTGATCTTCCAACCGACTTTGGTGTCCAGGAATGGATTAAATTCCAGGGTTTGAATTGCGATACATCCACCTACGATAAAGATGCATGGAGCAAGCTGGTCAAGGACCGACAGACCAAGGTTGGACGGGAGCGACTCTGATCGTCTTCTTGGAAGCTAACATGTTTGATGCAGGATCTCATACAATCTATATTGGATACCATTGGATGTTCTCCTGGCAATGCACAGCCAGAGAAGGTTCGGAGAGGCATGGTGTGTTTTGAAGCGACACTCCTGTATGACTCTCGTTCACCTTTACTATTTGTAGAACATCCTCCTGCAAGGGGCCCTAGGGACGGGCAGAAAGACAGTTGCTCATGCAGTCTGCAACATTCTCAAGCGCCCTATGCTTGACATTCGGGTGAATGACATCCCATGCCTTACCGATGTGAAACTGTGGGCCGACGAACTAGCATTGGTATGTGCCATCGCAGGTTGTGATGCATCTCTGACGCGTTGTGGCTGTTGCTTAGCTTGCGGTAAATTGGAATGCAGTGATGGTCGTACACCGCGGGGATGTAAGTATCATTCTTCAATACGTCCATTATATTCCTTCTGAAGACACGTCGCACAGTATTTCATGAAGTCTCGATGTGCAGATAATCGGGTATGTTGCGCTGTCAATGCTGTGCTAGCATAGCTAATTCGTTGGTCAGAAACGCATCAACACGGTCATTCAATCATTCGAGTCATCCGGGTGCATCTGTCTGTGGCCCTCAGTGCTGACGGACGAGCAGAAGACACTAATCAGGTCGTTCTCGATCAGTGCGTACCCCAGCTATCTCACGTGACTCTATCACTAACTTCTCTCTGTTGCAGCCATCGAATTCCCCGACCTCGATCTGGAAGCCCGTCGCCAACGTTGGTTACAACTTTTTGGCCGAGATGATCTGGTGGGGACTTACTCTAGCGGCGAGCCCTCATCAGTTCCTACTGTAATGGATACGGAGGTGTGGACCTTCATTCGGGAGATTGAGAAAATCTCTTGGTACGAACTCAACGGTAATAGTCTGACGCTGCATAACGCGACGTGGTGCTGACGATACTGATAGGAGTGGACATTCAAAATTTCATGGATGAGGCACGAGACTCAGGCTTGGCTGAGTAAGTTGGTTGATATGCACTGTTCGAGACAACTAATCAGTGCCGCACAGGGGACGAGATCCAACCCCTCAGGACGTCAAGAAGTCTATCAAGTCACACGAAGTGCCTCTTCCTGTACGAAGCAAGATAGCGCGGTTTTTCGCGCTTCGTGAAATGGATCCACCCGACTCGGCGAGTGAGGAACCAAGTTTCTCAAAAAAACAGTGAATGTGTTTAACGTACCTGTCTGAAATATGTGTTTGCTGCCTTGTATTTGATAGTGCTATGTCAATCCTTGACAACAATTAAATGTGATGGAACTACACGAACCATACCATGTGCATGAGATTTACTCATCTATGTAAATAGGACTCAAGTACAACCTCTCCCTGATGGCGCTGGCGCTTTACCGACTTCGGTACCTGCAGCAGCTTTTCACTCATGTAGGAAAACAGGTTTGGTATGTCATAATGTCTCAATATGTTGCGGGCCCTCGACAAAACATGCAAGCTCGATGTTACCGTGACTATCCGGCCTATCGTTCCACCCAAACTGTTCGTCGCAGACAGTTTCCAAATTACTCGGAGTTATCGTACTTATGAAATGCGCTGTTCTCGCAAGGCCATCATCATTCTGATAGTATTACTGAGTTCAGCGCAGATAGGCTCAATTGGACCAAAGTCAAGGGCCGATTTTGGCTCATCACGAGAGCATAAAGTGCATTTCCCTGCATCAAAGGATGAATGCAGCAAATTCGAGCCTCAAGACGGAGCAAATTAGACTAGTAAGCGTCAAAGACTTTGATCAGCGCCCATATATGTAAAGAATTTCAAATACTCGAGCAATGAATGAAATTACAAAGAACGCTTCGAAGAGTAGTGGATAACGCAAGAGGGGGATCAAAAGCAAGTATGAAGGAACAGGCCAGGTTACCCAACAGCATAAAAGATCAACAGCTTGTGCTAAAGACTAAGAAAAAAGCCATGCGGGATAGAACTACACACCAATATGAATAAAAACCATCCTCTGCTCAAGCGGCACTTTCGTCTTCACGGCGTGCGTAGCACGGTTCAGTGCCCAGGCCGCCTTCGTACAGTCCATGACGCCACCGTCCTTCAAATCTTTGAACATATTCTCATAGAAGGCTTTGACGACATGTTTTGCGACAGCGTCGTCGACCTGCCACAGCGTGCCAATCACGCTCTTGAATCCTGAAAACTGAAGACCAGCTGCGAGGTGAATCACTTCGTCCGGCGTCTTCTCATCGCCAACGGCGGTATGACACGCTGATAGGAACGCGAACTCGGCGTACGGGATATCTCGTTCCATGATATCGAGCAGCGTCAGATCTTCGTCTCTCATGACGAAATGCGAATTATAAGGTTGTGTAGGGTCCTGCTTGCCATGACAAGCTAGATGTACCCAGGTGTTCTGCTGCAAAGCTTCAAGCGCACCTGCGCGTGTGGCTGCGTCGCCAGAGATAGTGGTGCGGCTGGCAGTCACAGGGACGAGCTTATGAACGAGCTCAAGCTCACTTTCGACAGTCAAGAGCGCCTTCCCTTTCCCTCCACCCGGTTGTCCCTGTCCGACTGTCGCAAAGGACGGAGTGACGCGTCTCTTCATCATCTGTCTAGACCTAACTAGAGCCGAAAGTGTCGGCGTGTAAGAGCAGATGTAGAGATCCTCCAGACATGGCTCTTTAGAACGATCTGCGTTCGTTCGAAACGGGTGAGCTGCGTGGAGAGGAATGGACGTGAAAGCTGCAGTCGGGCACAGCCAGATCCGAGAGTGAAATTTTAATTTCAGATCATGCTGGAGGACATTGACGATGGGCATCATAATCTCGTCCCAAACCGTTCGTAAAAGAACTATTAGATCGTTCCGCGGCACGTTTGGGCCCAGTATAGATGCGTGTCGTATCGCCCTGGCGAAGCGATCTTTGAGATTGGTCAGATCTGAGAGAGTGACAGACGCCAGGGGAACGTGATGGGGATCTCCTGATGTCGGGACGATAATGGCGCTGCACGAGTATTGACTCGCAATGAGGATGATGACCGGGCCCTGGCGCGCCGCCTCTTGCAGATCTTCATATGAAGGTGGGAGCAGGAACCGCGAGAACTCCTGAAGATCACGGATTTCAGCTACTGCAGCTTCCCATTGCCTTGCAAGTCTCCTATATTCTGTTTCTGCCTGATCAGCAGCAGCTCTGTCTGCGTTAGTTGCAGAACCCTGAGCATCGGACAGGCGTTTGCTAAGATGTAGTAACTTGCGAGCTAGTTCGGGATTCCTAGACTCGAGGTCGTCGAGCGGTGTCCTGAGCCGCGATGCCAGCGACCACTGCTGGCCACGTCCCTGCTCCACGAGCTCGACTGCCCGTCGTAGATTGTCACGACGTATGGCACATGAGGCTGCGTCTACAGGAAGTGATCGTGCATCACGAAAAGCGGTTGCAGCCTCACGCCGTGAGATAATAGATGATCGCGTCATCACGTGGCTGTCGAAAAGCTCAAAGCACATTTGGTATGCTTCAAGAGCAGATTCATGTTGATAGACCTCTGCTTCGCGAGCCCATTCAATAGCTTCCATGATGCGTTCCGGAAATCCTTGAGTAGGATGTCTTGATGCGAGTCTAAAGTTCTCCACTGCAAGTTCCAGATCGGCAGGCTCGTGCTGCACGCAGTAACGAGACATATAGGCTTCCCGCAGCCTGAAATAGGAGTAATGTCTGTCTGGATGGAGTGAAGGCAAAACCTTCAATGACCCATGGCAAAGAGCAATGGCCTCTTCAACGTCTTCATTCTTCTCAGTTTGCGTGAAACGAGAGCAGAGCGCCGAGCTCAAATTCTGAAGAGTTACATGGCGCTCTGAATCGTCAATCCGCATTAACCGAAGGGATTCGCGATACAAATCAATGGCTTCATCAAGATCCTCGTTGACATCCAATTCATCATATCTGATGATGAGCGCGAGGGCAAGGTTGTTGAGCGTAGTGTCACGATCTGAATGCCCAGGTGGGCGCAACGTCAGTGCCTCGCGATAGAGGCTGACAGCTCGGGTGATGTCATCAATGTCGTCGCGTTCTTTGAAACGAGTGGCGAGGGCAAGCCCTAAATTGTCCAATGAGGCACCACGACATTCGTGCCCAACAGGGCACAGGCGCAACGCTTCTTCATGCAAAGAAATGGCCTCATCGAGGTCATTGGGCCTGCCTTGGTAATCGAAGCGGGACATGAGTGACATGGCCAAGTCACTCAGGTAGCAGTCGCGATCGGCATGTCCCGAGGGACATAGAGACACGGCTTCACGACCGAGTTGAATGCTCGTCTCAAGGTCATCGATGTTGCCGTGCTGGTCAAAGCGTGCTTCAACCGCTTGCGCAAGCTCGTCGAGCGCTGTTGGACGAAGTCGATGGCCCAGAGGACAGAGCTCGAGGACAACTCTTCGAAGGTGAATGCCTTCATCAGATGCGTCTGTTGGAAGATCATTGCATTCATCTAGTACATAATTGACACCATCTGGCCCTCTTATCATGCCATGAAGGTAGGTACCCTCTAGACAGAGAGGCAGTAGCTCATGATAGAGGTGAGCAGCTTCACGGATGTCGGCAGCAGCACCTTTCTTGTCGTGGCGCCAAGTCAGCGCTTCGGTGAGATTATATAGAGATAAGGGATGATCGGGATGGCATTGCGGACGCAATGCAAGGGCGTCCCGGAAGAGGGAAGTGGTAGAATCAATATCTTCAAGATCATTTTGAACATAACCTTTGAGGCGGGCCCATGCAAGGTTGGTGAGAGCTGTTGCGTGGTCAGGGTGGCTGACTGGACACTGTTCTAGAGCCAATTGAAAATGCTCCACAGCATCGTTCAGGTAAGAAACTGTCTTGCTTGTCACATATGCGGAGAATTGTGCGTGGCCCGCATCTGTCTCTCGAGCAACCTCGCAGAGTACGAGGGACTGCAGTTGGAGTTGTGTTAGCAAAAGCTAACAGGACAGAGACCAGTATCACTCACATCAAAAAGTGCGCCGTCCTGGTCTTCGCGGTCATGTACAACGGCAACCTTCAGTACGATAGAAGGTTGAACACCACACACAGGTGGGAAGGATAGATCTACAAGGTGTTAGTACATGTGCATGTATGAGAAGCGAATCACTCGCCAAATGGCTTATCTCCATGATCAAGTAGCTCATCCCACGACATTTCAAGTTTCCCGATGACTTCTCCACCGCCTAGCATTTGACCAAGCTCATAAGATGCCCTGATCTCGATTGATAACGCAGGTGAGGCAAGTGATGATCTATAGATTTGACGATCAGTTCTCGCATCGCGTCAGACAGTCTACATGGAATTTACAGAGTCACAGTATTCCCCCACGCTACAGATTCATCAGATGATAGAACGCTGATGGCTGATTTCCAGCATCTCCGGGAGTCAACATTGATGGATATGTATATGCCAGCGGGAATGCGCTCGGAAGGGACTCGAATATTCTTTCCGTTGATGACTGGATAGAGTGCGAGGATCATGAAACAGATACGAAGGTAATATGGAGATACTCGCCTTCCAATCGGATATATTGGTTTTCTGAACTACCTGGCATGATAGTGCAATAGAGCAAAATGATGGAGATCGAAGATAGACTGAGTGGCGGACAGGATGAGAGAGGAAGACGGATATAAGGACATTGGGACCTGAGTGGGACTATAGATAGAGTTTAGCTAAGGGAGGTTGAGCTGGGCTATGCTGCACGTAATATTGTCGAGGGCTGGAACAGGCACGATAGACGCCGGTGTGATCGCACCGAGTGCTAGTTCAGCGCAGTGGCCTACCAAGGTTGAAAAGAACATGTGAGTCTCAGTGGTTGCTTGTACCGTACTGTTCAGTTAACGCACAAAAAAAAGTAGAATGAACTGTATTTCACAAGGTAATGGCACATAGAAACAATGTTGGAACCGCTGAACAACGCGCAAAGAAAAACTGAATAATGTTATACAACTCGTCCGATTGAGCAGATAGTGCCATGAGAGGATGACCTTGTCTACACCGAGGAATAAGAAAAGAATATCATCTCCAAGAGCGAGGATATAACCAACTGTATGCTCGTTCGGTAAAGCATCGATGATTGACGGGAAAAGTATTCTGGGACTTGATTCACCCACCACAGAGTTGCACCGAGATATCAAACCGAAGCCTGGGGAGAGGAATAGCCAATTTAGATGGCAACGTATGAGCAAGCAGGTCCACCGTGTAGGGAATCCTTGAAGGTGATGGAATGGTATTTCAGTCAAGGACATGGTTATTGGGACTGATGTTACTTGAGACTAAAAAATGGCAATGGTTACAGGAGCGAACCGTTGCGGTAAACATCTAGATGTGTCAAGAGTGTGGACATCGACAAGGGAGAGGGGTCCATGGGAGGTAGGAACGACGGAACAGAGTACTAGAGTGATCATCAATTGAAGTCAATGTTGACAGAACTCCGAGTCGAATCATGGGTGGTGTGGTTGTACTGCTATCACTGAGTTAAGCGCAAAAGGACCGACCGCAACCCGAGATGTTTTTGAATTTGAAGATTTTGAACATTAGCGCCCATAAATTATGGATTATTGCAAATGCATTACATAAGCAAACCTTTTTGACTTTGACTCATTCTTCTGTTCCGTTGTTCATGCAGCCTTCGCTCATTCTACGGTCTGGGCGGTCTGCTTGGAAAGGTTTGTCTTGTATTCACTGTGCGGTGCATCTCACATTCACGCGTGACATTGTCCAGGCCCATATTTTGTAGCCTTTCCAAACCTGAAGGATGCACTAATTAACAATGTTGCTATAAGAACACAGGCTCGTGCGTGTACTATCCTTCCAAATTTTGTCGGGTGAGACTCTCAAGCTTCGTCGGGTTCTTATTCTAATTGAGATATGTCAGTATTCGTTTCATGGTGCACAATGGTAAAGACTATGTTCCTGTGATGATAACGCAGGATATGGTCGGTCATAAGCTAGGCGAATTCGCGCACACCAAAAAGCGCTTTACTTACAAGTGAGTTTCATACTAGACGATTTTCATTTACTGACATTCTACAGGATGACAAAGAACAAGTAGTTGGTCACGTCGAGTTCATCGAATCTGAACACCTTCCGCTTTCTTGCATGGATGCATATCACACTGCCTCAAGGGCAGAAAGGACCTTTGAAGCAGGATTTTAGATGTCATTTATTTTGCCGATGTGAATCTTAGAACCAAAATTAAGAATCATAGTTAGTACATTTCGAAAGATCAGTGCTACGCTGTGCTACAGCGTACCAGATGTTACCGTGGTGACTATGTCTCCTTGACGGACAGATCCGGACAGTTGTTGTTGTCCGACGTCCAATTTGGGGGTATCAACCTTGAACTTGAAAGCATCCGTTCAGAAGTTTAGCTCTTGCTCGACGTCCCACACAGTCCTACCATCATTACGAACAACTACAAAGTTCTCAATCTGGCTGTTCTCGCCAGCGAGCAACCCCCACGCCAGCTCTTGTCTCACTTCATCTCTTCGCACCCACCATGGCCTTCAATCAAGTAACAGCAACAAACCTGACCCCTTCTCGACCTGCACCCCAAGCACCTGTCCGAAGAGGAGCGGAGGGTCCCATATTTCCTCATAGTGCTCTCCAAAGTTCAGGCTACAACGCATCCTTTTCTTCTGGCTCATCATACTCGACTGATTACACTGGGATAGGCGGATCGCCCAATCGCAACTCTCAGGCAGCGTTCAACACCCATGTCGTAAGAACTGGGATGGTTAGCATGAAGGAAGAGGGGTTTGCAAGTTTTATCTTTCTCCGAAAATGGCTCGTATTGAAGGAACAAACGCTCTCTATACACAAGACCGAAGTGAGTCCATGGTAGATTGCCTTGTGCTTCGAGGAATGAGACACTGCCATAACGTGCTACTAGATGCACGATATCTTCATTGATTTTCTTCTCCATATCCGTTACTGGATAGGCAAGGCATACTGACAGATCATCTCATAGACGTCACCACAGCAGAGTGTCATCCCTCTAAAGGATATTACGAATATCGAACGTGTCGATCTCAAGCCTTACTGTCTACTCCTTGAGACCAAGGACAAACGATATCATCTCGCCCTCAAAAACGATGAAGAACTCTATGGATGGCAAGATGATGTATACTCTCGCAGTCCATTGATGGGCTTTAGCAACCCGACCAACTTTGTGCACAAAGTCCACGTTGGATTTGACCCCATATCAGGTGCTTTCACTGTGCGTGCATACCAAACTTAAAATGTCATAATCTTTATCTTGTTCACATTTATGTCCCAGGGCATGCCCGAACAATGGAGCAAGCTTCTTACAAAGTCTGCAATTACTCGTGAAGATTACGCTAAAGATCCTCAAGCCGTCCTCGACGTCCTCGAATTTTACACTGATCACCAGAAGCGTGAGTTGGAAGAGATGGGTATGAACTCGATATCACGGTCCGTCTCTGGGACATCTGCAGCTTCTACCCTCGTTGGCTCTAGCATGACCGGCAGCACTCTTTCGCCATACGGCGTAGATGCGCCTGCTCGATTCGGCGGTACAGGCCTCGGCGGATCTAATCTCCCTAAGATCACATCCCCGCTCGACACAGCCCGCAAGCGACAGGACTCCGCTCCAGCAGAGACGGGGACAAACGGACTCTCCACAACTGCCCTCGCCGCTGCGCGCGTTGCTGAGCTCGTCAATGGCTCACATGCCCAGCACGCCAATACCATCTCCACCGCCTCGCCCTCCGTACCACCGCGACCCCCAATGCCTCAAATGTTACAAGCTTCAACCTCCTTGCAGCCTTCCCGACCTGCCCCTCCGCGACCACTGTTGGCAGCCACACGACCCGCACCTGCCGCTCCCAAACCCCCTGTACCAGACCATACACCCTCGACTGCGGACCTTCGTGCGCGAGCGCAAGGTCGCGATCAAATGGCCGGGAAACCTTCGTTGGACCAAGGCCCGAAGCGAAAGGAGAGTATGGATGCTATCGGACAGCAAGAACGGGAGCGGAACAGGGAGTTGCGGGAAAGGGAACGCCAGCGACGTGAAGAGCGTGAACGTGAGCGCCAGCAAATGAAGGAGCAGCAGGCTGCGGCTGCCGTCGAGCGGCCTCCCTTGGCACCTTCTAAATCTGCTCCGGCTACTTCTGAACCTGCAACTGAGCCTATGACGGGCGCTGCCGGAGCTGTTGTTGGTCCTCCACCCGTAAAGCCTCTGCAAATGGTGAAGAAGAAGGAGCTGCCGGCACCTGATCTTACTGTTACTGCACCCGAGGGCGAAGACCCAGGTGTTGCAGCCGCTGCAGAGGCACTACAGAAGAAACATAAGGAAAAGGAAAAAGATAAAGAGAAGCGGATTAGTGCGATGACCGAAGCGCAGATCATGGAGAAGCTCCGGAGTGTTGTGTCTGACGATGACCCCAAGACCTTATACAGTAAGATCAAGAAAGTCGGACAGGGGTGAGGCTTTCATTGCTTTAATTGCTGGCAGACATTGATAAACTATCCACAGCGCTTCTGGACATGTGTATGTCGCAAAAACGCTTGCTACGAGCAAGAAGGTTGCTATCAAAGAAATGGACCTTTCACACCAGCCACGCAAGGAGCTAATCGTGAACGAGATCCTCGTCATGAAGGAATCCCAACACCCCAACATTGTCAACTTCCTTGAGTCGTACCTCGTGAAGAACAATGAACTCTGGGTCGTCATGGAATATATGGAGGGCGGTGCCCTCACGGATATCATAGAGAACAATACGCTGGAAGAAGATCAGATTTCAAGCATAAGTTTGGAAGTGCGTACCTTTCGATTTGTCATGATTCATGAACGATACTCACACACCGCTAGACATGCAAGGGCCTGTGTCATTTACACAGCCAATCCATCATTCACCGTGATATCAAATCCGATAATGTCCTCCTCGATGCACAGGGCCGCGTTAAAATTAGTGCGCATCTTCTTATTTTATGCTATCTTGCACTGGTTCCTGATACGTTGTACAGCCGACTTCGGTTTCTGTGCTAAACTCACTGATCAAAAGTCCAAGCGTGCGACAATGGTCGGTACTCCATACTGGATGGCACCGGAGGTAGTAAAGCAGAAGGAATACGGCGCCAAAGTCGACATTTGGTCACTCGGCATTATGGCAATCGAGATGATCGAGAACGAGCCTCCTTATCTTGACGAAGAGCCGTTGAAGGCACTGTACCTGATTGCGACGAACGGGACGCCGACGCTCAAAAAGCCCGAAGCGCTCAGCAAGGAGCTGAAGAGCTTCTTGAGTGTATGCTTATGTGTCGATGTCAAAAGTCGCGCCAATTCAAGCGAGCTCCTGCAGGTATGTACGGTTGTCCTTCCACATCCCATTCCTCATGTTTCTGTGCAGCACGAGTTCTTGAAGAAGGCGTGTGCGCCATCCGGTCTTGCCCCTCTCTTGAGATTCAAGACCAAACCATCATCATGATGTTTCATGCTGCCAGTATCTTTGGACTTACTCAGCTTCATTCGTCGGTTTGTTTTTGCACCACCTTCCTTTTGTTTGTTTCGCGTCCATGATCTATGTATAATCCAATGCTACCCACTTTCACTCATCTCGGTATTCACTGTTTATAATGTTTTGATGCGTACCAAAATTCAATGGAAGCCTGTTGTAAACTCTACAGACTCACTGGCTGGCTGGCGTTGTGCGTCTTGCGGTATTTTTGTCATGTAGCACTCACCATCTGTTAAGGCTCCAAGCAGGGTAGTTTCGTTTGTATGCCAGTGGTCCACGTTGGAATCGGTTAGAGGGCGTCGTTTCTGAAGATACCTGGGGTACGTGTGTAGTGTTTGTCCCTCCCGACCGTACAATCATCATTGATGTTTCTTCATAGCACAAGTTTTTGATGAAGGCTGGTGGGCCACTTGCTCTCATCTCCAGTAAGATGCAATTAAGTCGGTTGTCTCTACACCCACTCGGATTCCTGTGGCCAGATGCTACCCCACTTTGACGTATTTCCGAGTCGGTTTTTTTTGAGTACCGATTTGCGGAGCCACAATGGAGAACGTGCAGTTCATTCGTCTTGTTCAGAGGCTTCCTATCGCGATTGCATAACGCACAGTATAGTATTGAGATCGCACTTTAGCATTAGATCAAGTTGAGATTTTGACCGTCGAATTTCATACTTCTAAAGATACCTGCCCATCTGAACACTGGGCAAATAGCTAAACGTGACATGGCATAAACCGTGATCATATGAGGGCATGACATTGTAAAGGCATGTGGTAAGTAACGACGTGCGACCATGGAAGGAGATAAAAACATGCGTAGGATAAGACAAAAATTGCTATATCATAGCAGTGTAGAAAGGGTCAAATCTACCTGATGCGAGGGTACAATACAGAGCGTTTGCCTCTTCGAAGCGGGAGTGGCGTAAGGCGAAATGGGACATTTCAGTTGAATCTGCATCGGAAGCGGCGTCCACGATCGAGAGCTTGAGCAACGAGGAATAGAAACGACAGAGCTGCAAAAGAGAAGTAAGACTATGTGCTTCGGAAATGATGTGATGCTAACATTTTGAACTCCCTTCGCGAATCGGTCATCACTAATGAGCCCCTCGTGTTCGTCTCTCTCAGCACTGTCAAGCCACTTGATGCTTTCATGCATAAAGCGTCCTAGGACTTCGGAGCGTACGATGTCTGCTATGGTAGTTTTGCCTCCAGTCGAGTAATCTGGAATAGTTGACGTATCACGAAGGAGACGGCCAAGGAGGTCAAATGATGGGAGCGTTGGGGGGAGTATTGTCAAAGCGTCCAAATATACATAGATATCTTGTGCAAGGTTATTAGGAAATGCCATCAGTAAAGCGATGACAATCTGGTAAGCTATGTTAGGATTATACGAGACGATGGGCGGTAGGTCCACGGAAGTTATCATCGTGGGAGAAGTCAGACGGGGTATTAAAGGTGTCAAGGTCTGCACGATGGATCGTCACAATGGATATCAGATTGATTCATTCGCAATGCTTACCCGTTGTTCTGTGAGTGTGAGTGCTCGGTCACGAGCTGCGAGTACAAGTTTCATTGCTTGAGCGATGCGTTCATTCTCTCGATCTGCTTCTCGTGTAATATTGGTCTCCGTGGCCGGCGGGAGGAATGGTAGCAGATTCTTGGAAGCACCTTGCTCGGCAAATTGCTTCGGTTCTCCTGCCGCGATCGTGGATTTGGCAACAGGATGATCACTGATGAATTCGGATATAGAAAGATCGACAGGAGCGAAGTTACTGCTTACGGGTCATTTTCCATGAAAGTCTCTTCATCCAGAAACAGACATGAAGCCCTCAACTCCGGAGGTAGGGGTGATTTTGTCAAGGTACTAGGAGAATAGGGACCAATCTGGGTGACTGTGAGAGAAATAACAGGTAGGGCGATATCGGATTTACATCATTACCGTCCCCCTTCAGGATCTTCCAGAGAACCCAAATCAATTGCTCCCTCTCGCTGAGCCCGCCCTCGGTTGAAATTTCTATGGCGAGTTCTCTCTCCTTAACGAATGTAGCGTACAAGACAGACTTGAAGGGATTGAGAGAAATCGGATAAGGAGCATACATGGAATAAAGAATAAATGAAACCGGGATGCGTTGTGCGAGCTGGCACATCACAGCAGAATAGTTAGAGGTCAGTAGCAAGAATCTTGATCACCGTCAACAGAACTCAACTGACATCAGCGGATGAAGTAAGGAGAGGCAGTAGCAGATCAAGAGCTAATTGAAACCTTGCAGTAGGCTGCACGAGTTGCAAGAACGCCTGAAAAGCTGCCGAACATGGAAGCGAATGAGTTCTAGCCAAGAGTTGAATAACAGACGCCCGAGTTGGATCCCCTGAACCTTTCTGAGTAGTAGTAAAAGTTTGAGAGGATGTAGAGGATTTTGGGAAGAAACGCGAGCCAGCCATCGTGATGACCGGGCTGGCCCTTGAGGTGGACATCATGAGCGGCAACGATGAGCTCATTCAAGCCAATTTATTGTTCCTGAAGTTGTTACTTAGTAAACTCCGTTTGGGTTTCCCATTGCCGGTACGAGCACATCACGTGAGTGGCATTGTGGTAGCTTTGGTTTATGTGGCGTGTTGCAACTTTATTACGGGACCCTGCAGGTCACTGGTCAGTGGTCACCGGTTACTGACCAAAATAAATGTCGGTTCACATGGCACCACGATGCAGGTTAGCTAGTGCTCATAGGAAAATGCTGCGCAACCGAGTGTGAAGTCGACCAGCAGCTTCTTCAAATGACTTTTATCCCCTTCAGTCCTCTCATGGCTCGCTCGGAATTTTTAGCAGTTCAGGCTGGTGACACCAACGGGAATCAGAGTAGCAAGGTCAGCTACTTCATCAACTCTACGAGCTGACCATCATGATCATGTGAATGCTTTAATAGTCTATTCTCTACTTTATCATTGTTGTCGCCGCAGTGCTCTTCTTGGTGGCAGTAAGGTGTGCCTGTGGATTTCACGTCAGGCGCCTACTAGGGAATACTTACTGTAATCTTTATCAAGGATATGCATCTTGCGAAGGAGAAACCGATCTGTTACAAAATTCTTCTTGTTCAGGCCATCAAACTCTCAGACTCCTCGAGAAGATCATGCATTCAGTTCTTATGAACCCTCTCATCGGATGCATCATCTTACCCCTCTGCCATCGGCTTATCGCCCTGATCGCAGAGTCAATGCTGCGGATACTGATTCTTCCGGGCGCAGAATTGGAGCACCTGATGATCCAGATTGGGATGGGAAAGATATACTTCCTGCCTACGATATATATGATCGCCCTCCCAAGTACGACTCAGGTGGATCGATGCCGCACGCTCAAGGATATATACCACCCTCTGGGAGTCACCCACGCGATGACACGGTCGTGGCAAACACTGAAGTCATTCCTGTTGCAGGACATTAATATTTGGTTTCTGTAAGGACTGGTCGTTCAAATTCCGTGTATATGTACAAGCACCTGGCCAATGTTATGATCTGTAATCGTTACATTACCGCACAGACTCACAGTACTTGTACTGTAGCTTTAGCTGTTGTATGCTTGACTACCAGTTTCCGGACCCTTCCGTTTTCTGTAACACGATTCTGCAACTTGTAACGTATCAATCTTTGTTCTGAACCTTGGCCGTATTTCTCGAACATTACACATGAAGCTTGAAGGAGTGTCAGTTAGATTTATCTTAACTTAATCTCGATCCTTGTTTCGATGGAACAGCCACTGTGTTCCAATCTCCCTCACCACTTACGCATATAATCCTTCAAAACTCCAATCTCTCGCCTCTTCCCCTTCTCTCGCCCAACCCATATAATCTGCAGTCAGCACTGCTGCTCGCACGAACAACGAGCCGTCAAGCTCCTCTGCCCCTTCTAGCTCAGTTCCAGCAAAGTATCCTTTCGGCCGCGCCCCGTAGATGGTGGAGAAGTGTGCGAAAGCTCGTTGGATCTTGACGTGATGGTCATTGGGATGCATTATGGATGATTGAACGAGAGGAAGGAATGGGTTGGGTGTCTGCACGTCCTCTATTGGAAAACCTTCCACTGGCGGAACAGCGGTGCCGTTTGGGGGGTTTGGGACCGTGAGTGTCGATTCAAAGAAGGTTTTGAAATTCAGGGAGGGCCGGCCGCGTGCCACGAACCATGTCACAGCACTTGAAAGGTATGCGCGGAGAAGTAGAACTTGCGCCCGAGGAGACAAGTATGCGATGAGTGAAGGGAGGAAGATACTTGAAGTGACCATATGCATCCTATGATCTGTGAGAATCAAACACTTTGGATCGCAATCGATGCTCACAGGATGAAATCGGCGGTGAAACCATTTCTCCATCCTCCGAGAGCATACATTACCGATGAGGTCCAAATACACTCTTCCATCTTACGTTCGATCTCTCCTGGTCTGGAGAGATCCACTGTCCATTTCTGAACGTGCTCGCGGATTCTGCCACCGTAAGCCACAAGTGTGTCAGGATATTGCCTAGTGGAATGGCGTAGATCTTCCGACGTAAGGCTGAGATCCTTGAGAACTCGAGCAATGATTGAGAAAGCGTGGGTATCTTGTCTGCTTGGTGCCTTGAGAGGCATCGCAGAGGACTGGTCATCGAGCACCAATGACGCAAAACTGTTCATTGTAGTGCGGATGTCATCGCTAGGGTTGGAGCCAAACATTGATGGTGGAAAGAAACCTGGGAAATGAACATCATGCATTGTCGTCATCGACAACCCTAACCCGGTTCACCGGATGTAAGTTCTTTCTTCTTCTTTTGCACCAACACGACTCACCCTGAGCAAGCATTCCTTTTAAGCCAAATTCCACGCCATATCCGCAATGAATCAATGGATGCATGACTGCATCCACGAATCGGGACAACATCTCTGGCTGGCTTCCCGCATCTCTTCCAGGCTGGAAGTTATACTTCTCGGAAAAAATGAATTCATCCAAAGTTGCAGAGGCGCCCTTCTCTTCGATGACCTTGGCAAAGAAAGTGGTATATGCTTCGTAATAGCTGTCGATTCCGACTATTAAGAACGTGATGGTCAGGGCATGTGGGACGAGCGCTTGCTCACTTTTCGTCACCAAGATGGTCAACAAAGTTCTGCGCTGTGATGGGGTGGGGTGATACAAAGGCGGCTCTCTGAACCTTAGTATCCTGCTTGTAGAATGCTTCAATCACGGCGCTGCTCCCTCCTGAGGCGTATATCGCAAGCGCCCGATGAGTAATGTGGCTGGGATATGCCATAAATCATCGCTTAGTGTAGTTTCTCCAACACTCACTTGTGGAACTTGATATGGTTGGTGAAGATATGATGTCGAATGTGGTTATCGATCAATACGTGCTGCACCGCGGTTAATGAATCGAGATTGCATCCTGGCCACCTCTGTGGACAGAGTACCGTCGGTGAAGGGGATGGAGCTGGGAAGAGTGTTTCCACTTTCTCGTCGTAAGCCTTCTCGTTCATTGTTTTGTTAGGAGTTAACTGATCAAACGATAAGGACGCAGGCCGATTGCACGCTTCTTGGGGCACTTTAATGCCTGGGATCTGTTTGCGATAGTTTGACCTAGCTTCAGCAGCCATGCCTATCACGCGCCCGACATGAATAACTCGGGGTGAATCACATTCCCAACAGAGCGGGGCAACGTCTTTCGTTGAGTGGATGAGTCTCGTTCTTCTTCAATGTGTACTACCTGCGTAGTCAAACAGAGGGAGTTCTTTCTATTACATAAAGCGGAGATTTACTGACGCACTTTAATTGACATTATGTAATGAGCGGTAAATATTTACATCTTATCTCTTATCAAAAGAGCATTATAAACATGAACTTGAAGCCGTCCCAGTCCGGTAATCGCCACATCCTCAACCCCGTTGCTCGACTTATGTCACGTTAGGCTTGGCTAGTCTCGTGGCCGCATCACATTACTTGAAGGCGGCATTCTGGCAAACGCTCAATACCGGTACCGGTACCGGTGGGACCACTATAGCCGCATCCGACTGATCGTTTAAAGGAACGTTGTTTTTGTTTTATCTTATGAAGTTAGTTCGTTCAGGTATGTGTCACGGTGTGTAAGTTCGAGCTTGCATTTATTTGCACACTGACCATTAAGGGCTGCGCGGACAGATTTATGTGGATGAGATCGCCGGCATGGGTGATTATTGAGGCCTGAGGTAACATTCACCTCGGTGTTGGAGAAAGGTGAAGATCAGGATCATCACATCAACGCCTTGATGTCTTGTCATACCTTCGTGTGGTTTACGCAGGTTATTCAAATTCGATTTTATGGGCGCTGCGTCCGGCGTGTTCCATTCCGTTACGTGTCAATTACTAGTTTGACAGAACCATTCTTCACGAAATATAATTCCAGTGTCTACGTAAATCTCCGCATCTACCGTGCAAACAAGTCACCTGTCAAAGTCACAGGTGCAAGGGGGCTCTGTCTGCGCGTCTGTTGCATGTACATAAATGCAGCTGATCACACTTGATCTCTTACCGCTCTCTGACCTACTCCAACAATGAACTCTGTTGAATACCACTACCCCGTGATCGGCCGCAAGGGCACTGGAGGCGTATTTGATCGCTTGCCTATCGAGACACTGCAGAAGGAATATCCCTACCAATTTGCCTTGTTCATCCTTGCTTTCAGTGCGATCCAGCAACGCTCCGATGCTCCCCAAGTTGTGGAAGAGCCTGCAGCCACCTTCATGGAAATTGCGTCAATTCACGGCAAGCCCTATGTCGAATGGGCTGGTGACCGCAACAAGGACATCTCAGCTGACTATAGTGCCACTGACAAGAAAGATACCAATCCTGTTCCTTCCAGGTTCGGAGGTATGGCTATCGTTTCCACCGTTGTTCCCAACAGCCTGACAATATTGTGTGACAGGTTATTGCAAGTAAGTTGATATATATCCTCTCCCTCTGTTGATTTCAAACCTTTCTTCAGCCATGGGTCTGTTGTGTTTCCCACCTGGCACCGCCCATATGTTCTGCTTCTTGAGGTATGTTCAATAGATGATCGTGCTTGACGCGTTATTCAATTCAGTTCTATCGGGTCACAGCAATCGATCGGAAACGTCGCTGAAAAATTGGCCCTCGACATTGAAGCTCATCACCCGGATGAAAAGGGAAAATGGACCAAAGCTGCAAACGAACTGCGTTTTCCGTGCGTGCTAAGCCATTCCCGACACTGGTACAGTCATTTACATTACGCACAGGTACTGGGACTGGGCTGGCAAGGATGTACCAGAGAATGGCCTTCCTCCTGTTCTGTACGAAAAAACAGTCAAAATTATGTCTGCAGGAGGTAAAGAACAAACCGTCGATAATCCGCTTTCATTTTTCTCGTACGTCGGGGGAGTCCCATCCGACTTTAGCGACGAAAAGGATGACGAGGTAATGTTACCTTTTCCTTTCCAAATTGCCGAGCTTGCTCAAATGAAATGTGGTCTGTAGTCAGGTCAAGTTGCATATTTCTCCAAGTGGCAGAGGACATATCGCTACGCTTCTAGTACCCCGAACCCTGATGGCAGCAACATAGGCTTGTTGCAAAAGTAAGTATCTATAGAGACATGCGTGAGATTGTACTGATTCTGCATTTGTAAGGGCATTCAAAGACCAGGCGGAAGCTGTGAGACGCGCAGTCGCTTACCTCTTTGTGTACAATGATGATGAAAATCCCGCGATAACGTATGCCTTATTTTCTGCCAGTATTATATGTGTATTAACAAATATGTCGAAAGCTGGGACGAATTCTCTAATCATACCGCGCAATCGAAGAGAGAGATGGACTTCAAAAACCGTACGTCGCTTGAAGGCGTGCACGACAATATTCATAATTTGCTTGTGGGTATAATGCATTTGTTCAAATTTTGACGTATGCTTACTCGATGAGTTAGGGCGGGAATGGACAAATGGTTAGTTGCTTGCGTGCTAGTGATGCTTGTTGATCTATATATTAACCAAATTTGCAGAGTTACCCAGACTACGTGAGCAATTCCTTCCTAACCTCTGCAATGACTTTGGCGCTCATCTTCACATAGGCCGGTTTCGATCCTATCTTTTTCCGTGCGTGAACAGGTGCAAATTACTTGTCTGCATTACTTACGTGGTTTCCTTCAGTTCACCATGCAAATGTGGACAGACTATGTATGTATACGTTCAAGGTACTGCTGTCTTGTTATTGAACCCCCCCCCCCCCTCAAGTGGCTCTATGGGAGTGGTGCTACACCGAATACTGGATGGGAAGTGGATATAAACACGACGGGGAAGAATACCCCTGGACACAGGTATGGATTGAATAATATTCTCACACAGATACTCAATAGCTGTCTTTTAGGCACGTGGCACATACGCGCAAGTTTACAACGAACAACTCCTTCCAGACGGACCACTCCAGCCATTCCGAACGGAACAAGGAGACTACTGGACCTCTTCTCAGGCACGATCTTTGGATCAAAAAGCCTACCCCAAGTGTACGTAGCAATTTTTTTAATTAGATAACATAAATTTACTTTGAATAGATTATTCGTTTGACAAGTTTGAAGAAATTAAGGTCGATCAAGCTGCCACATCGTCCCAACAGCGTGTCGAGGCACGCAAAAGGGTGCAAGTCTACTATGGTTTCAATCCGCAAACTCAGGCGAAACAGGTGGCCTCACCCGCTTGGAAGCACTTGCCTGTTCCAAACAATGAAGATCCTGCTGTGCCAAGTGATCATACCGTTATCCCTCACTACCGCACATTCTCTGTCCATGTGAAACTTCTGGAACATGCATACAACCGCTCTTACTCATTCCAGCTCCACCATAAAGGGAATGCTCATTCGAGTCCGCAGCTCGTAGGCACCGTCTCAGTTTTTACACGGCCAGACAATTCTCCTTGTAAAGCATGTGCTACGCGTCGTGAGGCGGGATCCGTAATTCGCGGATTGATTCCCATTCCTCCCGAATTGATCCAAAGTATCATCAAATCAAACGGAGGCGCAGATGTAGGGGTTTCGTTCGATCAGACCCTCGCTCACATCAAGCGGGAGTTCGTTGGAAGGCTTGTGGATGTTACTGGCACACAGCTCGCTGGGGCTGAGGGAGGGCTGGACGTGATCCAGGTCCCACAAGACCGTGCCACTTCTCGTAGCGTCACTCCCATAGAAATTTCTCTGGTGTCGTCTGCTGTCGCTGAGCACGTAGAGGACAAGAACCGTCCTGTCTACCTATGCGACTGGCAGCACCATGACAATATCTTTAACGTAAGTGCATCGTCCTTTAATTTGGCAATTCGCTGAATAGGATTTTTGACAGGGTGGATGGCTAGCGACTCACAAGGATTCGAAGTAATGCAGCGCGCTTGGATGAGTCAACTTGTGAAATATTTGTATTTGATTGGCCAAATTCAGCACGATGTCGATGTACTTTATCCATGTACCAACCATGTACAATATGTAGTATGCTACAATTATTTCTTGGGGTTCTTCTTTTCACTTGATCTTCAGCAGAAATGCTAAATTCCGACACATAGAAGAAAGTGTATGAGAATCAAACAGCTAAGGAATGATTAGAAGCAAAAATGCGTAGAGTACAAAAACGAAACGCGAGGATAGAATGGTTCACTCACCAAAGTCTTGCGGTTGTCAGACTTATTCTCCAGCTCTCTAAAACACATGTCAACGTGTCCCCTCGACGGTGTTGTCGATGTCGGCAGTCGTTGATATAACAAGACATGTTGCGAGAGGGCCAACATCATTCTAGAACGTAGGGGGACAGCAGAGCCGCATTCTTCACCGACGTCGTCGGCTTGTCACTGGTTCGTGCAGTGGGTCGGCTGTATACTCGGTTGTTCAGTGTATGAGATGCGGAGATCAACAGTTCGGAGTCGAAGGCCATCGTCATTGAGAATAACTACAAGGTTGAGCCATAAAGCGAAGAGATATGCGCAGATGCACGTTGAATCTGATCTTCTGGTTGCAACATTGCGGACTGAATCAGGTCGAGGAATGGTTTACTCTCTGACAACAGAGATGAGGTAGCATCGAGGAAGCCTCGAATGTCCGGCCAAGGGCAGCCGCATGCGATCCACCAAGCGAAAGTCAATCCGAATTGTGAGTGAGACAAACTTGCAAATTCTGCGGCAGGCAAGACAGCCCAGATAGAAGGAAGAGACTTGAGATGTAAAGATACATGCTTGAACGTTCTAATTTTTATTTATTTACGTTTGCAGATGCGACCGCATTAGCGCTACTTACAAGAGGTCTGTTATGAAGCCTTTGTGCTTGCCCCGCCTGCAAGTAGAGTAGGGGATGTCGTTGGTCCGACTCCGAACGCGTTCCTCCGTCTTGTGTTCGATTTCACCTTAGACTGGCCGTGGACAAGTCGATTGTCCATTGCTCAACGTAGCACTATATATCAGTACCTTGCTCTAACAGAGAGGCAAGCCTAGTTGTTACCCCACTGCACTTACGCCACCAGACTTGAATAGGAAAAGGAGAAAGGATGCGTGGTTGATGTACAGTTTGTGTACAGTACAAGATTTTCGAGAACTCTAAAATTTTAATTTAGCCTAGGATTTGTTTGCGCTGGTTTGTCGCACCCAGACACCCCTTGAATCAACAACTATTTACCCAGTCCAAATCATAAATTCCATTGGGTGGATCACACCTCCAATAAAGCGGGCCAATATCTTTGGCTGAGTGGTTGTCTCGTCCTCCAATGTTATACATCCCCATGTACACGGCCTGGGAAAGTTCACTTGCATGGTCAAACCACCTAGAGGGAAGACAAGTCACAGTCGTTCCTTCTATCAAAGCGGGAATGGAGCCTACTGCGCTATCGATAGCGCCAAAATACGCATAGTCACCGAATCGTATGCACTCACCGTCAGGTTGTTCAATTGCAACTGAAGATACTTGTCGTTAACAGAAAGTCTGCATTGCAGCACCAAACACTCTAGTGCCACTCGGAAGTCGGCAACGCCCCCTGCTTTGTCTCCATCAAAAACGTGCTTCAGGCAACGCCCGATTTGATTTGCTTGTTGGTCCACAACGTCACATTTGATGTCCTACACGGTGCTTGATTCGTCCACACTCTTAGCCGGAGTCTTAAATCTATACACAATGCAGAAGAACTGTGTTAACAGAGATTCCGTCCACAGCAGTGGGTGGAGACCTCAGGATAAATGGAGAGGGTTTAATATGCGTACGATTTTTCATCCTCCCAACTTTCACCTGCATCCCCAGTAGAAGGGTTTTATTTATCACACAATCCTCCTCGTCACTCCTGTCGCCTCTCCTTGATCACTCCATATTCCGCTTGCGCTCAGCTCACTTTCCAGCAACGGAGTTTATCTTGGAGTTTTTGAGATCACCATGAAGTCTTTCACATCCCCGAAGGCGTCCTCCCGCCCCGTCCTCAGAATCACCATCCCGACAGTCAAAGATACAGCTCCATGGCACACCATGACACTAGTATTGCAATCTTCGAGACCTTCTGCGTTTTCGTGGAGACGATTGCTTCGTCCCTCACGGAGAAACAAGTCCTTCCGTGACGGCGAAACACATCTCACCGAAGATCTTACTTCACCGTCTGACACGCTTGTCGAGTCTCCGATCGAGGAGAAATTGACTAGTCCGAAAGTGATTATTACTCTTGCATTATAACTGACATTTTGCTCATCCGTTCTATGCAGATGGTCCGTTTCGATGACTCGCCAACATACATCCGCACCAGGCGCCGAATCAAACCCCACAAGTCGCCCACTCCCAAGGGGTCATTGCGTTCCTGTCTTGTCATAAATGTATGGGTACTCTTCGAGATTATTTCTCACATCAATTGACGTCACTGTTTCCAGAACACCGACCCCTTAAAAGAGGTTCTTTCGGATGACGATGACGAGGTCTCCGTATATGAAGACTGCCTTACATACTACCCTGGCTTCTTCAAGGACATGGAAGATCTCCTGGAGCGCGAACATCTCAAGCAGATGGAAATCGCAAAGTCGCGTTCCCCTTCTTGGGATCTCACTGAATTTGGCTGCACAAAGATGGATCCGCAAGAGTATCTAAGCTCCTGCTTGGCTAAGCAAGCAGAGAAAAAATCACGACAAGACATTGAAGGGTGGAGGAAGGTCGTCTATGACCATCCGATGACGTTACGCTGGCCCAGCCGGGAGATTACCGAGCGGCCAGTTCAGGAACCTTCATTTATTCCGATAACGCCCCCGCAACTTTTCGTTCCAGAGCCCACACCAGTAACTCTTAATTGGCATCAGCAGATTGTATGCGATGTCACTGACATGCTGATTTCGCTATGCATTGGACTTACCATTCACATGTGCATCTATATTTTGGGCATCTATTGTTTCTTTAGTGGCGTCTTTCTGGATGAAGAGTAGCAGCCATCGATATTCAGGGGATCGTGAAGTCTATTATTTTTATATTTAGCGTTTAGCACATCGATGTACTATTATGTAAATCAATACTTGTCATATTTGTTTGGACCTATTGAAACCACAAGGTGACGCCTTCCTTTCTCGATACATAGATTTCTATTTAGGTACTGCCGTGTTACTTAGCATGATAGCCCATATCAGTCTGCCCGCGTAACATGTCAGAATCAAATTCTTCATCAACCACCGAACCGTTGCGTGCTCGTGGTAGAGGTCGTGGCAAGTCCCGTGGCGGGCTAGGAAAATACCTCCGCGCACGAGGCCGTGGTCGAGGTGGCCGCCCTGCGGAATTCAACCAGCGCCTAGTGCTGGAAGGTGAACAGGTTGTCGATCTCGACCCTGATTCGGAAGAGGCAAAAGAACTTCAGCAAAAGTACGCACGGCGACACCTTGGATCTAATGCCGATCGTTATGCGGAGCTCGAGCCTGAACTGGATTCTGACGGTGAGTGGTGAGTGAATGATGTGTTGAGCTTATGTTTGACACCGTCTAGGGGAGGAGATTCATGAGCCGGAGATCGATCTTACGTCATTTCTTGCGAGACAACGGTTATCGGACGCGCCGACTGTAGTGGCGGTGGCTCAAGTCGATGATGATGATATCGACCATGAACTTGCGCATATCTCGTCTCATCGTATCCAACCTCCGACATCTCAGAAGGGGCGCGTGCAGACAATTGAGTGGGACGCAGAGCTTGAGGAAATGAGTCGAGAAAAGGCGGCTGCAGATGCAAGTCGAGGTAATTTCCAACTAATTGATAATTCAACTGTAAGAGACTGAATATGCTTGATACTAGATCTGAAGACACGATTCCGTGCAAAGTCGGAAAAGCTTAAAGTAAAGCCTTTGGTTTCACGCGATATAAAACAAGGTAGCGTCCTCTTATCTGTGAACATTATCTCATTGACATTCTATTTCACGCATTGGCCAGGTGACAACTATTCTGAGGCGCCAGCTCTTCCTAATGATACACCGAGGAAGGCGGCCAAAGCGGAGATGGAAGATTTTCTTGATGATCTTCTCAGCTAATAACCTGTATCTTGCACATGACACTCATGTTCACGGGATATTTCCACGTTGATTTTCTTCTCGCTCCACGTAGATGTATACACGGTCAAAGGTCATCGACATCGCCGACTTTTCCGCATCCATGTTCTGAATCCGGATGTGGTGTGTGCGGGTAGTGTTGATATTACGATTGACCAAATGCACGTAAATCAGCCAAGTCGAGAGGCAGTACAGTAAGTAGGGTGTCTGATTTCCATGGAGAAAAGCAAGACGATTGAAGAGAAGGCGAAGGAGGAGACGTTCGGAGAAAGAACACCTGGTAAGTAAGTATCTGAGGCTATATGCATGCAGCAGTAATTCGACCAAGCATTTCGAAAGGAATAACAAATGTCAACCGAGATCGAAAACCGATCCGAGTGCAACAAGCATGAGGTATTTAATTGAAAAATGTAGCATAGATATCATATTCCAGGACGAGGGGAATAAGTCACAATAAAGTTGTGAGGGGCAGAAACAGCCTTAGACTAAAGAGATGGAAGTGGGAGAGCATGCTGAGAACCCTGGTGCGCCATTAGTCGGGCGAAAAAGACTACTGCAAAGCGAATCTGCGACCTCACGAGATGACACAATAACTTGTTCCCGGTCCAGACCGATGGTCTTGATCAAGGGGTATGCCAGAGGACAGTGTTGCTTCGTCACCTTCACCACTGCGACTTGGGGGTGACAACATCACATCTTCTAGATGGAAGAAGGAGTCCATGTTATGTCTGAGCAAACAGATAGGCTAATTATGCTAAAGGCGGCACGAGGATATGTTTGGACGAGAACTTCCGTGTAGAGTGCGTGCAAAAAGGTATTTCGCGTCAAGGGAGATGAATAACGGTACTCACAATCAGTCATCATGACTTTAATTTATAGATCTTGCCAGTCTAATTAATCCACAATCATCAACCACAATATATATTAATGGATTCACAACGCGCATTCTCCATTGGTGATTACATAATGTTACGAAAACTGACTGTGACGGGAGTCGTAGTGTGACGATAAGTGATTTTGTCAGCTCGGAGGAAAACATACAAGTATGAGAACGACACTCAGACAACAATGGGCCTTGAGGTCCGTAACCCACATACCACAAATTTCGACCAACTCCGCTTCGTCATTGTCTGTTCAGTGGCAGCGTTCATCAAAATGAGAGTCACTATATATTTGTTCGCAAGGACCATATTTGTTTCCGAGTCCATCGTCGGCGACGGTACCAAATATTGCAATGACCTATAGCGTGAATCCAACATATCCCCTCGTCCCCGTTATCTCTTTCTTCGGTACCTTCCTTGTTCTCATCCCCTTCCCATGGCACCTACAGGCCTGGAATGCAGGCTCATGCGTCTATATGGTCTGGGTAGCCGTACCATGTCTTATCGAATTCTTGAACTCTATCATCTGGCACAACAACGCTTTGAATGTTGCACCTGTATGGTGTGATATATGTGAGTAATTGCCAATGCTATCTCTAGTGTTCCTGCTAACGGGCTTGAAGCAACTAAATTACTCATTGGAGCCAGCGTTGGCATCCCTGCCTCTGCATTGTGTATTAGTCGCCGCTTGTACAGCATAGCTGTCATCAAAACCGTGTCCGCAACTCATAATGTACGTCAGATTCTCTTGTATCATGAGCAAGTGCTTGTACTAAGTGGCCAATAGAAATGGCGTGTTGTCATCGTTGATCTTTCCATATCAATCGGTATCCCTGTCATAGTCATGGTACTTCGTGCGTACTTTCTCAGCAATGAAACAATGTCAACTGAAACTGATCATACTGATCAGACTACATCGTTCAAGGGCACCGTTTCGATATCCTTGAAGATGTCGGTTGCTGGCCGGCAACTTACAATGTGATACCAGCATATTTCCTGGTTTACATGTGGCCTTCACTACTTGGCTGCATTTCTTTCGTTTACTCTGGTTCGTTCGGTTTTCATGCTACTTTACCAAGCTTATTTTTCTTAGGTCTGACTCTTGCTGCATTCTGTAAGCGCCGTATGGCGTTCAACTCCCACATAGGACGCAACAATTCGATGAATGACAGCCTTTACATCCGTATGATGTTGCTATCCGTCATCGAAATGGCCTTCACTGTACCAATTAGTATCTACACTGTCTATATCGCCAGCACAAACGTGCCAATGCAACCATGGGTATCTTTTTCAGACACCCATTATAATTTTTCATACGTCGGCCTTATTCCTGCCGCTGAATGGACCAGCAATTCAACCTATAAACACTCCATCAATTTGACACAATGGCTCTTTCCACTTTGCGCCTTCATATTCTTTGTTCTCTTTGGCTTCACAATTGAAGCAAAGAAGTACTATTGTATGTATTTCTTATGGATCGCAAAGCACTTCGGCTACAATCCTCCTGTAATGCAGCCGTCAACGCCCTATGCTTCAAGGTTGGCGCCCTTCCTATTTCATGGTCGCTGTAAAACTCTAACATCCGTCAGGTTGAGAGGCAAATTCGCTGATTCGTTGCCAGTTTACAGCACCCCTGCCCCTCGTCGAATCAAACTTCAGTCATCATTGACGCCTGTCTACGACACCAAGAAGTCGTCTCATATAGTGACATGTACGGTTGATACCGACATCCAAACGCCATCTGAAGCTCATTCCTGGGCGCGCTGCACTGAGCGTTATGTGGTCCCCGCATACCACCGTCCCTTTTCGCCACCCACCCTGTACCCTCACACTGTTGACCTGGATAACTCTATGCGATCAACATCTGCGTCCGCCACAATCATACGAAACCACGCCCCCCGTGGATATCTATGAACTGCCGCTCATCTTTCTGTTTGACTCATGATGTGTTCGTTATATCCCAACTAGGGGCTAATATTCTCTTCATGCCAGCCTGACTAGTGTATACAGTATTACTCGCATTATATTCCAACGTCGCTTGAACTAGCTTACTATTTTCGTTTTTAATGCTTTGTTGTTTTCGATGCTAGATCCACAAATGGTCTTACAGTGCACTACTTCCACATCTCTTATCCCACTCAAGTACGACATATGACAACATTATGATTCTGATTATGTACATCATCTGGCAATGTCATTGATCGGTACTGGCAGGATTCTACATAATTGATAATCTCGATTATATAATCCATCGTCCCCACCACTGCTTGCGCACGCACTCGCGGTGCACCACCGCGACCATACCACGATTTTAACTTGCGCTTGGCAGCAGGCGACGACAAACTCATCTGTATCTCTCGCGTCTCGGACGTTCTATTTATTAGAGCGCAATCAAGCTTATCGTCTACTTTAGTCACGAAGTTATGGACCACTATCCGGAGGTCAAACGACCATTTCTTGACACAAGAGCTTCATCTTCCCCGCTTGATCACGAGTCAGATAGTGAGTCTAGCCAGGTTTCCGGCTCTGACACGCCCTCTCCGTCTGTCAGAACTTCTGCCCAATTCCCTTCGTTCACACCCCCGCACGAGGAGAATGGGAACTCCGAAAGGTCCTCAGGTGTTGAGCCCGAGAGTAGTAAGGAGTGGTATGAATTTGACCTTTCGGTCGTACTTGCGCTAGTTTCGCCCATCGGAAACTGGTTGACTGGAGGAGATCACGTCAAAAATGTCCTTCTAATCCTCCTCTTGATATTCTATCTGCACCAAATTATTGAAGGTAATTGTGTTTCTTCATTCTGAAAGCAGAAAGTATAAACATGCACAGTGCCTTGGAGCCTTTATCATCTCTCGAGACCCAGACGTCGTTCCCCTGATTTCCCACCCCGTCAAACGTCTGAGCAAGATCGCTATCATGAAATTGCTTCGTCAGAGTTACGCAAGCTCGAGATTTTCTACCTTTTCCTCACTATTTTGTCGCCGTTACTCGGAGTCGGAATCCTTCGCATTGTCATCATATCTGTGGCCGGTCCGGAGACTGTATCATGGTTCAGTACCTCCCTCTTCATCCTCGCCACCGGTATTCGGCCTTGGAAACACGCGGTAGAACGTCTTCGTCAACGCACGCGAGATTTGCATACTGTCGTTCACTACCCCCCGGCCAGCTCACCGGATACGCTCTCGCAAATTGAAGCTCTGATTGCGCGCATCGCCGATTTAGAGACTCAGCTGAAAAATTGCAACGACACCGTGAAAGTTCTCACTGAAGATGTTTTCGACCACGTGGAGGGAGCCGTCGAGGGGTTAGAGAAATACATGCGGAAACAGGAGAGGAAACATGATGCTGTCTCCTCGTCACAGGAATCAAGACTTGCAACGTTGGAACATAGCATGCAAGCGTTGCTGGAAAAGAAGGAGATTTCAATGCACGGTTCGGCTTTATCTTATAATATAGGTTCTGCATTCCACGCAACCTTGGTTGAACCACTTGCACTTGTCTTTCCCGAGTGGGTACGCAGCTCTCACCGAGACAAACACCCACCATCCCCTCGTTCTTCTCCAAAAATTGGTCGTCCCCGGACTGCCACTAAGCTTGAGACCATACCAGAAGGCGCCACCTTTACACCCAAGAGTGCTCGATACCGCTTTCCCTCCCTCCGTATTCCGGGTTTAAAATTTGTCCTGCGCATCGGCGATCTTGCAACTTTACCTGTCCGTCGGGTAGTGGCTTATCTTCTCATGGGACGCATCTATGCGCCTAATGGACCCACTTCCTCTCTTTAAAAACTTCCTTATCACGATTGTTCTATTAGCATTGCATGGACTCAATCCCACGACTTCTCGCATTTTATTCACGCATTGATATTCCGACGATCCGTTTTTCTTCATGATTCTTACAGCACCCAGGAATAAACGTACTGTACGCTTGTACGTCGAATTTTGTATCAATATGCAATTGTAAGCAGACTTTTGTTGTTCCTCCTGTGAAGTTTAGGCTGCTCTATAATTTACCACAGACGTCTGTATTCATTTTCCCATTATTCTAGACCGTTAGCTGTATAGCTCCCTTCAAACAAAAATCACACAGTCGTCTAAGCTTCGAGCTTTAGAACATGCCTTTTTGGGACATTTGCTTGACGCTTACTGATTGTGGTCATCCCCTATCATGTGGGTGATTCTCGGTCAAGCATGACATGGCATGTGTCCTTGTACTTTCTTCGGCTAAGAGCTTATTAATTCTAGAAAAGATCGGGTATACAGGTTTTGTGGCATAGTGTCCTTGTACTTTATTTTATACTGCGTTCAAGGGCGCAACTCACCAATTAAAAGGAATGCACCAGGCCTTCACTGAGATCCTCATGCCCTTTTTGTCTCCTCAGATTTCTATCGTTATTGAAATGCAAATAGAGATACCAGTACTTTCATTCATTTCTGCGGCACTTGTTCTCTTTCCATTGCCTTGGTATTGTCGGGCTGGCAACATTGCCGCAATGTCTATTGGAATGTGGCTATCCGTCGTAAACATGATCAATGCTATAGATGCCCTCCGGTGGACTGGGGTCTACCAAATACCATTTTTATTTTGGTGTGACATCAGTGAGTGTCTTGACATCGATTTTACTAGATGATGACCTGAAATCACTGTAGCTTCAGCGCTGATGACAGCCGTAAATGCAGCGATACCCGCGGCGTGCCTCTGCATTTGTATTCACCTGGAACGGATGGCATCTTTCTGTCAAACCTCCACCCCTGTGACAAAACGGCGCCGTATCTTACTTGAATGTTTAATGTGTTTCGGAGTTCCATTAGTATATGCAGCATTGCGTACGTGCATATCTGCCGGCTGCCCACAATATTTATTAACATCATCAATAGATATAATTGTTCAACCTCGACGCTTTGATGTGTATGAAAATTTTGGATGTCGCTCGGCGATATATCCCACTGTGGTGGCTTTGTTCGTGGTCTGGATACCACCGCTTGCACTTTCTTTTCTTACTATCGTTTTCTGTGGCAAGTCACTTCGTTATTGTTTGTATCCCTACGAGGCTGAGTCTTCGCAGGAATCACTTGGCATCACTTTCTCCTTCATGGCGTCCAATTTTCGAGGACACGTCCATCTTCCTCGCTTACTTCTGGAGCCTACATTCGGCTCGTCAGTATGGCCGTTTCTGAAGTCATTTGCACTATTGCTGCGACTGTAGTAGCGATGTCATTTAATCTAAGCTCAGGGCTGGCACCATGGGCGGACTTCACCCGAGATTTGACGAAGGTCTCGTCGTTCAGCTCTGCTGCGACACCTAAATCGATTAACGCGATGCTCATCGCTGAATGGGCGATTATTGTTGCGCAATCGTTCTTCTTCATCGGATTGTTTGTGCTCGGAGGGGAAGGGCGCAGTCGATTGCATGAGGCTGTACAGGTGATGCGCAGGGCTCTCAGTTTCTGTGAGAGACGATCTACGTGTATCGCTGAACTCAAAGGTACGTTCATGACAGAATGGTATGTTCCTTCGTATCACTAGCAGAATTTTTCTGAATGCACCTTATCAGCGACCTGACACCAGTTCGGTCACTGACCGTCCTTGAGCTCAAGAGCACCGCATTTCAATCTAGTACAGTATGCACTTATCATGGTTACTCATCCGAGAAACCTCTTCCGCCTCCACCTGCCCCCTTGCGTCCCGCATCACTCGACCTTACAAATGCAAAGAAATTGGAAGAAAATTCTGAATTTCTTAGTCCTGCACTCCTCCCTCTCGAATCACCTTCCAACTATTCTGCTATCGCATCTTCGCACAATTCTCTCCAATCAAATTTTGATCCGCAACAATTTAATTTACTTTCGACGCAGTGGCCTGAACCCCCATCAACAGTCCTTGTTCGACCACGCCCGGCGAGGTCCCCCAGCATGAACTTTCTCCACATTGAAGGTTCACCGTTTTATGGGTCCGCAGTGCCACATAATCACTCGAGGAATTCAAAGAATCGTAACGCTATCTACATGACGGTGGTTAGGGAGGTCCAAGGAACGTATTAGCTGTGGATTTTCTTTCCTCATATACCCCTTCCATTATCTTTTGCAGTCATTGACGTTATGGTGTATAGTATTATATGTAACATGTTGCTGACCTCTCTCATCCATATTCCCGAGTCATGAAGCATCGTTGTTATTTTCTTCGCCTTGCATGACTTTTTTGTTGTGTTTCTGTACTCCAGGTTTACTGACAGTTTGTATCTATAAACAACGTGTATTGCATTTTTTTTTTATCGGAATGTTAATGTTCAAGCGTCTCAATACTCTTTTTTTCTCGTATACTTTAGGTCCCACTAGTTGAGAGCCTATTTTAATATATGACCAACAGGTATTTATTACAGTTTTGTCGAAACGTTAAAGATTTGAGTGACGCCGGGATGCTGGTCAACCATCATAGTAAACATTGGTGTACATAGCACTATAGCTATGGACCGTGAGTCTGTCATGAGGGAAGACGCCGATGCACAGAAAACATACTGAAAAAGGCAATTCTCTGAATCACTCGATTACGGTAACTACCGCTCTTATTGTCCGTCGCTTTTGGAATATCGCTATTGTTTCAGAGACTCTCATATAGCGTTCATAAGTTGAGGGATGTTTTGCTTGCAAACCCACATCATCTGTGCAGCATAAATGCTGTCAGTCCTTGAAGTTGCGGCGGCGGCCCTGACATTGTCCACCATTTATTGCCCCGGCGACGTTCAACTCGGCTCCTCTTGTACCAAGACTCAAGGGACTACACCTTGGTAACACTTTGTACTCTGCATTTGAGATGCAGATTGGCAAAGTACCCGCAAAGTTCAACTCTCACCAGTTATTTCCGAGCCGAACAGACTCGGAGAACAAGGACGACAGGTTCAGAATTCACCCATGATTCGATCAATATCATTGACCAGTGGGTTTCAAATGTTCATGTCATTGTTCGCATGCACAATTTTGCTAGTTGGTCATGACAATCGTACCACGTGTGTATTGATTTTCATTCGGATAAGCACTCGCAGGAACTTTCTGTGATCATGGGATGTGGCAACGAAGCCCTTCGGTGCGCCATTTGGGCGCACGCTTCATTCACTTTACCTTTTTTGTACATAAACATGTGTCCGTATATGTATATCAGTTTGTTGCTCAAAAAGGCAATGCCGGTATCTATAAAGTTTGAACAAGTTTTGAACAGTTTTACCGCACCTGAACACAAGGGGACGTCCAAATTGGACGACAAGGTGGATTGTGTCCTTCGAGGCTTTAATAGCACGACTTTGTAACCCTACTTCACCTGTGGACTTTACTCGTCTACTACTCAGCCTCGTCACAGGATACCTGTTCTTCCGAGCCAGTCACCTTTGTCTTGACGTCGCGCATTAACAACTGTGTTGTTAAGATGTTCAATTCACCAGATTGGGTGTTCTCTATGTTTGCTTTCCTTGGGTTCTTGTGCTGCATGATTCCGCTTCCCTGGCATTTGGAGGGTCAGTGTTTTTATAGCGTTTTTGAGTTGTCCGAGATCTAACCAACACTCTAGCGTGGAACACTGGAACCTGTCTATACATGATCTGGACTGGCTTATCATGTCTCATCCAATTCATTAACTCGATCGTTTGGAGGTCGAATGTGACTAACTGGGCTCCTGTGTGGTGTGATATCTGTAAGAATTTTCTTTATGTTTTTGTTGTGAAGATTGATGTTTATTTCGTAGCCGCGAAATTCATAATCGGGACTTCCGTTGCTATTCCTGCTTGTTCGCTTTGCATCAACCGTCGTCTCTACCACATCGCATCAGTTTCCTCGGTCACGAAGACGAGAGCTCAAAAGAGGCGTGACATCATGACCGATCTGGCCATTGGTGTCGGTATCCCCGTCCTCGAGATGATTCTGCGTACGTTCGTTTGTTGAAAGGAGTCGGACTGTGATTGACCTGATACTCCAGAATATATTGTACAAGGACATCGGTTCAACATCTTCGAGGAAATTGGCTGCTATCCGGCCACTTTTAACACCCCTCCTGCATTTGTACTTGTATTTTCATGGCCCTTGGTCCTTGGATGCATCTCTGCTTACTATTGTGGTACGTTTATTCTAATTTTTGGTTAGCCCTATATCGATCAATTCGTAATGCAGTCCGCACTATTATCGAACTAGCTCAGCGGAGGGCACAGTTCATGGAGTTCCTTTCTGTGAACAAGAACCTGAGTTCTAGTCGTTATTTCCGCCTCATGGGTCTTGCTGGTATTGAAGTGTTGTGCACGATCCCTCTGGGTGCCTATGTCATCTACCTCAATGTTACTGCCCAACCAATTTACCCTTGGATCAGTTGGGCCAACGCACACTACGATTTCTCTCGCGTCGAACAAATTCCATCAGTATTGTGGCGCATGAGTACACCTCTTGTGTTGTCGCTCGAGCTCAGCCGATGGTTCCTCGTGATCTGCGCATTCGTGTTCTTTGCTTTCTTCGGATTCGCCGATGAAGCCAGAAAGAACTACCGTCTCGCCTATGTTTCGGTTACGAAACGCGTGGGTCTTTCGACCGCTGGTACTGTGTCGTCGGGAGGGTCTTGGTCCGTTGGGTATGTCGTCTCACTGCAACGCTCTATGGTGCGATCTCATAAGCAAATGTTCGTTTCAGTTCAAAATCAGAGATGGCATGCAACAGCCGCACTGCTACCATGCCCGTGTTTGTCACTCAACGTACCGAGCAGAAACGCGATTCTCTCAATTCGTTCTCTACCAGCATCTCAATTGGCGACTTTAACCCTGCATTCGACGATGTCAAGGAGATTCCGTACTTGCCAACAGAAATCGCTAATGGTTCGATATCAAAAGAGTCGCTCCCGATCACGCCTGTTGATGGTCAGACAGTCCCACTACCAGACACACCCGCTCTTGCAGGGCCTGACCCCGTGCTTGGCATCAATTCTGTTCCCCGGCTCGTCGCCGACGTCCCTGAATCGCTGCGCAATTCAGTCGATATTGTTTGATTCATATTCACACGACCTTCTTTGTCCTATCATTCCTTGCACGATTGTTTTTATTGTATTTTTAGCTCTCTGGAATCCGGACGTAGACGCTTTTACCCTCGGTTTCATACCCATTACATACTCTCTCAAGTACCTTATGGATATATGTATGAATTTGGTCACAGTTAGACAATGTAGCATTCTTCGTAGGGCCGCCAAATTGAACGTTTTCAAACCAGATGGAGTATAGTGCAAAACGGGAAAAACCGACCTCCGTCACAGCACCAACACAGATCCCTTTCTACATCGCCCCATTCCGTCCGATTTCCACCAAAACTAGTGGAAACACCTCTGTTCGAGCCTAGTGACAAACCTATCTGATTACTTTCTTGAAATTCTTAAATTTAAAAAAATGACGGTCTCAAATTGAGACTTCCCACGCCACCAGCACCGCCACCTTCCTTATTTGGTAGTCGCTCCTCCTCCCCATTGCTTGCAGCGAAGAAAAAACATGTTTGTGGCCTCTGCTGGACCGTTGTAAGTGTACGAAATACATGTACTTATTCAGCGTAGTTCAATGTATCCATTTCGGCCATGATTCCCGCACCAACTTTGCGATGCGAGCAGTATTTCTTCACAGCATATTCAGCTTGCTTAGCATCAAGACCCTTCCTGCACGAACGCGGGTGCTGAGAGACCGGAGGCGAACTATAGCATTGAAATGCTCACCTATAGGCGTCCATATAGCGCCATGTTTTGCGGTAAAAGGCCCGGATAACTTTGGTAGGGCATGCACCCAGTATCTCAGGAACAAGTCTCCTCGCAGTTGGAAAAGTGCCATCTGCAAGCACTCGTAAGCCTGCCGGACTCGTCAGAATATCACTAGATGGCACAGGACTGTTCAACTCACGGATTTTGACCCATCCCCAATACATCTCAATTGGATTTAGCTCACAATGGAACTTCGGCAGAAAATAGCACTTGTGCCCAGCAGCCTCGATGACAAGCTGCAACTGAGGCTTCTCTGCAAGAAAATCGGCCTGGAGTGAGAGCACCTTGCGCATGCAGCATGTTGTCGACTCGTTCGGACGAAGATTGTCTTCAGGAGCTGCATTTTCGTCCTCGGCATCATCAAATAGTGACTGCGCAGCAGCACTTCGAGCGAGCGCGTCATGGGCCTTTTGTGACATCTTGCATGATGCGCAGTCACCAATAAGGGCTTTCCCATTGTTTCCAGCACACAACCTGTCCCAAAGGCCGCGCTCTTCAAGCACAACCTTCATCCCTTTCGGTTGGCCACGGAATTCGTAGAATGGATGGTCGGATGGTAAATTCTCCGCAAAACACATATCCTGAGCCACTCCACGAAGAGCAGAGTTTGGATTGTCAGCAGGAATAGTGGTGGAATGCATGCGACGCTGCTTGCCACCAGGTTTGACGTTCATCTCGTTCGCATTTAATGCGTTCACCGCAAAAGCACCGTGAGCAGCAGATTGATCAAAGAAAAACTCAGCGACGGCATCGGGATAAGTCCGCTCGAAGAGCGGAATAACTTGTTCAACCTAACATTAATTAGCACACATCATCGTGACAGTGTAATGCAAATATTGCTTCGTACCTGTTGAACAAGCATCTCAGCCGTCCACCAACCATCTGCATTCTTTCCTGGAAAAATTATCTTGCGAGAATCATAACATTTGAGGTGTTCGTTCACGGGCAATGTGGTGTCCTCGGCTATCTAAGTGACAACATTAGTCAAAGAACCACAAACGTGAGAGCTGGAAAAACCTGTTCTTCCGACAGGCTCAATCAACCTGTCTCTTCTGTTATGAAGTCCGACACATGAATTGCTTTCCCTTGACCCTTCTTTCGCAGTGGCATTTTCCTCTCCTTTGTCCAAACCCTTTGCTGCAGTTCATTGGACCTGAATATACTCTCGTCATGATGCACCAGAACATGTTTTCGCTCGCCAGGAAGCAAGGTTGGCTCTATGACGTCTAAGGTTTTGTCATCATACGTGTTCCATAGGTGTTCGTTCTCAGCCACTTGGGCTAAAAATGCTTTTCGGTATTCCACGACATCAGCACGCTCGTGGCCATCAACATATATCCCCTTCTTTACACTGGTGAGCTCATAGCCTAATTTCTTCAACCAACGTCTCGCACAATTTTCGGAGATTGTGTTTTTCCCCAGGTTGAGACCCAGAGCAGGAATGATTGTTTCATTGACTTCGTGCTGAAGTTTGCGTGGCGTGATCTAGTAAGTAACATCAATTCTCTATCATTCTTTATGATTGGGTGCACTACTAACTTTTCCAGCCTCTTGTACAGTCAAGAAACAACGAACGGATTGGTGCACTCGCTCGTTATTCAACAGTGATGGGTGTGCATGGTGTTTTCCAGCTTGAGATGGTGGGAGGGTTCGGAATCTACAGATGTAGATGACAAGGTGATGAATCATGCGAGCAAGGTAAGGCCCCTTACCCACAGACTTCGCAATAGCAAGGCTGGCTCGTGTTGCAGGATTTTTGATGTTGGGGATTCACCGATAGCGCTCGAGCAACTCCAGGTAATTTCTGACAGCATGGAGCTTGAATTGTGCACTGAAGGACTTGTGCTTCGTAGCATCTTTGATTAATCCTTCGATGACCTTGCCTATTGGAACATCGAGAGGATCCAGCTCGTCGTCTGCAGTAGGATCGAGGAATGAGGCAGCCTCCGGCACTGGCTCTGTGTTATTGTTAGACGTAGCGGTGTCTGACAGCAGCTCAGGGGCTGTGTTGCAAGATTGTGTTGGTGGTGCGGGTGGCTCCAAGAGATTGACCCATTGGTCCGAGTTTTCCATGTCAGAAGGTGTGTCCGAGTCTGACTCGGAGGATATGCTATCTGACTGCCGAACCTCGATAATAGGCTGGGAAGTATGTGGTACTACCAAAGCGGAGGACCAAAAGTAATTGCTGAGTTTTGCTGTCCCAACTGCTGCTTTGCAAAGTTTGCTTTGCTTTCGGTAGAAACTGCTTCGGCTCGTACCAGTGTAGCTGCCCTTGGCTTTAAGAGGGGCAGCATCGAGATGGTTGACAGGTTTGGTAAATATTTTCTGCCAGAATTCTTCAGCAGCGGCTAGTATCTGGTGAGCTTCGAATTCTTCGGTACCCTCCTCATCAGATGCCTCACAACTTTGGGTATCACCAGCAGCCTTTCGTTTCTTGCCACCATCACCATGATCCAAGTTGTCATTGACAATAGGATCCTCGAAGTCAGAGATGGCACCAAGGTCTGTGATGTCATGCTCTAGTAAGCTGACAATCCAGCCTTCACCATCCGCGTCTGAACCTGAATCTTCTTTGTTGATATAGTCCATGTCATCTGGGTCCTCGACATTGTCAATATAATCTTTACTGAAGAATTTGCTGCCGGGAGCTCGCTGAGCCTGGGCCCGCCGAGCCTTCTTGTTTTTCTGGGGCATGTTTAGACGGGAGATTGGGGCACAAACATATTGTTTTTTTTGTGAAAAATTGGGACTGCTTACATAATCTACGCCAATTTTTTTTATTGCAGATTCATGATCTTTTGACCCAGTTGCATGCCAAAAATGTCAAAATTTTCCTTATCACACCACAATCGAGTTTGCAACAGAGAGGCCTATGCTATCTGTTTTGCACTGTACGTACACTGAGATTTCATATCCAAAATTAAAACTCTCGCCAACACTTGGTAAGTCCAGGATGGAGATAAAGGCTGATTTGGATGCAGCTGCTTAGATGTGATGCACTTTGTGAGATTGATCATACCATCCAAGAAATTCAGAGGGTTACTTCGATTCGGTTCACCCTAGTTTATCTGATGATGGATCTTTCGTGTGCTGGTTTGGACGAGGCTTGGTATCAGCAACGAGTTCTGGTGAGTCGCAGCCTGTCACCAATCAGCATATTACGACTGGGCCCAACTTGTGTGATCCTCGATTATTATGCTCACAAATTTTCATGATGGCATCGCAGGGATGGATATCTGGGAAGGTACCAGAAAGTACGCCGTCGTGTTCAGTGCTTACGCGCACATGAGTTTTAGAAATGCTTGCTGGTGAGATGAGTGTTTACCGGGTGTTTACCCTTGTTTTGCAGTGGCTGTATAGAGACTATTTTTCTGACCGGACCTTGCTTTCATGATCAGTAAAAGTATGTTCCAGAAATGATATCTTGCACGATGTTTACTGAACGTTTCTTTTTCAAGAATGTTATCTGTGTTTGCATTATGATTCTTGGATACCGGAGCAGGAAAGGAATCGACTGCCATTCCAAAATCGCTCACTACCCTTCCGCTGGTCTGCGGTTCTGAACGTAATGCTCGCACATCAGCACAGCAATCAGGTTTATCTTGCCATCGCCGCCTGTCACCCGCTATTGGTCTTCTTCCTGCCTCAAGTAAAATGCTCCCCCAACTGATCCAAGCACGAAACTTTTGGACATTTTTTTGTTCCTCGAAGGCAGTGATCGTTGGTGTCAGGTGAGTTCCTGAATTGCGATAGCGACTGGTGCTCGATGGCTCTTGGGATGTCAATTGATTCATTAGGGTCGTTGTTCAATCATCTATGAGACTTAGTCATGTTCGCACTGGAAGTTTCTCATGGCTCTCGAGCGAGTGTTCTAACTTCTGGGTGGAACACGTAACGTGAGCTAACCATATGCATGGATGGCCAAGATAAGAACTCTGGATTGCGGCCTAGACCAGCTTCTTGGCAATGAAATCTTTAAGAGCAGTGTCATCGCGTCCCTCTGCGCTTCCGGACAGACGCACTACTGATAAATCTAACTTGCATAGGAACCTCCTTCGTTAACATTCCTATGTGCACTCCGCTCTATTGACGAAAATTAACTTTGTTAATGCCTGATATATACTCACTGATCTTTCTTACTGCTCCCATTAGGGGCATACGCCAGCAACATTAATATCACTGATTGCTCTATCAATTTCAGAAACAATGCCAGCCAGAACCTCGATGCAGTATCTGGATTGGTGAATGGCAATGGCTGAAATGTCTCGTCCGTGACGTCGGACATCATGAACGTTGTATTCATTTACTAGATGTGTCTGAGACTCGTAGTGTGGCTCTGCAATACAGGATCCCATCTGGGAAAATATTGCAACAGTCCGGCGCCTGGCTATTACTTTACTTTACGCTCATTTCTCAGCTGTCTTTCGGTGCAAGACATAGATTTGACAATCTCATGTCTGCCATCCGATCTTTCAGAAAGGCGAGCAGTGTCCATTGATACCAACATGAAAAATCATTTTTCTCTCAACGAAATGTTGACTCCGAGTCTGATCCGCCATCTATACTATTATACTTTCAATTATGCCCCGAATGGGTTAGCAAGCTTTCTTATGCATCGAAGAATTTCAATCAAAAGCAGATCTGGACCTGGTTAGAGTATTTGAGACCTAGCCTAGAACGCTCCAGAGCACTCTATAATACATTTCGAATGTAATTTCACTGGCGGTGGTAAAATGCAGGTTTCCCCGCTATGTTAGTTATATTTGCACATGCGTGCGTGATGGTGATACTTACTTGTTCTTAAACTTTGTACACGCCTGTCCACGATCTTTCTGGCAATTTGGTAGCCCTGATGGACTCATTGACACGCAAGTATAGGTCTTCACAGCCAATGACTAATTGAGGCGGGCCTTAATATTGTTATCTGATGACATTTTAGGTGTGTTGACTGCCACTGCCCTTGAGCGGACTCATATAAAAGCAGGGATACCGGTTTCCAGTAAGTTAACCCCGTTTATATAGGCCTAATCTACATACATAGTCGATACGACTAATCTGATGCGCTTGCACAAAGGCTCTCAGGCAGGTGAGCGCAATAACTGGACTGCGTGTTTCTGTTTTTCTCATTTACTACTTGCGCGTAGCTCTCTTTCTCCTACTGGTGCACTCTGTCGGAACAGCCACTGCGGATGCTAACTTTTCTCAGTGTCTGAACGACATCATCTCGAGTGCAATTGCTAACCAAAACTTAGACGGTCTACTCGACGGTAACGGAAATCCAGTGTCAAATGCTTCTGATGCAACATCGATCAGTTACTTGATGTGTACATCTCGTTGCGGGACTGGGCAAGAAGCTTTCCAGTGGTCGGAACTTTTCGCAAGAATTCAGTGCATGGCTGCTACCAAATCTTGCACTGATTTCGCAGCTCCCCTTTGGGGCACAGTACAGGCTTGATAATCTCATGTCTGCTGTGTTGACTGTTGGATCACCAACACTTGCGGGTTACTCTCTATTCGTCACCCTACTCAACTCTCGCTGGATAACCCGCCAGTTCAACTCCCTGGACTATCATCCTAATTCACGCTTCGCGCTCTCCATCTTGAGCAGCCTTCAACAAGTTCCTCTCAGACTCCATCCTGATCGCGAACGCCTACCCTCTCTCATCCTTCCGGAAAATGACTGGTGGAAATGTCTCGCTGAATTTGTGGACTACACCCATACGTGGTCAATTGCGTCCGCAACCTCCATTGCATGGGTTATTGTCGCCTATATCCTGACTGTTGCCAACTCACTATCGAATGTTTACGCAAACGTTCAATCCAATGGAGAGGCCACCGGCTCAATGTGGTTGTGGTTGATTCCGATAGTCGTCGGATGGTTGCAACTCTCCCCGAAATGCGACTTTGGTCGCTTACAAGCTGCTTATGACCGTGCAGACAGACATAGTAGTATGCACACGAGAACATCAGACATTCGTGTCGGGATGCTTCCTGCGTCATCCCGGAGAGCGTTGGCTATAACTGCTAAAGAGGATGATGTGATGTCTCCGGACGAACTCTTGACCCCTCCGGTGTATAATTACTCGCGTTCTCTGCGATGGGCATCTACAGCAGAGAGTGTCTTCATGGTGTTCAAAGAGGACTCAGAGGCATCAGAGAAGATTCATAGCCATCTTCCCGTCTGTAGGAATGATGGGAACGATTCTGGCATTAACGACGCTACCGAAAACATCCAATACATAGACACTACCAACGATATTCATGACAAAAACCGACGCGGGTCCCTACAATACGTGTACTGCGCGGAGCCCGACGGGGCGCAGAGTGTACACAGCCATTGGGCACCTGGTGTGTTCACAAGAATGTTTATCGCTTCCTGTGCTTCACTTGCATTACAATGGGGAACAGTCGGAGCAGCATTTCTGGTGGGGTGGTTCACGCCTACAACAGTGGGTCTTCCTGTATCCTTGTGATCAAGTTGGCTAACGTCTGACAGACAATCGGATGTCGATCTCTGGGTTATCTCCTTTACGGAGCCATTTCAACTTTAGCTTGGATGATGCTCCTGATGTCCAGTATTCTCGCCCACTCTTCCGCCGCTGACCGACGCCGAGTATCTACACGCGTTGCTTTAGCGTTTTCGCACATCCTGCGGTGGACGGGCAAATTTTTTGCTATGTTGAACTTTTTTTTGGCGATCATGACGTGCGTATTCCAGTACTCCAGTTTCTACGATAGATGTTTCTGCAATTCCAGCGTATTTAGCAGGGGAAGCGCAGCGTATGCTGTAATCATCGAAACCACAGCCCAAGCTGCGCAGGCTAAGGTTGCTTGGATCGGTGCCCTTGTCTTAGCGTGTACATCAGCATCAGGTTTCCTTTTTATCTTGAATCTTTTGTTGGATACCCTACCATCGTAGGTAATTTGGAGGAGTGACTTATCTTGTAAGACTGTTTGTAGTAGTATCATGTTCTGATATGTGACTTGATCGGACTTCACGAAATCATTATTTCGTTGGATGATAAATGTTCAGGGACTGTAGGGAGATGATATTTGTCTTACCGTAGCCATATGTACTGAATGAAGATTGAGAGAAAAAAATGAAAGTAAGTAATGTTATCTGACGAGAAGGCAAGCCTCACATTCAATGTTTACCATTGTTATTACACGAAATACTAATAGACTTGAAGTTACGATCAACACCGGGCCCAGCATGTATTTGGCTGTGTCGACTCTCGAGAGCTCTCGAGGCTATCATTAGTTTGTGTTTTTCTCCCTTGCCTTCAGTAACAGTCATATGGTTGCGGCTAAGATCTACCTCCTTCTCTGTGCCACAGGAGCGCAGTACTATGCCATGACACCTCCAAATGCCAGACCTTCCGCAAAGGAACGTTTGAATCCTACCGGTTTGGAAGTTGTCGTCCCTTGGATACACATTTTAGTAAAGGTATCATCATGCAGAATATCTTGCACAATGTTTATGCACTGAACGTTTGCTCCAAGAGCATCATCGGTGTTTGCGTGTTGTCAGATATCATCCTCGCATACGCAGCGAGAAAGGAATCGACTCCCATCCCGAAATCGCTCACTGCCCTTCTAGTCCGCAGTGACTTGTGTTCGTTATCAAACTTGGACCATGCCATGTTGTCCCCCGCACTTGTAGCTGGGTGTTTTCTGAGCGTCATCGGCGGTGCTATTCGTATCCATTGCTACTCTACCCTAGGCAGGCTCTTCACTTTCGAACTCAGTATTCGCCAGGATCACAAGCTGGTCACGTCTGGGCCTTATTCCATTGTTCAACACCCCAGCTACACTGGTGGACTATGCGTTTTTCTGGGCTTGTTGCTCTGTCATTTGCACACTCGGTCATGGATGGTTTCTTGCTCGGGCCTATTTCCTTCGTCGGACCAGGGGGTAATTTTGGGATGCATTTGGGCTGGGTTATTTGGTTTTCTTTATTCTGGACTTCGTGGGCGAATCCAGAAGGAGGAGGCGATGTTGCAGGGAAACTTTGGAGACCAGTGGAAAAGTTATGTGAAGAGGGTACCCTATAGATTAGTTCCGTGCTTGTTCTAGGTCGCGGTCATTTAATCAAGACACTATCAAAGCATTAAAATACTCCAAGAGCAACTTCTTGATCACTAGATTATAGGGGAATGATGAAAAGAGAAACTAAATCTTAACCAAACGCTCCGCGAGGCAAGAAATAATTATCAGGGATACAGGATATGTAATTGTGACCGTAATTGTGAAAGAAAGCAAGTGAATGCTCGACATGTCAGTAAAAGGGCGTGGAACGCACAATTAATGGTTAAGGGGTTAACATCAACCCGTCGGCTTTGCCTTCATCAGGTGGAGCTGCAATCCCCCTTCCACACACCGATTCAGACGTTCCTTCAACTCGACAATTGTTTTGTCCCGCGAATCCTGTCCATGGTCAAATGCTGCGATCTGCAAGCAAAATTGTCCCAATTTCGGACTAGCGTTGCACCTCGACTCTACAAGCTCCGTAACCTTGTCGGTGGAAACACGTTTTGAGCATTTGAGACTCAATGATTCGAGTCGAGGACAGACAGAGGTGCCTTGAGAAGCTCCAGATAAAATGAGGCTGTCCACGAGGTTGTGATTGAGTTGAAGAGGGCCAGGCAGGAAACGTAGGTGTTTCAAGCGATGAAGCTGGGAGAGGCACGAGAGCATGTCAACATCCGATATATTAATCGTGTCAAAGGATAGGTTCTCGAGAGTCTCTGCGCTTCGAGAGATGAAGGGCAGGGGTTCCATTTGGCTGGCGAACGAACCCATAGCAAGACTGACGTTCTGAAATTCAAATGTGCGCAGCTTCGGCGCGTGGAGCGCATCGAAGAACTGGCGGGTGTAGAGCGTTTGGCAGAAGAGGCGTACTTTCATTGATTCCAGGTTGGGAAGTGTGACAGCCATATCTGTATCAGCGTCGAGTGTTGTCATTCCTATTCCGATAGAGCAACATTTGAGATTAGGACATTCACGAAGCGTAATGAGGTAGTCGTTGTGAACGGGATTCCAGTAGGGGCTGGCGTCATACTGAAGAGACAACTCTGTCAGTTGGCTCCAAGGGACGCAGAACTGAGCGGTGTCGAGACTACCCCATGCAATTGAGAGGCTGCGGAGGTTGGGTGCATCATGAAGAAACAATGGAGCTGGGTTGTCATTGCTAGGAAAGGGATTGCTGTTATGAAGCTCAAGACGGCGTAGATGAGGGAGTGGACTTTGAGTGAATGTCAACAAAAAGCTGAGTGCCAACGGAGAAAATCTAAGGCAAAGCTCTTCAATGCGGCATCCCAGAGTCAGGATCTCCTTGTCAAGTGACATAAGAGCACCCCACGTGATTGGAGAGCTACTTGCATGCTGGAGGGTTAGGGAAATTGGAAGAGCTTTTGCGCGCGATATCCACACGTGCATAGACATGATTCTTGACTGCATGACATTCTCCCAATTTGGCGTTGCGGATGGAAACCCAACCTTGAGTGTCTTCCACAAACAAGGAAGAGAGAACATGAGGTCTCTCCAAGCGCCGCAAACTTGACACAATAACAAGGGAGCTCGAAGAGGATCAGGCTCCTGACTTTCTTCATCCTGAACGCATTGTTCGAAGATTTGTGTCATGATCTCTATTGGCATGCGGCGAACGGGGGACCTCAGCGCCTCCAATTTTTGGACCATTTCCATGGTCGCATTATGTTTAGCCTCGAGGCGTAAAACCTCTGCGCGGGCGCGATCCAATTCCTCCTTAATAAGCTCAAGCTCAAGGTTTTGTTCTGCAAGGAGATGGCTAATACGCTGTGTATCCATTGGAGAGGGGACACAGTTCGTTTGGAAAAGTCGTACAATGGACGTCTGAAGGGAGTAGCTGAGCCAAACTTATATATGTTGTGTAGATCCGTGTCACATACTGGTATTTTTGGATCCATAACAGCAGAGAGAAAGACCTGGAGGTGTGTTCAGGCTGTTAGTTTAGACAGTTTTGCACTATTGCAGTCCGGCTCTTTAAAGGAGTCGTTTTTTGAGAGGGGGAAGAAAAAGAACACAAGCACACGAGGTCCAAGCGGACCTTTGCAATGCGGCTTTTATCTAGGTGTAATTCGCCTCCACCTTTACGTGTTTGTCCTAAACATGAGATAACGCTGAAGATCCCTTACAATTAGCTCCCTGTCATGCCCATTGACATGTCGAAGGGACTTTTTGAAGGAAAGCTGGCACGCTTGAGCCAGGCTTGCATTTGACGCCGTTGATGTATACATGGCTAGTAGTGGCGAACCTGACACCCACATGGTCAATACGACATATGTCATATTGTTGTGAAGAATTTGGTACTGTTATTTCTGAAGGCTCTTGCCAAATAAAATCAACCTTCATGTTATGTTAAACTTGACGACTCTTCGCATTTATTCAAATTTCCGTGCTCGATGTGAGGTATGTGCATGAAGAATCACTCCACAATTTTCATGCATTGTGTTGGAAAAATACAAGGGGCATCATAACTTAGCCGGCAAGTTTGGTTCTTCAAAGTGCCTAGAGAGATATTTATATGCCACAACAAACAAAGGAAGCTATCAAGATGCGCCGTGTGGTGATATGGTGGACGATAGGCTACGGTTATATTTGCCGCGACCTACCTGGAAGTTCTGGGCTGTACTAGCATGTCACATCATGACATTGGTGTTGTGCAACTTGAATGCACCGTCAGAGCACTTGTCACAACATCATCTCTCCAATCAGATGCTGTGTCTCTCAGATTTCCAGGGTCAGGGTAAGTCTTCTTCATGAAATGATTTCAATGACGAAAATAGCACAACAACGTTGAAATTTCAAGACCGACTAGGAGAATAGTACTAGCATCTTTGATCTCCCTCGGGCTATCAATATCTTGGAAGGTGTCGTAATGACAAGCGCTCTCCTAGAACAGGTTTGAGATCCGTCGCGGTCTTCTTGATTGTGCAGCTGCGATAGCAAAGTGCATCAAAAGGTTGTCCAAGGCGAACCATCAAACGCAATGCTCGTGAGTGAGAATTCGAATAAACCGGCTGGGTTTGTGCAGTAGGTGAATCATACGACGGAGATGACGCCAACGTATATTATCTCTACAGTACGGATGTCCATGTGTCAACTGAAGTCATGTCCTTGACTTGTGCAATGATATCATGGCCCATCCTTTGTATTGTCCGCCACGCTGCTGCGCTAGCAAAAATGGACCGAAAGGCTGTCCAATGTAAACCATCAACCGCAATGCACACGAGTGAGGCTCCTCTTCTACAAATTTGAACTGCCGGGTGACTTGTCATTTCCGTCCGTCAGGGACCCGGCGGTGAGCTCGGTCCAATCTTACCGTCTGCGAAGTCAGGCACCCCGAGAAGATGCCGATCACATGGATGAACAAACAAGAACATTTGTCGAATGGGCTTTGGCCGCAAAATCTGAATCGGGGTTCCTTCAGTCAGCTCATGAAATCCGTCTTCTTTGATTCCATATGTGATGGGAGTCTCCTAGGCTAGGCCATGCCTCCGTCTGTGACACGGAATGAAATGCAAGTCAGATGCAGTCTACAGTCTGCGAAGCGAGCTGTTCAAGCTAGTCATAAATTTTCAATGCCAGATCTGCAAGCACGGTTTATCGCAGCGAAGAGAGCTGGGTGCGAATATGATCTTCAGACAAAGATGAAAGGGTGCGTGATATTCTCCTGCGGAAATTACTTGAGTGCATTCTGTTTCTTCTTGTCGTATATTAAAGGTAAGGGGGCATTGTCGAGTTCAATCCAAACTTCGAATAGCGTCTACTGTTTCGGATGGACAGACATACATGCTGATGCAGATACCCCTCTATCGGACTTCTAAATAAGCCGCGGCAAGTCGGCAAATTCAGAATGTGAATCCACGATTTCTGTGCATTCAAAAGATTGCTTATTAACTGACTAACTTTGCAGGTGATATCATCGAGGCTCAACTTGTTGTCATCCATGGTACTGAATAATGTGCTTATAAGACACTATAAACAGGTTCAGCACACAACGTCGTCACTGTCAGGCCAATAAGTCAATGCACCCAACGCTGAAGAACTATGACCGACATACCGAGGGCAGCAAGCGGGTCCCACTTCTGATCTATTGTGATAATGTTGTTTAGTGTTTCAATCATTCAACAGGCAGCAACGCTTTATAAAGATCGATCGAACCACAATTCGAACTGCTTCATACTCTGGAAAAATCTTTACTACATTTGTTCGTACCGTAGTGTGAATCCTTTGCAACTTTATACAACTATCTTCACGATTACTACATCAAAACAAGGTTTACAGTAATGCGCAACTTCCACTGATAAACATGGTACTCGTCAGACTGACAACGTGAGAGACGTTGAAGAGCACTCACAGCTAACATCACAGATCAAACCCGAGTGGTACAACTCTCTTATCGGCTGAAGCGCTTCACTCTGTCGAGGACTGGATGGCGCGTGATCAATGATCGCGACTTGGTAGTTAACATAGATGGGACGGACCAGTTTCATATGCAACTTCAGTCAGATCCGTTCCCTGGATTTCCACACCAATACCATCTAGGGGCTTCCGCAATGCGTCCTTCGAGGATGCGTGGACCATCTTTGCCCGAATGGGTGCATTGTCTGGTGACCTGTGGTTACGAGTTGAGCACACAAAGTAGTTAAAATGGTGCCTCAAGGTGATGAATCATCGGCCAGATGAACTGCGGACCTACCAGGAGAAGAAGCAGAGCTTGTTCCTCTGCGATCCATCTTCCAACTTATACTGGAAGTCATAGACCGCCCATTTACAACCATCGGCAGGCAAGTTGTCCAGAAATTCTTCGTAGTCAGAATTTCCCGAAGTCTTGTCAACGACGATCTCTGTCCGGCTATCGTTCAACTTGAATAATATGTACTTAAGCGACTTGGACATCTTCAATTGTTGGAATTCCTGGAAGCATTCGGAAGCTACTGCCACTCCGGACGACTATCAAAAACGTATCAGGACAAGCTTTGTTATTGCGTGTGCTGCTCACCATATCGAATAAGATAATGAAAGAGAGATGCAGTATGTTGGAAACAATCGCGATCAAGATAAGTGCAGAGTGGATACTGAAACGGCAGTTGCCAGCTCCGATCCAACAATCACATCACGTGACACTGCGCTTGCGGACCGCAGTCACGGACTCACGCGCACGGTAGCCTGCGGCCTGCGCAGCTAAGTATGTCGAAAATCCCTTGGCCAGGAGGGACATGCAAGTTGGAAGAATGCTATTGATGATGGCAAGTATATATTGACAGCCGGTTTAAGTTTTGATCACTGATTGATGTCTCAACCAATTTACCCAAACCAAAACATTGCTATGCCACAGGAGACCTGTCATTTTCTCCAAAGGCATGTACTGAAACCACGTGGATCTGTTGACAATAGAGTGCCATCTCATTATGGCTGGTACAGGCGATGTGCCGCCGATACTTAGACCATGAGAAGACCTCTGAAATCTAAGTTTATGAAATTCCTCCCTGACCGCTAACTTTCTTTTCGAATTCGTCTCATACCTGATCATCATGACTGACCCACCATCATCTGGATCGCAGCAGTCCGAGTCAAGCTTGTGGCAATCACTGTACTATTTGCCAGTGTTATTTTTGAAAGCTCTTGTCAAACAAAGCCAAATCATAGCTACCACGCTTCTCCGCCTTGCGTGGCACAGGACGTACGCGTCACGTCTATTTCACCGCAACACTCAATTCTCATAAATTACAAGGGCATTAAACTCAGGCCACGTTGCTTGCATTGAGGAAACCATGCCGTCATCTACATCAGTACCAGTAGAGCTACCCAAACCGCCGAAACTGGATCTGGATAAGTTCGTTGCGACTGCCCTGTCAGCTACGCCAGCGGAACTCCATCCATTTTTTGAATCTTTCGGAAAACTCCACACGAGAAAGTAAGAGGGTGATTAATACAGTATATTCATTACTCATCGATCACACAGACTATGGCACCAGCTGACGCTCAAGCTATATGAGTTCTTTGACCACCCGTTGTCACGACCCTTCCGTGTAAATGTTTTTGAGCAATTCGTGCGCGACTTTGAGTCCAAACTGAACCAACTCAAACTCGTGGAGATGGGAACTAAAGTATCGAAGGAGATCGACAGTAGGTTTGACCCCCAATTCTTAAATGATCCAACCTGATGTCCCATCAAGACCCGCAAAGCCAGCTTCTGTTCCTCAACTCCATACTTTCACGGATTGATGCGGAAACATCACAGGAGGCATACGTGCTGCTGCTTGCAAACATTGCATATGCAAAGCTGGTGTACGGCGATTTAGAGGGTACCAAGACGGATATGGATACTGCCTGGAAAACACTCGATCGACTGGAAGGAGTCGACACTGCCGTCAATGCTTCGTATTACAAAGTTGCCGCTGACTACTACAAGGCAAGAATTTTCGAGAATGTCGCAGTTCACCTCGTTGACTTACCGAAAACAGGCCAAAGCAGAATATGCACCGTATTACAAGCATTCGCTGCTGTATCTGGCATGTGTCGATGTAGCAACTGACCTTACTTCAGAAGAACGTTTGCTGCGCGCACACGACCTTGGCATTTCGGCATTTCTCGGCGACACTATCTATAATTTTGGGGAGCTGGTAAGCAGATACGTGAATTTGAAACATCCACTTTCATCGGTCACAGCCTGAGGATGATCGTTGACTGACTTCATCGGTGTTAGTTGATGCACCCAATACTCGACGCGTTAGACAACACGCAGTATGATTGGATCAAGAAGCTGTTGTTCACATTTAACGAAGGCAACATTGGCAAATTCGAAGCACTGGCACCACTGTTTCCGCAGGAGGTACGTGCGTGTTGTTGCGGAGACTCGTACCGAGTCGAGCCGACAATTTGACAAATGAGCTCTGCCACAGCCGATTCTGGAAGAGAACTACCCCTTCCTTCGCCAGAAGATATGTTTGATGGCGCTGATCGAATCAGTGTTCAAACGGAACGCAAATGACCGAACGATGTCTTTCCAGACTATCGCCGAGGAGACTCGACTTCCGGTAGACGAAGTGGAACACCTCATCATGAAAGCACTGAGGTCAGTGCATTCTTCGTTGAATTGAAATATGGGCGTTACATGTGCTGATAATCTAATTGACATCGGTACTTGCCGTTAGCCTCAAGTTGATTCGAGGTTCCTTGGACCAGGTGGATCAAAAAGCGCGTATCACGTGGGTTCAGCCTCGTGTTCTGTCGCGCGCACAAATAGGCGAGCTCGCGACGCGGCTTGGAGTGTGGATAGATAAGTTGGGGAGTGTGGAACAGAGGATGACTCCACATGTATCTGCGGCGGCATGAGTACGTTCACCGTGCTGTAAGGTAGAGATTAGTGCCAAGGATATTGTTCTGGAGCAAGAATGATCGATGTGACACGCTGCATGCAGAGTCATTGTACGAATTTTTAGAAGGAACACGTTTGCGGTTCCGGATCAGATACGAAGGTTATAACGGTGGTTTGCGAGCACGTTGAGGCACGATGCAGATTTTGCATGACATAGAGGGAACTGATGAGATTGATATGAGTATGTTTGAACCGTAGGGAAGGAGGGTTTAAGCCGTAGTAGGGGAAGAGGCACTGCTATCGAATGCAGGCTTCCTCATTTAGGGTGTGAAGTACTGACAGCATGGCTCATTGCTGTCCAGCAACAACCTAAACTAGTTTCAAAGAATCTGTTAGTTCAAATCTGGTACTTCATCCTCTCCGAGTTTCTTCTGTCCTCATTGCAATCCACGACTCAACGATTCGAACTATCTGAGCAGGCTGTACGGTACAGTGACAACGTCAGTCCATCAACGTGTCCGGTGATACCCTCACGCGAGGTCTGCCTCCTGCAATTCATATCCGATTCTACTTCTCCCGGTTTTCATTATAACCTTCAAAAGATTATCATTTTTCATCCAGGACTTGTCTTTGTCGAACTTCATCTGCAATGTCAGAATCAGCAGACCTGACTTGCAAACCTCCGACTACTGTCACTTTTTCTTTTACAGCCCCCTTTCCTGCAGTATCCTCCTCTATTTCATCAGCATCATCAACCTCTTCCGCGCTTAAGCAAAGGCGCGTGTCGCTTGCGCTTCCGTCCTCCCCCAGGCTTGTACCAGCGTGGAATTTCCGTGACGACACCGGCCTCACTTCGCATGTTGCTGAAACCTCTGCACCAATGCCAGAACGTAAGGGAAAGATGCGCAAGATCGCTGGTGATGGCGACTACCGTGAATCAATTGGCTCTTTTATAACCCAACAGAAGAAACCACGCAAGAAATGGTCCGAAGAAGAGACCCAAATGCTCGTCGAGGGTTGCAACACGGTACATACGGCTTTCAAATAATGTCTCACACAATATTAATACCGTTCCCTCAGTGGGGCGTCGGCAATTGGAAGGCCATATTGAAAGATCCGAAACTGACTTTTGACAACCGCTCGCCTGTTGACCTCAAAGACAGGTTCGTATTCCTTAATTTCCGCTTGTTCATATTTGTACCTGACCTCTGCTAGATTCCGCACTTACTTTCCTGACGCGTACAAGGAGCACTACCCCAATGCGAAGACCCATCTGTCCAGTAAAATTCGGTCAACTCTCCCAGATGGACGCTCCATTTTTGAGAAGACGCGTAGTAAGAAGCGTCGTCCGTTTACTGAGGAAGAGGACCGCGCTCTCAAGGCTGGCTATGAGAAGCACGGTACTGTATGGGCAACGATAGTCAAAGACCCCGTCTTCCAGGAACAGAATCGACGCTCAACTGACCTCCGTGACCGTTTCCGCAACGCGTTCCCTGAGCTGTATCAAGCAGCGGGCTATAAGCCACGGAACGCGCCTAAAAAGCGGAGAGAGTGTGTCCAGCCACTTCCCATTCGCTCAGCAACTGATGATCAGTTGACTGCGCACAGCAGCCACATAGGTCCTGCCCGCAAGAAGCGCGTGCAGTCAAGGCAGGGTATGTTCAGAGGTGGGACGAAGAGCGTCCCAGAGAGCGCAACATGCTCTGAAGATGACGACAGCTCAGGTGGTGAGGAGGAGGGCGGCACCAGGCTGTTTAGATGCCCACCTATTATGCACGACATCTCTCAGCCTGATGATACGTCTTCGCCAGACGGACTTGCGGAGATGGACATGGAGACAATAGACCCCTTGTCCGAGCCACTATCCATTCCCGATTTCATGCCTAGTGCATCGCAGTCTCTCTCAGAGCTCACGGACTCCTCTCAGTCACAGACTTGGTCCAGCATAGAGACACCTCTCAACTCCGCGACGTGGTCCGCGACCACCGCTTCTCCGACATCATCACATATTTCTTCTGATTATCTGCTCGGTCATTCTCTCTTTGATCGTCGCTTGAACACTATTGGAAAGTCACCTTGGGGTCCGCACGACTGGTTTTCTGCCAACCCGCGGCTCGATACGTCTGCTTTCTCCAGTAGTGGGTCATCATTTGCCGACGGGTTGTCTCCTGCACCATCATCTCCATTTTCCTTTCATAACCTCAACCACGGCGTCGTCGATCGTTACGACCTCTTTCCGAGTTCCTTTCCAAGCGACTTCACTTCTGATGTCGGCGTTGGAGATTCACATTCCACATTTTCGGACCATGAGATGTTTGCGTCGAGCAGTTTCAGGGGATTCACACATCACTCCAACTATGCCGGTGACCTCATCTTTGGCGCACGGACACATCAACCCCAGCAGTCATACTATGGCCCCGGATTCGGGTTTGGTACATCTGGCCTTGGACTCTCAGGGATGCAGCAAGCTACCGGCCTACATCCTCTCCAGATCCACACCCCTGCACTGCCAGGTATTGACGAGATCGAGCTGGCGTCGATCACGCTCAATGACCAAGCGGAGATTTCGGGCGATGCCGCTCAGACCACTGGTGAGATTGGAGTGCAGAAAGATGGTTCAGAGGCGTCTTTAGGTCTCTCTGCCCTCGAAATATATACCATGTCGCAGCAGAACATGGATGATATCGTCGACTTGACGCATTCCACTCCCCCTGCAACACCCATTACCTCGACTCGGCCTCTACGAGGTCATCCCCACATGCACGCATCGTCTCATCATGGTCGGTCTATCTCAGTTCCCCCATCCGAACACCGGTATATGTCTACCCACATGTCGCAGAGTCATGGTGCGTCTCAACCACAGATCACGAGTACTCGCTCGCTCCCTTTCTTCGACACTGTTCCGCTCTCACATCCTTCTGATCTGGCATCTATGCATGCACCGTCTTCGTTATCATCAGGGGCAGAGTTGTGGCGACCCTCAAACCCTACTGACTTCCACGGTGTTCCCTACCTTGATTTGCACTATTTCAATAGCCATGCTACTGATGGACATGATGCTAACCCCATGACCATCGACACTTCGCGTCAAGGGCAAGCGTTAGACCTTGCTCGTTCACATCCTTCTCAGAAGTCGGCTCCTCCGGTACCGTACTCCACAGTCTCTCAGGAACTTCAGACGGCGCAGGCGCTTCTGACAGGCACCACCGTACGTCAGTCACACACGATGCACCACCGCGGGACGAGCTTTGTCTCCCCGCAGGATCTGCACTTCCGCAAAGTGAGCGATAACAAGCGGAAGAGGGCGAGCTGGGATGGCGGGGTCTTCTAGCTCATTGATTATTTTGCTCTGATTCGTGAACTCGGGAATTCTCCGTCGAGAGACATCCGTTTTCTCTAGTTTCTTATCTCTTCGTTCCATGATTCGTCATCATAGCATTGCATGTTTCGATCGCATCCCATCCCATAATCTATGTTTAGCTCCAGTAGCAAGCATCATGTTTCAACACTATCATTTATGAATTTTATGACTTTATGTAATTATACGTATACATGTGCAAGCTGAGAGGCTCAAAATGGGTGTCTTGAAGGTCCAGCTTCTGCGTTAAGCTGCCCTGTTGGTTCTACTTCCATGGCGATCTCATTGCTGGGTTCTTCTGGGGGAAGAAGGTACTGGATCTCCTCGAACATATGAGGAAACAAGATGGCCAGCATGTCGTTGATTCTGGCGCCCGCACGTGGTGAGAATGTGAAAATAGCACACTGGGGTGAATCTTACTTGAAGATAAAGTCGCCCTTTTGTGCCTGCTTCTTCTTCCCTGAAGATTCTACGGTCTTCTTTCCGGCATCCATGGTGAAGGGTGTTAAGTTGAGTGTTCCAGCGGAATTGTCCTTGGTGTAGAGTGAGAGGCCTTGCCGAGCTGCTAGGTCGAGAATGTTCTTTTCCACGGTATCTATCGAAAAGATATTAGGAATGAAAGGCGAAATGACATCTTGGACTAGAAGGTGATACTTACCCTCGGCGTAATAGCAAAAGACTAGAAGGTAAGAAATTGAGAAGCAAGTAAACAGAACAGGTTGTTCGACGCATACCTTCTGTTGGCTTGGCCTGTCCCATACGATCGATCCGTGCAATCGCTAAGATGGGATCGGTGAGGTGGTTGCAGAGTTCAAAACCAAAAGCGAGCCAACCTTGAACTTCGAAGCCATGGTTTACTACGCTTTCGACGAGGAACACACGCGAGGCACAAGTTACATTCAAGCCAGCATTATCTCTCTCCCTAAAAAGTGTTAAGATAGAGGATAAACAAGTATGCGCTGAGGCCATACCCGTGTAGTAACAATACTTGTAGTGCAGGGTCTGTGCGAAATTTCTTAGCACCGCTGTCTTTGCCTTTGCCCTTCGCGTGGTCGAGCCTTAGATATGGGATACCTGCGAGTCCGTCAGCACGCTAGCCAGGACAGCTGTGAAAAACTCTGACCATTACAGTTCAGGGCATGTTCTATGACTGCGAAAGAAGTTGGATTATTACAGAGGAGTAAAGCTTCGGAAAACTTGCTCTGCAGTGAATCGGCCCACGCCGAGAATACAATGCTCTTTGCACCTGGGTCGGTGAATTGGATATACAATAAATGTCTGACAAGCGCCTGTATTTTGCTTCCATAACTTCCATTTGATTCCATAGTCTGTATCTCCTCAAAGATTGTAGGGTCTAGTGGCACACATCAGGTAAGTCACAAACTGAGTGATTAGACGTGTCCTGACCTATCATGTTGTATTGGATTTCTCTTCGAGACACTGGTGCAGGCTCTTTGTTCGTCATGACGGGTTTAGCAGGGGCAGGCTTGTCTGTTTTGACTGTGAAGCGCTGCAATTGATCGATATTGATAATGACACTAGAAACGCAGTTTGTCACGATGACTTGTTAGCAGGCAAAGAGCGCACCGGCAAACCGGGCAAGCTCTTCCGTTTTTTCGATTGACCCAGGCCTTCATACATCCCTAGATGTGTGTCAGGAAGTTTCATTTACCAAAGATATCCGAACTTACCTCACAGAAAACGTGCGCGCTATATGAGTAGTGCATCGGTCCGCATTCTTGAAACTCTCAAAAAAAGTTGACATACCATTGAGTAATGAATCCTCGCTTAAAGTCGCATCTACAAAGAATGCACGCTTCGTCATCCTCGTCAGTGATGCCCTCTTCTTTGTTCTTTGCTAAATGGTCAAGGTACCGCTGTCGCGCGCGGGATGTGTTGATTTTGCCTTCCAATTCCATTCGTTCGGCTGCACATTCCTCCATAGCCAATTCAACGGTACCCTCCCATAAGACTTCTGTGACAGTATCAGAGATTTCCTGCAGTTGACGGAAATAGCTGTGGGTGTGTTTAACCAGTACTAGTGTGAATCAATGTCGATCGTGAGCTTACAGGATACGTTCGTTGAAGATCTTTCGCAGTTGACTCAAGTCAGCATCAAGCTTATCCATGAGCGCCACTACATTCATAGTGAGTATGAAGTAGCTAGAACATCACAGCGACAAACCTTGTTGCGCGATCAAGGTTCGTAAGGAGTTTACGCCATCCTTGGCGATGACCTTCTCAGGGTCCTTCTCAGATGCGATGCGAGCCGCCACAGCACTCAGATCGACCATGATAGATCGCAGTGCTCTCCCAGAAAACTGGTCATGGAGATCTTTACGCTGCTCTGTGAGGTCTCTGTGCAGGACTTCATGTTGAGGTTGAACTTCGATATCTTCGGGAATCTCAAATTCCTCCGACATTGCCCTAGCAGCTGCTCTTGCGGCTGCCTTCGTTTGTCGACTTTTGTGTTCCCGTGCATCATGCGCAGCAAGGAGCGTTCGTTCGGAAGAAATCGCCTCTCTACGATCCGCGAGCAGTGCGGCATATGCTTGCATATATATCTCGGCCTCGCCCTGAGTTTCTAACGCACGAGAGTACTCCTCCCCATCAGCCTGGTCATTGTTTGCTGCCAACTTCTGAGTCAACAACGCATAGATGCAAGTGCGCCACTCCCACAGAAGAGCAGTCTGTTCATTCAATGCGAGCTCTATGATCTCATTGGCTTCGTCAAACTACCCAGACGATGTCAGTATCGACAAAAGGCAGGATACTCCTGGCAAGGAAGCTCACGAGATGGGTCGACTTGATTCCGCCTTTGTCAAGAAGAGGAAGCGGAATCTGTAAGGACTCCTCGGTAACGCCTCGTCCAGTAGTGTCTGCATGCAGGAGGTTCATCGCTTTGTTGGCACTCTCCTCTGTCGCTGCGTGTGTTGTCAGTGGGAATGTAAGGAAAGCTGTTGAGAATGCGTACATTTTAGCAAATCTTTTCGCAGCTTCTCAGCTGCAGCATACGCGGCATCTTCCTTATCTGACTGCAATGCACCTAGAACATGATACACATCTCCCTGCAAAAATTTGACACGATGCAAGACGATCAGACACTCCCGTAACCGCTGCTGCAGGGCCCGCCGCCGGATACTATGCTCTTCGCCTGCGGGAGTCTTGGGAAGACCTCGGTCTTCAACGTCATCAACGTCATCAACGTCCTTCATCTACATCGGTGAGAGGTGACATTGCTCGTTTTCCTTTGCCCTTGTCGGTCTTTGAAAGGTCCGGAAGGTCCTTCTGACGAGATTCTCGGAGAGCTCGCGCTTCATTTTTCAGCGCTTCTCCTTTGACATGGTGTTCTGCTATGTTGGTCTTAATGTCGTCGATTATTTCATTTGCTTCTTGCTCTGCCGTTATGAGGTAATCCAAAGCACGTTGGTATCGATCAAGGTTCTGTTCGTTGTGTTGCTGGAGCTGTGCAAGGCGAACAAGGGTTTGAACCTGGAGGGACAAATCAGGTCTTGTAAGCACGGGTAAAAAGAATGACGATATTTGCCTTAGTTTTACGATCATCCATGAAATTACGCCAGTTCTGGTCTCTCATAGCCTAACATCTATGAGCCCAACATATTAGGAAAGGGGGAAAACACATGCCTCGAGAACGTCGCCGATGCTCTTGAGGGCACCAGGCTTATCACCTGGCCGCTGCAACTGTCCGACTTGAGGATGAGTACAGATGCCACGAAGCTTTCTCAACACATTTCGCAGCAGAGTAGCATCGATCTGCCACCCTTCAGAAGCAGCAACTCCGCGCGCGTCCAAACTAAGCTCAACTAATGCTGCCTCGAGATGGTGATCGTAAACCTTTGGTATTGTCATTCCTTGTCTCTCAGCGGAGGTGTCATGACTTACGTGACGTTCAACTCTTCCTAGCTCAATACTAACGAGATATCTGCACTGCTGCGGAATGGTTAATTCATCCTTGACTGCGGACTTGAGTGTTCTAGCGTGGGTTGAATAAGGACACGTAAGGCTCCTTCGTCAAATCACTCACCGGATAGCATATCGTTGAAATAGGTCAGCGAATTGTTTCTTGAATGCGTGTTTCATCAAACGACTCCACATGCGGGTAGGACCGACGACATCGTCGACACGTAAGAACCTTTCACAGTGGTATTAGTAGATCATAAAAAAATGTACAGTCTATCTAACCTTAGAACACGAATAAGGTCAGAAACTTGAGTACGGGCTGGTGTTCCAGATACCGCAAACGAAGATAGTCGAGGGACCAAAGATACCATCTCTCTGAAGGCCAGAATCATCCAGTAAATCGATCACTAATAGAATAAGCGATCTTACTCAGATTTTCCGGTCCCCATCATTTGCACTTCATCCATAATCACTCTATACCACTCGCACATGACAAGTGGACTTCTAGGACGGTCGAGGTTTGAGTACTCCACCTGTGCACGACGAGGACGTTTGGGTGGTGCGCGGGCAACAGTCAAATCTTGACGAAGCACGTTGTATGTCGTGATGCAAACATCAAATGTGTTCACATAGGAGCACCAATCAAGTATGTCGTCATCCTCGTTGTAAATCGCCCTCGCCCTCCCTTTTTTGGTCTTTTGAACTTTGAACCCGTTTTCACCAGGTTTATGCTTCTGGGCACTGCACCGTCGTTCTCGTTCGTCTTCGACATCTTCCAAAGTGATGGGCACACCGACTTTGGACCAACCATCGTAGATGAGAACCTTGAGCCCCGGGGCATGAACAGCTAGCTCATCTGCCCATTGAGGTGCGAGTGCAGGGGGAGTGACAATGAGAGTAGTCTGTTACATGTTGATATCAACTGGTCTTCCGAATAGCACGTAGGCGCACTACCTTGATCTCCTTCACTTCAAGCTTAGCTTCAGCATCCCATCGTTTGTTTGTAGGGTTGCGGTCGGGTGCTGGGTTCAGTAGAATAAGAGAAATACATTCGATTGTCTTCCCGAGCCCTAAACTTCATTAATATAATGCAGTGAGATCAATAGTTTTGCAAAGTACCTGGCTCTTCTGCAAGTATACCCCCTAGTGCAGCGTTGCCTTCTACAGGAGATGGACTTACGACGCCGACGAGTGTATTGAAGAAGTGCTCCCGGCCCCCGAGAGATACTTTCTCCCAAAATGGAGGCATGAGGAACCGGGACTGGGGAGAAGTGTAGGGCATGACACCGCCCCCCTGAGTCACTGTTTTCCCTTCGCGTAAGAGCATCCATTGGACACTACGCCGTTGAAAGGGCAAGAGCACTGGCAACAAGCCTTCAGGCTGAAGGGACTCGTACGTCACGCCTCGCGAAAGAGCAGGTGCTGGGCGAAGAATGCCGTAGAAGAATGGGATACTTGCATCCCCTGTTGTATCATGTTCACTGTCGAATAGTGGCTGGTCTACTAAAGTTAAGGTAAAAAGAGAAATCAAGCGTCTCTGTAGTCCTTCGAGTTCAGAAACGCGCTTCTGGGAAATCTTCTTGGTGTCAAATGGTTCATACAATCTGGGCACAATGATGGATACGTTGAACTGTGCGCATAGCCGAAAAGGTAACTCCTCTGCAGGGTCGTAACCACCCTCGGGAAGGGTGATCACCTGAACGCTTGTCTCTATTTTCGCACGACCTAACGACTGAAAGGCGAAAAGTGCCTTGAGAAGATCATTATGATGTTGTGTGCCATCCTCTTCCTCTTCGAGTGCGTCTGGCCATGCAACTTGAGGAAGGAGGAAGAACCACCGCTCACTTTTCTCCTTGATTTCTTCAGGACAGTGGTTCACGGGACAGTCTGGTTCGCCCGAAAGAGCCAACAAGCGAGTTTTGTAGTTCTGAACCCAGAACCTGCCAAGGTGAAATGTTTGAGGTCGAGAACGGTCAGGGCATAGCGTGGTAAATAGAGATAAGAGATCATGTTCCTCCTTAAGCCATCCAATTTTCTTCGCTTCTTGGTCCGGCACGTAAGAGTTGTCGTCATTATCTCGGGCTGATTTCGTGAAACGCATGTCGAAAGAGTATTTGAAGACCGGTAGAAACTGGCTTTCGAGATCAACTTTTGGTTCCTCGTAACGAGGTTCTTCCCATATACAAGGGTACACCTGCTTGTAAGCTGGGTCTTGCCAATCTTCGCATTCTTCCGAGGACATTTCCGACTGATCATCAGCATCCAATTCATCGTCACCCTCGGAAATCCTCTGTCTCTTTCTCTTCACAGGTGATGCAGAAGCAGAGCGTCGTCGCTTGTTCCCCATGTGTTGTTCAACTTCGACATCAGCTCCCCGTATGCTTTCATCGACTAGTGCTTCATCATGTACGTCATAATCCCCTTCGTCGCATTCGCCTGCATTCTGCTCCTTTGGAGGTTTCAAAAGAGTAAGTATCGTGTTCAAGTTGATTGCAGGACGAAAGTTGTCAAAATCTGATGGTCTGAGCGGCTGCGAATCCCAGAAGTACGAATTTTTGTGACGAGCAGACTCTGTATATTTTTCGTTGATAGTACGGATATCCTCCATCTCAGGAAAATACTTGCATACACGAGTCCGCAGAAGGTGGTGGTGGTTAAAAATAATGGCGTGCGCGTGGGGTCATTGGATACACGGCTGTCACATGAACCAAACAAACAAACAAAGTTATTGCTTGCTGCTAACATTGCGTTTCACATCGAGCCAAGGTCGGGATCGTCAAAGTACATCTTGTCAACCAGCGGTTGCGGATGGCAGCATTGTACCGCGCTTGCGCGACGCCAATGTTGCAAAGTCCATTCTTGAGCTCATGGCGACAGAAATCTGAGCAAAAACCGGGAATATGAAGATTGTAGTACTTTACAAGAGAAATCTTGCTTTTGAGTACCTTCCTGGGTAAACAACGAAGTTTAGTATGGATATGTAATAGTGGCTGGAACAGAGTATCGATGTGTTCACTGACAACAGCAGAGCCAACTGTGTGTGGGGTGAACTTGAGGTCGACGGGTAAGCGTGTTTGTTGGCGGCGGTGGCATAGCTAGCATTAGGGGGCCCTAGCTATAAGTAGTTGAGCCAATTTCTCGGTCAATTTTGTGGCGCAGTTGACAACAGAATCATTGAAACGCACTCTGACGCCAAAATCACTCGCACGGCCCTTGCACGACCCGGACCAGAGTGAAACTCTGTTGGTTGTGCACTCAGTACTCAACCTTGGTGCCATAAGAGAAACTTTTACATTTTAGCCTACAAACAGGTCGTGTCTTTCAACTTCTTTGCTGCTAACAACTTCTCTCAGAATCAACTTGAACTTTCTGTACGCGTTACAGATCTCTTTACCCTTTTTGTTTCACAAATAACGTTAAGACGACTGTTAGCTTATTCATGCCACCTATTCCTTTTTGCGGGTTTCAGTTCAGCGCTGGGTGAATCTGGCAGCGATTACTGCTTCCTCAGTTCTTCGATCTCCAGCCCTCGTCAACATGGACATTCACGTGCGGCATGACCCTCTCAGTCGAACTCCATCCGTACGCCTGTCTTCCCCCTTCCCACCCATTCCGTCCACCACCCAGCCCATTCTCAATCCTCGTCATTTTGCTGCATTGCACCATCATCCGTGGTAGCTCAGAAAGCCGATATATCAGACTTGAATGTGAGTCCCTCCATATCACCTTCTTATCTGTTTCGTGATCCTCAAACTTTATCTACAGTTGTCAACGGAAAGACTGTCCGAATCCTCCTGGCGCATTTCTGCTGGCATTTACGTGTCCATCAATGCTCCAACTCCAGAAGGCTCTGGAAATCGGTCATCAGTATCTTATCATCTGATGGATCTGTGATATGGGGGATACTATAACTCTGTAAAAGTCTATGAAGACTTTCTGACGCGATGTGAGAACTGACCATCGGTTTATAGATTATCACACGTGTCATCTGCACTACCTATTGGAGATCAGGGCGTCCTTTGAGCCCCGTGGAATGCTATGCAGTGGAGAGGTCATCGGGAAACTTGAAACGTCGTGGAATGAATTACTCGATCACTCAGGCGAGCTATTCGGTGAGAAACTCGCTCATCATTCATGCATATATACCAACACCTCGTAGATCTATCCTTCACATTGAAGGTTGCCGTTGCATATCCTTGCAATAACCGAAACGGCGCACTGTCTTATGTGAGTGGTGCTGGTCTCTGTCCTGTGAGCTTCTCCTGAACACAATACTAACTATAGTCCCTCTTAGACTACGAGATAGCTCGAGACACAGATGCATGCCACGCACAATTTGCTACATACATGACAAACGAGAATATCTCTCACCCGATACATGCTATGCAGCATTTGCGGTCGGTTCTGTATTGTGTTCAGTCGGTCATCCAGACCATGCAACGGCTCTACCAACCTCGCGTGGGTCTATCGGTATTCATATCGGTGTGTAGTTCTACATACGTCGTATTATTGTCGTCTGGCACATATCGAAATTCTGTTTCATCCTGTTGTACATATATTTTTGTGGTCCAGCTATCTCGTTTTGTATAATTGATGACATCGCGTTTTTGTGACTAGAATGTTCACCAAAATTCTTGTGTACTCGACTTGTTTGCAGTCCTTGAGCACTTGAATACTACGGGAGGAGCCGAGCTAGCCAAGCTGAAGTATTCGCGCCTTCCAGCCATACCATGGATCCTGCACACTTCAAGTTCAACCACTCGAGTCCTTCTGCATGCCCGTCGAAGTCTTATCAATCCCGGATGGCTGCTTAGCATTATGTTGGCCATGACCAATCTATGCATAGTACTATTGGTGAGTGCCAATCTAAGGACCAACAAGGGGCATTTGGTATATGGCGACATGATTATATATTCATTACCTATAGCCGTGATTCCCGTGAAGCACTCACAATTTAATACTAATTACTCGTACTTGTAAAGGGTTCGACAATCTCCCAGCGCCTCCTCGATCAACTCATCCTAAGGCCTATTTCCTGTTAACATTGATATATTATGATGAAGTTGTGATTTTCCTTGTGATGAACGCATTTACTAATGAGCCTATCGCCGTTGTCAGGCTTTCTGATACACCCTGAAGCCGGCGTACGTGCAGGAATCGCAGTTGGACGTGGGAATGGCAGCTGGCTGGCTGTCATTATTTCAGACGGATAGATTCGAGGCAGTGAACATAGCTCTGCAGAGTCTGCACGTTGCGAGATTATCTTAGGAGATCCAACTTGAACAGGCGCGAAGGCACATACATATGTCAGCCATGCTAGACGCACTATTTCTGGAAGTTGACCCTAGGGATCCTTACCAACGTGTAAGTCAAATTTTATTCGCTGCCAGTCAAAACCGTTCAAGTTCAAAACACAGAGCAAATTTCCGAGAGTACACACAAATAATTCGCACATGATGAAATTTCATCGGCTTCATGATATTGTGCCCGTCAAAAAGGCTTTACTTATCCAGAAGGTGAGATTAGTAGTCGATGGATTGGTGAATGTAAGGTTTATGGAAACTCTAGGTCTAGTCTACGTAGAGTCTATTATGGGTCCTGGGTCCTGTCTGGGTCCTGTCTGGGGGTGTGCCAGCCGCCCGGCCAGATTGAAGCGGAGTTCAATTCCAAATCGGGACGATATGAGTCAGCTTGTAACGCCTACGGTATACCACCCGCCGCCTCCCGCTTGCTGCTTCCTATGTTGAGAAAGACCAAAAGATTCGCCTAGAAATCTAGTGGTGCTGGGTGGTAGAAAATGAGGCGCCAAGGAGGTAGAAATTCCGTAAGGCTGAGGAAGGAGGATGTCATCTTTGATCATACTGGCTGAGTTAACAAAGTGGGTTAAAGACAAATATAACAGGCCTGTGAGTTTGGCTTCATTGGAGAGTCCCACAAAGAGTGTGATGACATCCATGGCCCCGCTGGGTGCGTGGTCATCACAGTGAATGTCGACAAGCTATATTAGGCCTGGTGCTCAGCGGTCATGCCACACCGTGGTAGTCCTGATCATAATGCTACCCAAAGTGGCATATTGGCATCTGCCAAATTTCAAATTCCTCGCTTGGCCTGCCAAATCACTCTGAGTTCGACCAGTCTGACTACGTCAATAAATTCTCACCATCTCAAATTGACGCACAATCAGACTAGTTACAAGTCTAGACAAGCTAGGGGCTGGCACAGTTGTTGTGCGTGTGTGTGAGTACTCACTGGGCATGAGTCGTGACACATGACTTCCAAGCTGACTCACATCTTCCTGATTTGGAATTGAACTCCACTTCAATCTGGCTGGGCGGCTGGCACACCCCCAGACAGGACCCAGACAGGACCCATAATAGACTCTACATAGACTAGACCTAGAGTTTCCATTTCCCGGACATCCTCATGGATTGATGATATGGCGCACGGTGGTGGTTCATTACTAGTACAGAGTCCAGACCTATACCTAAAGCAAGAAAGTCACGTGACATTGAACCACTGAATGGAACTTCAAGTGAATGTGCTTTAAGTTTTCAGAATGCCACTGCACCTGACAGTGAGCGATGTCCTAGTCTTGCAATGGCAGATGAGTTGAATCAACTTTCTGCAGAAGTCCAAATGCAATCCAGATGTGCAAACTTTCTTTTCGATAGCCCTCAGAAGTACCCTCCACCAAGAGTTGGGGGAGCTTCAGATCCTTTGGTTCAATTGATTATTATAAGATTTGTTGTCATCCATCAGAAGGTATCTTACAACCAGATTTCTGGTCCTGACTTACTGTATATCCTAGTGATTCCATGCATATCGGCCAAAGAAGCTTAGCGCAGATCAATGCATGAGGGTATACCAAGCCATGAGGCATTTTATTTGCATTTCCTTGTCCTTCTTATCACCTCTCTCTTGCTTTCGACTCACATCCACAGACCGATCAACTTGAGATCTTAACAAACTTTCATTGCATACCACCAATCAAGGCTACTCGATATGCCTGTTGCCTCAGAATCCTCCAAGTCCTCCAAGAATGATGTCTTGGAATATATTATCACCCACATATTTTGTCCTATCAAATTGCCGCAGCACAATGATCATACTCCTGACAAAGATTGCTCCTTCCTTAATGTCGTGTTGGACTCGGCTTGGAAATTTGCGGCTTCTCTGCCTGACAACGAGCATGAGCAGTGGAGTCCTTTGTTGAAGATGCTTGAAAATCTTATCGTTACAATGGATTGTCCTGTCCTGACTAAGGATGTGGTTGAGTTGCAAATCAAATCTATGCAAGCAGGAGGTATGCACACAATTTTGGTGTTGGTAATCAATACCAATCTCAATACTTTTATTCTAGATATTCTTGTGTATTTGATTCAGGAACAAAATGCAGCTGTCGTGCTTCATAGGCTTGATGCGAAAACCATATTTGAATCCTTTGAAGTTTCACCACAGGTGGCTGCCATCATGGCAGCTCCTGTGTTTGTATCCAGGACCTGTGATTGCTGTACCAAACTCAGTCATAGATAACTCAACCTTTCCTCCTGAGTTGGCGAACTTTCTCTCTTGCATGAGCTGTGATGTGTTAGATCCCATAGCCTTCGAAGGAGAGACTGCACATCCTCGCTATATCACCCAACTTCTCACTGACATTCTTCGTGCATTCAGCAAGCCTGCCGACATCCCTTGTATTTGAAAACATATAGGCAATGATGTTATTATAGACAGTGATGCTACAGGAGATAATGCATCACAGTCCAATGTCACACTTCCTTGGTGAAGATCATTCCTGTGGCTTGTCATAAGGGTTGTATTACAGACATCCCTCAAGCGCACCAGCCTTGGGCAAAATGGTTACAAGGCCTTCATGGCTTCACTCATGACAGACCTTGTGTTCAAAGCACTTGAGGGAGATATGCCGAGCGATCTACTCTATTTCATGTCCACTAAAATTAGTTGACAGCTTGGTCAAGCTTCAGGTCGAATATGGATTCTTAGCAATCGTGATGCACAAAGCTACTGAAGATATCAAAGGCCAACTGCAGCTGTGCTGGGAGAACGTCCAGGCAGTTCAGGCAGATTCTTCTAATTGGGATGCCTCTTTGGAGGTAGATATAACCAGAGACACCAAGCTCTCCTTGACCAAGAGCAAGAAGTACATCACTGCTGCCTTGCAGCCTATCTATGTCGAACCCACTGTGACAGACTTTTGACCTCCTCCTCACAAACAGGGCACTATACAAGACTTCCTTGGTTCTGACGCCGAGTTCTTCAAGAGTGTTTATGACAAGGACCCCTTTTTAGCGCTCTTTGATTTCAAATGTGCCATCGAGCAAGGCATTGATGGCTGGGTGAATCATGTTGATGCTACTTGCATTGATGCTGCTTGCATGACCATCCAAGCACGCGCTGCAGACTATTTCGCCAATGTGCGAAAATCTTATTTCAAAAACCCTGAGAATATATCTATCATGCTGTTAACCCTGTTTGAGCTCTGGGTTGCACTAGACAAGCTAGCTGTGAAGTCAATCCCTCTCCTCATCAAGTACTCTCCAGAGATCCCAGCTGCCATTTTCGATCGCCTTCTCCTTAAACGGGCTGCTGCCATAGAGAGGCTCAAACTTCTTCAACAGTATGTTGCTGTTTGCCTCCACAATGCGTGCTCAGGCTTCTCTATCTTCTCGGATGGTACAGATGCAGATGCATTTGCAGTTTGTTACTATCATGGATCCAAAGAGCTGCAGTCATGCAAGCAACTCATTGAAGACGAAGCAGATGCTGAACAGAAACAACACATTGCAGATTTTTGCGAAAAAAGTGCCAAGTACTTGCTTTTGACGAATGAACTCGATGCTCTTACATGCGACACTTACACAGACAGGTGAGGTCGATCACAACATAAAAATGATTGCTGTTGGTGCAAGAAGTTGATGGAGAGGCGTTACATTTCTATTGAAGTTCATGAATGGCCACTTCCTGAATGCGACAATGATGTAGCAATAGTTTTATTCAAACTTAATGCCCCGATCACTTACAAGATGTGGCAATCTCTCACATTCCACCTTTTTCACAACAAATTTGCTCCAAAATTGACTGAATTTGCAAAACAGCACATGCTGCTCATGGATTATGAACCACTCTTGTGTTATTATGTCAAGCACCCTGGCCAATGCATCATGTTGGGCTCTGAGACAAAGTCCCCCTGGCCACTCACAAGTCTTTTCCATGTACTGAAGGTGACATCATCACAAAAAATGAAATGTGTTTCCGCCTTTATGATAGGACCGGACATGTTTGGGCCTCCAGTTCCGATCAACAGTATTCCCTATCTGATCTTTGCATGTATGCGCTACCACAAGGTCCGTATCATGGACTGCAATGTTATCTGTCGGGTACCCAGCACACTTCCAACGAGGTTTTGGCTAATCAGGCTGCATGTCATGCCGAGTTGACGCTTCACGAATTCATCGCTTTTGGGAGCCTCCATAGCGGCAGCCTTCTGCAATGGATCAACATTATTCATGAATTGCGAGCATGCATGCTCACATTTCGCGATCCTGCGGTACATTTGCTACTTCTCCAGGCTAGTTTGGAGGTAGGAGAGCTTTCAGCCGATGGGTCCAGGGTATGGCATGATGAACTGAAAGTCTTGGACTTTGGACACACCCAGATCAATGAGCTCCAAAGCTTAAAAGTAAGTGTGGAAGCCAACTGGCTGGAGGCCACAACAATGGCAATGATCTCTGCCCCCTTGTATCCCGCCTTCTTTCATCAGCCAAGGATTTCAGCGTCATCCAGCGGTCATACAAGTTGCTACAAGCTGTTCGGAATACTACTTTCAAATGGGTGCAAGAACTATCCAAAGTTCTCCAAGAAGCTCTGGATGAAGATTCTAGTTGTGAACGCCAAGCTCGTGTTCATGACATGGCATTGATTTGTCGCAGCATCTATGATGTTGGCCCAGACAGTATCACAGAGCTTCTTGAATCACCACAGGACTTGGAGATTTTGGTATATTGCTCTGTCACAGCAAAGCATAACATGCCTCCAGATGGAGATCTACACACTCTTCCACCAATCTCAAGGTTGCTTATCGATCGCAACCGTCGGTTGTCATACTTTTTAGAGACCTATCTCCGAAGCCATGTGGAAGACGACCAAGAAGGTCTTGATTGGGCTATGGAACATCTTTGGTCTGCATATAAACACCACACACACTGGTCGCTTGCATGTCCAAACTCTGCATGGCTTAGATGTAAAACAGCACCTTCTAACGATCCATCTTGCCAAACCATACACCTTGATATGTTGACGGCTCACCTATTGATCGATGGCAAGCTGCTAAACAGACTGCCAGATTATATGATGCAGCATTCTAGTTACATCTTACTCTTCCATCATGTAAGTTTTCGGGCCTGCTAGTCAGCCAGCTATCTGATAACCCCGAATAGCAAGTGCTTGAAGTTTTACCTTCCAAGATTCCTGGCACAGAATTTGCTACCAAGACCAGAATAAATGGCTTTGACATGAGTTGGTACAGTCAAGGATGATATTCACTCTAAGTATTATTTTGCAGATATATTTCGGGATGTGCGACGGGGATCTTGTCATTCGGTCACAACGTGAGAATGGGCACCTTCTTGAGCTGATACCTCAAGGAAAGCTTCTGCCAGACATCCCAAAACTACTGGTCAAAAATCATGTGCATTGGCTCGACTTGACCACTCGTGTGATTGAATTTCATCCAGTGAAGGAAATGTGGGAGACATCCAACAAGAACTGGGTGTTGCAATACATGAAAGGCGGGCAGTCGATTGCATGGCAGGGCCAATTAACTCTTTTTGATATTCACAGCTCCGCTTTCCACAGGATAGAAAAGACACTGGGGTCCATGGAGAACTCCCAATACCTGATTGTCACTTGCAGCGTGGATGAAGGCCAGATTGTAGTTGATATCCATCTCCCTCGATTTGGACTCTCTTTCTTTATAGACAGAAATGGAGAGTTACATTCACGTGACCAGAGAGGCATGGTTGTCGATGAGGATCAATCCATTGGCACCATGGTTGGGTTTATTAACAAGCTCATTCTGTACCCCAAAGATCAACACACTTTCAGTGATCGCCATGTCATCATCCCACAAGGCAATGTGGTAGTAGAGCACAAAGACCACCATGTGCAGGTCACTATCCAGCCTAATCCTAATCCTAATCATGTCCGCCATCATTGTTACACCATTGACTTGGAACTCTGCCGCCTGACAGGAAATGTCAGTCTCACAAACAAACTTTACAAGGTGTACTTACATGCTGTGTGTAGTGCCCATGTTCCAGATCCGTTGACTGAATGCACCAGTGTAGAAGAAGCCATGTGTTTGCTGCAATCTGCCGCATGCTATTCCTTCATGAATCTGAATCCATTTGATTGCGAGCTCCTGGCTCGGATAGGCTCCTTAACCATTGCGCGGACATGGTATACCACTCACAAGAGCTCATAGAAGGTCTGCTGGCACCAGGGCTTGTCATCTTATGTCCAAAGTTGCGCATTCTACCATGCTGCCAAGAATATAGTCCAATATGCACGGAAGTTACAGGTGCTTAGCGAAACTCCAGTTACAGTTTGTCCGAGCTTTCCAGAACACGATGAGTCCCTCCTGAAGCATGCCTTTCAACTGTCCATTGTCCTTTACTCCTATGATCTAGTCAATTCCTTCTATCTGAGCGAATCATCAAACAGTTATCATACTTCCAGGGATGTTCACAATCCAATAGGTGACCAAACAGCATTTGATTGCGCATGCATGGTGTGCGACTGGAGTATCATGCTTAAGCCTTGTCAGGCACTCTATGATGTCTTCATTCAGTGGAAGGAAGTTTCTGGTAAAACACATGACGTGATCCTTCGATACAGCCAAGAATGGTTAAAACCTGACTTGGCTAAGAGATTGACTGTCATAGACTTTTGCTGCCAGACAAATCGGCAGACTCATACATTTCAACTCGCTTTCACATTATCAGCCATGGCCTATTCCTCCCCAGAGAATATAGGACTCGCTGCAACCATGTTTGCATTTGGGGTTATTCCTGCCCTCTGTGAAATTTGTTCCCCCAACTATGATGCATATGACCTTTCATTTGGGATAAGTCCCCTTGAACAGGATTTATGTCACTGCATATCTTCTAATACTTCCTTCACTGATAGTCCTGAGGCATCCTTACCTAGAAATCATGACGAGTCTTACAATGAATTTGACGCAGTCACTATCCTTCTTGAATGTTGGCCTTGTCCTTCTGTCCCTACACATGCTCTGAGGCATCTGAGCAACTCCTGATATGACAAGTTCACCCTCAGCACTGCCCTTGAAATACAATACATGAACTGCTATCCTAACCAGTGTCTGAAGACATATCTGGATCGTGTACAGGATGTGCTTGACGAAGTCACTCCCATGCCACTCATTGAGCAATTGTACACATTCACCCCAAGCAATTCAGATGTGATATCAGTCAATACCACCATGCTCACCAAACACTTGTTCAGAAAGCCTCCACCCGTCATCACATCACCTCCTGATCCACTCAAGCAGATGCCGAGCAACAGATTCTCTGGCAGTGGGCTTGACTTGTCTCCCCTGAAGGATGTCATCTCAAATTTCAAGTTATCATGATGTCAGTCAGACCAGTTTGGTCTTCAGTATGCTGCACGTCTAGAAGACAGCAGAATTCATCTAGAGAATGAACAATCACCCATTGCACCTTACCCAACTTGCTGGACAATTGACATGTTGCAACATCATCATACACAGTGTAATACGCTCTATAAGAACACATTCTGCAGATTGGAAGAGCATCTAGCTCCTTCAGATTTGGCTGAGGAGAGTTTATTCAATTCTGGCCAATGGCCTCACATTACAGTTACATTTCTGCTTGGTCTTCTTGCCTCCACATCAAAAACACCTCTTTGTGATTCTTGGAAAGCCTCTTTGACCAATTTCGCATACATCCTTCTTCAATTGCAAAGATCACAATGACTTTTGAAGCTGAAATTGGCAGCCAATGGGAACAATGACGATGAGGAGTTCCTGAAGGAGCTGGCAAATGACGGTTACCTAGGATTGGATGGTACACAGGAATACATAGACTGGCTTCTAATTCAGGTATTCTATGGTCACCCATAATTAAACCTATCAATCACTAACATTACTAGGCAGAAACCCGATTTCTTATCTGTCCCACACAAGCTAGGGTTGCAATGGAGATGATTTCCCCAAGTTCCAGCAAGAATACTGCCTTGCAGCTTCATATGGGGGAAGGAAAGTCTTCCGTGATTGTACCCATCTGTTGCACTGCACTAGCAGATGACAACAATATGGTATGGGTTGTTGTGCTGAAGCCTTTAGTTGTGCAAATGTTTCAGCTGCTCATGGAACAGCTCAGCAGGCTTACCAACAGGCAAATTTTCCACCTTCCATTCTCACGCTCCTTGCGCATCATTACTTCTAGTGACATTCAGCCACTGTTTGAAGAGTGCAAACATGTTTGTGGTGTCCTTGTCACTCTGCCAGACCACATCCTCTCTTTCAAGATGATGGCTGTGGAGCAACAGCTTTCTCATGTGAATGCAGATACACCCCTGTTAAATAGCCAGCAATGGCTTGATAAGCACACTCATGACATACTGGATGAGAGTGATGAACTGCTGCATGTTCACTTTCAACTTGTGTACACTATGGGCCATCAACAGTGCTTGGAAGGTTGTCCTGATCGATGGACCACAATGCAGCAGGTGATGACCCTTGTGGCAAAACATGCTTGCCTCCTTCATGAAGAATTTCCCCTCAGAGTTGAGTTTCAGCCAGGCGCTATCAGAACCTTCCCATGTTTCAGAGTCCTGGACATTGACGCAGGCAAAAGGCTGGTCAAGCTGGTTTCTGACAACATCCTTGCCGGGAACCTTCCAAATTTCGCATTCAAACATGTGCCACCTCATATCCAAGACTCCATCTGCAAGTATCTTACCCAGTTCACTATTGAACAGCAGCTTCTTCATGAAGTCCATAGCTACTATTCTAGGTCCAGTATGTGGAATGGATTATTGCTCATTCGAGGACTCCTTGCACATGGTGTACTGATATACATGCCAAAGGAGCGGCAATGGCGTGTAGATTACAGTCTGGATCCTCAACATACAATGCTTGCCATGCCATACTGAGCCAAGGATGTTCCCTCATCTAGGGCAGAATTTGGACATCCAGACATCACAGTCGCATTCACATGTCTTTCATACTACTATGGAGGCCTTACCAAGAAACAGGTGACCTTCTGCTTCCGACAGCTACTCAAGTAAGACAATCCTGCATTGGAATATGAGACATGGATTGAGGGGTTGTCTTTACACTCGCTTCCAGGAAATCTGCGACACCTCAGTGGAATCAATATGGAGTCTACTGAACAGTTCACCAACTGTTTGGTACCTCTCTTCAGGTGCAACAAAGCTGTCATGGACTTCTATTTGGCTCAGATTGTCTTTCCACAAGAAGCAAAAGAGTTTCCCAACAAGTTATCTTGTTCTGCCTGGTGTTACAATAACATTTACTCCTATTTCATTTTTCCTTTTTGTAACCACGTCGCCGACTCTAGACCCATCTAGACTTGGCTATTCTCTTATCAAGCGGGCTGTCCGCACTTCTTTTCTTTCTGATTGTAACATAGATACTATCTTGCGCCGCATGACGGTTTCACCTATCTTTGCTATCTTGATAGGTTGTACTTTTTTTCCTATCTTTGTTACCTTTCTTGTCGTGGCTGCACTGCTCCCATTTCACTATATAAATCACATGTATCATAGATGTATTCCTTAACTTAATCTACTGGGTTTTCCCCTTGAAACCTGATCTACTAGGTCTCCACCCTAGTAGCCTGAACTCTGATTCTAAGACAGTCACTCACTGTCTTAGCCTGAACTCTTGATTGCGGTAGAAGTGCTAAAACCACTCACCGCGTAGGCAGAAGTGCTAAAACCACTCGCCGCTGATCCTGCATAGAAGCCGCAGCTCGTGCAGAGAGAACCCTTGATCCAGAAACCTTCCTTGTACTAGGAAGGCCGACGAACTGTCGATTGAATGGTCTATCTTTGACCTTCGACAGCAGAACTATCCCAGTCGTAACACCTGGGATCTCGCAGAGCAAAAATTCTCTGGGTTGCCTACCACTGGTTTCAGTGGAACAAACAATTTTCGCTACCTGCTACCCACCAACATAGCGCAACATGACCTAGCCCACCAGTGCGGTATGAACACCAGAGTTCTCAGTTACCTTTTTCAGGAAGAAAATGACCATTATGAATCGCTTGCAGCCGGCAGCGGCACTGAAGAACTTCTCAATGCCATCACAAATGAGCAGCCAGAAATTCATGTCTTGCTTGATGTGGACTGAACTCGCTCATTCATGGCTACAGCCTGAGGCCAAGAGTTTAGAAACTCTATATGCACCAGCTCTCACGGGCAGCATTACTTTGCAGACATCGCCAGATGAAGAACTTCTGGAAATATTCAGTAGCCTGGGGTTGGGCATTTCACCTGATGACCGCCTGGACGAAGAGCAAGAGAGAGAAGTGGTACATGAGATTGAGTGTGAGCACGAGGTGGAGAGACCTCCAAAAGTGCAGGCTGCTCCCCATTGTATCAACGAGGATGTCTGGTACTTCATCCAGACAGGCTGCATTCCAGATGGATCTCGTGCATTCACTGCCGTTTTTGACACCCTCACTAGAACTTCAGCTGTGTTCTCAGGGTGTCATCCAAGGTCATGGGACGTGCTTGCTGTTACGATCCCATAACAATGAACCTAATACACAAGGTACTAGATTGCTAAGGTCAAGTTAGAGAATACATGATGTATCTACAGGTCTTATATATGAGTATTGAAGCAGAGCTACAATGTAAATGTCCAATAGGAATAATCGTAGAGAAGTCATACGATGGAAGGTCATGGAATGTGGTGGAATGTTCTGTGATACGTGAAGGTGTGAAAGGTGCATATGTGAAGGGTGAAAGGGTGACACTGTGACAAAGTGAAGTGGAGGGTAACACTTGCCTCAACAGATTTTGTCACAACAGTTTTGGCTAAAGGCCTAATGGACAGCTACATCCGCCCAGTCAATTGGATTATCTCGAGCAATACGATATTCGACGCACCAGTGCTAGTCATCATCAGCCCCTTCGAGGTTAACATTTTATTATCTGAGATTAGGGCAAGTAAGCAAGTTCACTTGCATGCTTATACACCTCGCATCATCAAGATGATGAAGTCATGTGATGACCTGCAACTCTACATCACACCATCACTCCCCGCACAATGGATGCCACATGATACCCTTATCCGCCAGCTGAGCGTCTTTTCTGGGCAATTATACTTTCCTCATCACCACACATACGTGAAGCTGTGTCGCTTCTTGGGGATTTATACCACAGATCTCAAGGACCGGGGCATCTTCAAGATTCAAAGTGATGGACTCATCAAACCGGAGCATCGGCCTCCTACTACAAATTTTCCCAACAACTTCCAACAGTCGCCCATCCTCATGTTGAAGGCTCTTTTCGGTATCTGCCGCAAGGGAATGGGGTACTTACCCACGCACGTCGGGAAGTTATTGGTTGCTCGGCAGTTGACAGCCAAAGACTTTGAAGAGACGGCTTGATCGGCAAGTTGGAGTTCTTCTGTATGCAGACATTCATTGACACAGTGATCCCACAGTAATATCCAGTGATTAGAGATGTGAAGCTGCCATTCATAAATTGTGTCACATTTACCACCTTCTAGCAGGTTTCCAAACCATATGATATGTTTTGTTCATTATTGCATCGATCGTGTTTGTGATCTTGAATTTGCTAGTTGCTCAGTACCATTTCATTTTTTGTTCAGACTCACTTTGTACAGTATTCGGTTAGAAGTTAACGTTGTACCCAGTACGAGCATGCCAATGTCAACCCTTCCCACTCCAACCTTGCACTAGAGCATGTGAGAGGGGCACAAACCCTTCTCTGTTATATGTCGCTGGCGGTATCTGATAGAACAACTTGAAGGTTACAAGATGAGTACATCAGAATCCGTCAGAACCAAGATATAACGTGCATACCTACCCGGTTGACACCCTTGTGTGTCTTGATCGTGGCCATGAGGATCTCATAAACACCCTGTAGAAGAATTGACAGTTCTGAGGGTATGACTGGTTCTGCAGAAGGCGAGGATGACGATATGAATATAGGACTAATGAAATAATCAGAGGATGTTGTAGCCAAGAAATTGTAGGAGCTTGGTACTTACTCATCGAGATTCCTATTTGTCAGGCCCCTTCTTGACGGATACCTACCAGGACGGATGTCGCACGGGAAAAGAAAGCATAGCACCAAATGATATTGGAGTATCAATACCTACATCAACACACTACATTCCCGAGCCCTCAGCATCATTTTACACAGCATTAAAAAAATTTCATTTAATGGTTCTATATACTAATTCTCCGTACATACTGTAGCTCACAGACTTACTAGTAGCGTCCCTAATCAGTTGCTCACGAACTTCTTAACGTCTGCCGAACGGACTGTGAATTCGGCGGGTGTGACTGGCTGTTACTATTCATGACATGAGTGTGACTCACGAAACAATGGACCGTCACGGAGGTGTAGTAAGTGATAGTAGTAGTAAGAAAAATGACTTTTGGTCACGTGATGCTGCGCACTGCAAAGCGTGCCTGTCAGTGTCACAGATCCACATATGCTGTTCTTTGACCATCCATCGCCAAATCAGCCTAAATTTGATCCTTCTTATTCTCGGGCTACACTCATAAGCGCTGCGCAGCTCTCTTATCGTACTAGTACTGCACTGCTTCCGAAGACTAGAATAACTATTGGTCTATAAAACCTGAGGCGTATCTGCAAACATCGTCATGGTCATCGTCGAGGAGAAGTGCATGCAATCTGTTCCACCCCCTCCTTATTTCCCTAATGCCAGCACTCTACCCCCACCCCCCTTCCCTGGTGAACATTATGGAGTGAAGCCATCTGACCTACCTCCCCACCTGTTGTTGAAGATCGTGTATTTGACATTTCCGCAAACACCTGGGATTGACGAGGGAAAGATCGAACGGCAGAGAAAGACACTTTGTTGGCTCTCCACACAACTCCGGCTGGTTAATCGATCATTTTACATCGGTGCGTGCTGCTCAAGTCCTTTGACTGTGACGGCCGGAACTTACCTTGCCAAGTGAAGCGTGTGAGCATGTGCTGCGCTCCACATATTTATCCGCATACAACTCGATGATACGACCTCCCTATTCATCTGATCCATTCCCATTTTCTTCCTCGACTTCTACTTCCTCTTGTGAGACTCTGCAACGGGAGACCAAAGTTCTCGACCTCTTCATCGCACTCAAGGTCCACGAAGATGTTATGGTTGATGACTCATCGCTTCATCTCGAGCGAGAGGATTCGTTCAAAGACCTTTTCGACCTCATGCAACCCCGCAGCCGATTGGAAGACCTCATTCGACACTATGGTGTCCGCGAGGGAGTTGTCCATATAAACTCACCTGGAATGAACGCCTCATCTTCATCATTCAACAATTTTAGGGTGAATGATAGCGGTACTGGATCTTCGAGCACAAGTAAATGGACATCAGACCCTGCACCAGTGCCATTCAGCGCGCTGTCTATTTCGTTCTCGCCAAGGCGAGTTGGCCTCGTGCTAACGGCTTCAGGTAAGAAACGGACGATTGTGGATGTAGCACGGACAAGAGATGAGAAGTTGGAGATTACCGCAAAGAAACTTGCGCGGCAACTGAAGGTTTGGCTCAGCGATGGTTCAGGATGATCTAGTGGCATCATTTAGTTTTTAGAGTCCTTCCTTCCGCTGCTTGTTGATAGTGTGATCTTTTAAAGTACAGCTCTCCGAGAACGAGGTTGTACGTCGATAGGCACACATCGGATCAGTACGGTCCACACGATATCGAAAGTACTTGAAACAACGTTAAACGTATGTTCCTTCCGAGACTACGAGACGATCCTGGGCCTGAGCGCTGAGGTTGATGAAACACAGTGGCCTTGAGGCCTCATATAGTTCTCGGCCTGAGGGACTCGGTGTATTTTGTACCTAAGTATAATGATATCAATTTGGAAATCAAGTCGCTCCCAAATTTAGCGACGTCGACGTCCAAAAATTGACTCGCCGCGGTTTGCCAGGTCTAGTGGAACGTAAGTGATTGTAAATAACACAGTGATACTCAAGAGTCTGAAAAAATGCCACGGCGCGCAAGAGTACACTTTGTATCACTCAAATCATCCCTGGTCAATCTCCCAATATCAGTATACGGTCCCCTTCTGGAGAGACAGATCGTATGTTCACATTGTTTCTCCGTCTTATACTTCGACTCTGACTGTAATTGGACCTATCCTCATTAATATTGCAGCGTCCGCAAAGCCTTGCTGTCCACTTGAAGCTCGCCGATGGCGGAGGAAGAGAGGCGTATGTTGGCTGGACCGGCATGGCTTCTGCATCATCCCTTGCCTCATTCAACTCTACCGCAGGCGAACGTGGAATAGAAACGCTAGAGATAGATCCACAATACGCAGCAGGCTTGGGCTTCAAAGAAGGAGATGTGGTACGCTCTTTATTCTCATGCACAAGCTGTTCCATCCTCTAGCTAATGGTGTACTTTGAATCGGCAGGTGGAATTAGGCTTATTATACGACCTCCCATACGCGAAGACAGTGAGCACTGAGCCCCTCAGTGCAGACGACTGGGACGTAGTGGTAGGTCTTGATATTTCGGTAGACTGGCTGGCTTGACTTCACTTATCCTAGGAACTGCATGCAGCGCACGTCGAAGGCACTCTCCTCTCCCAAGTGCGAGTCGCAAATGTCGGACAAGAGATCAATGTTTGGGTGCTCGGGCGGACGAGAGTACGACTAAGAATTGGTGCGTACCATCATCCCATCTTATTCACATCGGTGTCCCTTACTGATATTCCCTCTATCGCAAGTCTCGCTCGACACGTCTGCGACCGCAGCGCTGCTCACAACCGACACCGAGGTCAGCATTGCTCCCAAGTCGCACAGAAAATCGAAAACCGAAACCAAAGCCTCATCTCAAACAAGCTTAGATCATGGAACCGTCATGCCAACGCAGAACAAACCTTCTTATCCATCCGAAATCCTCCGAGCGCTCCCTGCGCGCCTTGTCAACATCCCTGAAACGATTACTCTTCGCGATGCCAAAATGCGCGCATACATCCATCCTTACACTCTATCATTGCTTACGGGGACTCGGTACATCCCATTCGACCCAAATCCTGACCCTCCACGTTCAGGTTGGTGGTGCGCGCATGCACGTCGGCTGGAGCCACCCAAGGATCCGACGAACATCATGAAGTCTGGTATTGAAGATAACGCCAGCATCAAGCCAAGTGCTGAAACTGAGCAGGATGCCGAAGCAAAGATACTGCACCCGGGGTCAAAAAGAGAGTTGGGAGCAAAGGATGATGAAGGGAACGGAAAGGACGGGTGGGAAGTGTGGCTGGGAATCTCTGATCGCGTTATGGAGACACATGTATTATTTATCGGTGAAGTAAAGGGTGGGGTCGGGGACTGGGATCTCGTTCGGTGCGCTGCTTTATTTTCTTTGTGTGTATTTCCATCACCATCGCTAATATAGTGACTTGGTAGGATATCGCTCACGGGTGCCCGTGAGCAAGGGCCCGTAATTAATGGAAACCTCGATGAGTACGTTCGTACATTTCCTTGAGTGTGATATCAGCTGATCATTATGTTAGTCCTGCATCCCCATCATCCTTATCTTCACCTTCAGCTTTGGCGGCGATCTCCTCAGAAATAGTGGCATCCTCTGGATCATCACTTCGTTTATCAGGTGTATCCAATATTCTCGAAGACGTGACAAACACTTGCGTCGCGACCTACGCCGTACATGCGCGCAAGGATGTTGTTCGGGGAAGTATGTGGATCGCATTTTGTTTGCAGCGCATTCTAATGCATTTTTCAACCTTGCGTGTCCACACGTACTGCAGTCCCTGGCATTCTAATAACAGGCCGTCAGGGAATGGGCAAGACATCAGTTGCGAAAGAGATCGCACGCAGACTGGAAGCAGATGAGCGCGTGTACGCTTGTAAGTGGGATATCATGTTCTCTAATGCTTTTCTTGCTTAACCATTTTTATTACCACTTGAAATCATCGATACCGAAAAATATCAATCAGCCATACATTATATCGACTTCTCCCCGCTCGCATCCAAGCCCGCTCAAACCCTCGGTGCACTCTTTCGCCACCTCTTTGTGTTAGCACGATGGCACAGCCCCTCCGTCCTCGTCTTCGACAACCTCGATAAAGTCTGTGCTGCAGAGGTCGAGCACGCGGATTCTTTCCGCCAGCGACATATAACAGAGCTCTTCCTCATGCAATATAGCTCCAACGCACGCCTTGCACCATCCAACTTTCGTGGTATCGTGCTCCTCGCAACAGCAGAGAACCAGACTAGCGTGCACTCGCTACTACATACGCTGCATGTCTTCAAGGATGTCGCTTCCATTCCTCCGCCGGGGAGAGAGGCACGGAAGGAGGTGGGTTCATCGTTGATTCTTGATGCCTTTTGAGTAGAGGCGACTTTAACAGATTCTCGTCAGTCTCGTGTCACTCCGGCTTTCCATGGCTAAGGAGCCACTGTCATTCGTTATCGACGAATCCGATCCCCCTGAGTACACTCGACTCGCGGTAGGGACAGAGGGCTATTCCCCTGTAGACCTGCGAGACCTTGTCACGCGGACCGTACAGGTCGCTGTTGGGCGGGCAGTGTCAGAAGTGGGCGTTGGTGTTGAGAAGGCGAGCATCGTCTGATGCGCATGTTTCACTATTTGACGATGGTTCGGGAAGGTCACACTTTCGGCGAAAGATTTTATAGAAGCCCAAGAGGGATTTGTGCCTCTCTCGCTGAGGGATGTTCCTTTACAAAAGTCGGGTGTAGAGTGGGCTGACATTGGCGGTGCGTGCGTCTCTTTGAGAATATCTATCGTCGGTCCATTAATTGTGTCGGTGCAGGCTTGAAAGATACCAAGCTCGTATTGAGGGAGACCTTAGAGTGGCCGACGAAGTATGCACAATTGTTCAAGCAGTCTCCGTTGAGGTTGAGATCTGGGTGCGTTTATAATGCTCTCTGTTGTGGATCCAATTTACGGGAGGACTGTAGGCTACTCTTGTATGGCTATCCTGGCTGTGGAAAAACTCTACTTGCGTCAGCCGTTGCGAAAGAGTGCGGATTGAACTTCATCAGCATCAAAGGTCCCGAGCTATTGAATAAATACATCGGACAGAGTGAAAAATCAGTGCGTAGCTGTAATGTTTTTCAAGGAAATACTTACTCTGTGTAGGTGAGAGACATCTTCGATCGTGCATCAGCTGCCAAACCATGCGTACTCTTTTTCGACGAGTTTGACTCGATTGCACCAAAGAGGCAGGTTGATTTTTATGTGCTCTATCTGCTATAATTATAAATGTTGGTTTGCAGAGGACACGACAGCACGGGCGTGACAGACCGTGTGGTAAATCAGATGCTAACCCAGATGGATGGCGCCGAGGGGCTCGAGGGAGTATATGTCCTCGCTGCAACGAGGTGGGTTATCTTCATTGGTCACATCGTCTGATTTTTGATCTTCCACAAGTCGGCCAGACCTCATCGACTCCGCATTGCTTCGTCCCGGTCGTCTTGACAAATCGCTGCTATGTGATCTGCCTGGTGTTGAGGACCGAAAAGACGTCAGTGCTCTGCCGTGTTGCATATACCACAATCTTGACATCGTTTTGTGCACCTGTCCAGATTTTGGTTGCAGTATCGCGGAAGCTAAAGCTTGCACCCTCTGTGGACTTTGATGAACTTGCAAGTATCACTGAGGGCTTCTCGGGTGCGGACTTACAGGCGCTCGTGTACAACGCGCATCTGGAGGTAGTGCATGCTGCTATAGATGCTGAGAAGATGGATGGTGGTAGTGGAGGTGATGTCGAGGCAGGCCGGAGGGTGGGAGTGGGGTTGACTGATGAGGTCCCGGTGAAGTATGTGGTTCTGGGCGCTGGGAAGGATGCAGTCAAAGCGGCGTCTAAGGCAGACGAGACGAAAATGCAGCGACGAGTAAGAAATTGCGCTTGTGTTGGCACAGATCGACCTCTATGATTGATATCTTTTCTAGCTGCAACAAATCAGGGCGTCGAAATCTGTGGGGATGGACGCGGATAGCAAGGCCATTGTGACGCCCAAGAAGGTCTGTGTTTTATCTCTTCTTGTATAGATCTCTCTAATGGGTGATGTTTTCTGCAGCACGAGATCACTCAACAGCATTTATTGAAAGTGCTTAAAACGACAAAGCCGTCTGTTTCGCGCGAGGAACAGGCAAGGCTGGGGAGAATGTAAGTATCCACCTTTCCACCAAGTATCGGTAGTTGTTTATCATGGGCGAACTAGATATCGAGAGTTCGTGTCGGATCGAGGTGGTGGCGAGAAGAAATTCCCAATGCCGGGCAGCGATAGCGGGGTGGGGAGTCGAGCCTCGATGGGATGATGGGCACTGTACTCAGATGACGAACTTGCATGTAAGTATCCTGCAACCTGAGCCCTCTTCCCGGCAATAATGCGTGTCTAACACAGACCTCAACCTGGGAGATTGTTCTAACTTTTTCATGGCATTATTTATTACCTTGAGATAGCCACAACTCTGGCTTAGTCTTTCGTATACAGACCGTATGATAGAAACGGTTGCATTAGGCCTTAGGTCCAGGTGTAGGGCTAGACGTCAAGTGTGGGTAATACTGACTTAGCACCCAGATTTCTGACAGTTTATAAATGTGCTCGTGTGTCACTCAGCTACGTACCTTTTGTTGAGTTCCCGGGCCTGTGCCGGCACAGCCCATGGTTTCCGGGTCTCGGGACCCCGAAACGAGGCAGCTGTGCTTTATTCACAACCAACACGATCTCACATACAGAAACTCGTTGAATTTTTTTTGCAAGTAGAATGGGCCCATCGAAGAAATCCCAGAGACGTGCTAAAGCACCATTGCCGTGTACGTTGATCTTGATAATAACAACAATTGATGATGAAATATTAATCTTGCTAACCCTAGTGAGGTCTCGCACAACAAGATCCAAGGGGAGAGTGAGTATCACACATGTCATCCATGCACCCTACTCACGTTTTGTCTCGTCATTTCGTTCTTATATTCAACACAGCCTATAACAGATCCAGAACAGAACACTCAACTTCTCTACGGAGCAACTTCGCTCGCAGGGTCTCTACGCTGCACAAACAGTGGGAGATGGCAATTGCCTATTTCGGGCTCTTTGCGATCAATTCTACGGCTCGCCGTCACAGCACCTCCAGCTGCGCAAAGATATATGTGACTGGATCGAGAGCCATGCGCAGCGCTATCAACCTTTTTGTGAGGATGAACGTGGACTAAGCGCCCATCTGCGGTGCATGCGAGAACAAGGTGTGCCAGGGCTTGCCCTCCCAATTTCTTCCTGTGCAGCGTTGTGACGCGCTATAGGCACTTATGGCGGGCACCTTGAACTTTCTGCATTTGCGCACTTTGCGAGAAGGAATGTCAAGGTTATCCAGCCTGGATTGGTATATGTTATCGAGTGGAAGGCGGGTGCCGAGAACGATGACCAGTCATCATCTCAAGATAACGAGCGAGAAGCGCGGAGGAAAAAGAGGCAGCAGCAGCGCGACGAGATGAACGATGCTCAAGAGTCAGAGGGGACGATATATGTTGCGTCAGCCATTTCTCCTAGCATACCTATCGGCTGCGCGCTGACCTGTCGTTCTAGATATCATGACTGGGAACATTTTTCTTCCATACGAAACTTGAGAGGGCCGCACGCTGGTCTTCCTGAGGTTTGTGAGCTACCCGCCGACGCAGCACCGCCTGCCGCTTCTCCTGCTAAGAAGAAACCAGTCTCCCGGAGCAAAGCCAAATCTGATCTCAAGATTTTTCCCAAGAATAGTCCAATCGACAATGTTAGATTGAATCGCGACAATACACCACCAACACCTGCCCATGTCCCACTTCCCATATCTCGTTCACCCTCACCCCTTTCTTCCGCTGATTCCTTCAGCATCGAGGCAGACTCGCTACTTCCCGTCCCCGGCCAGCCAACCGGTCCTCATCAGTCTTTTACATCGAGCGTTAGAGCTCATCGGTCACCCAAGCGTTCCTTTGACGAATCGTCTGGATCATCAACATCTGGCACGATCTCCAAGCGAACGCGAACACGAAACACACGGCGATCGCCCTCTCGCACACTCTTGAGTCAAGTCAGAGCAGATGATGATATGGACGACTCTACACCTGATCTCTCCACCCCCGGCTCCTCCGCAGAATCCAGCCGCTCATCATCTGCCGCTTCATCTCCGCTTCCTAGTACCCCTCCCGCATGTGATACTCCACCTCCTGAAAACCAGAAGCCCCTTACTCGACGCCAGCGTAAGGCTCTCGGGCTTCCAAAGTCACATACTGCGTATATGAGCGCAGGAAAGATTGTCATTCCTGGCGGGAAATTCAAGAAACCTTTCAACGCGGCTGATGATGAAGAATGGCAGAAGAATGGCACCGGGCGGCTTGACGTGCGCGGGTTCCGCGAGCTCAAGATCTAGCCTTCATGCATCATCAAAGCCCCCTGCCACGAATTTGCACGCATATTTTTACGCCCCTTCATCTAGAACATTGGTCATATCCACGCAGTGATACCCAACACATCATAATTTGCATTCCCATCATATCACACCCCATCTACGAATATGTTCACGACAGTCCTGGTGACCTGGTGCGACGTCATTTCTATGTTAGTTTGTCACGTACGAGCACTTGGAGACTTCATAGAAATTCGGACATTTGCACGATTGTATTTTAGCAAGCTGCATATGTATGCTGAATGTTATCATGACGCTTACAGTCAATTGCGTGTTGATGTACTCCAGAGAAAGACATCACAGCACCTGCACGAGCAGCATTTTGGTAACTGATTTTGCGAGCACTTAGTATTAAAATGAAATTTAAGCACATGGTATAATATGTAATGCGGGTGCTACGTAAATACAGACATGGAGAAACTTGAAAGTGTAGCCCAGAAGTAAGACAACATCGTCATATTTCTGTGCATCTCTCCCTTATAATACTTTGAAAGATCGGGTACATGGTCAGAGATGGGAATGAATCAACGGAAGATAAAGTAAGTATCGGCTTGACTGGCACTCAAACGATTGAAAAAATATCTTCAGATGTAGTCGATAAGTCAGATGATGAGGAGATATCGGTTGCATAATTTATCGAAGTGTTCCTGGCGGACGCCGGGAGCAACGCAAGGGCGATGTTTGCAGCAGTACACGCGTATTGGATATAGATCACAAATCCATGATGGGTCTAAATAGATCCCCGAAGATTAGGAGCGTGAGTGAGCCAGTATCGAAAGAAGATATTCTCACCTAAGAATACCAATGTCTGAACCACACGTGTTATGCTGCACCCATGACCCATGCATCAAGTCATCAGACAATGACCCTCGTTGTCCTCGATGCGGAATGTGATACAGCTGCTATCGGCGAGTTCACTCTCCAACAGAGCCCAGTGGTTCGCGCGTAAATCTTCCACAGCGTCCGCGTGCAGCAATCGAACGATCTTGAGCTCCAAACCCGATATCGTACGAAGAGCAGCGAATAGTTGCTTAAAATGGAATGCGGGTGCCTTGCGTAACTTGGAATGTAGTCCCAGATAGGAAACGGAGGGAGGGAGGGTGAGATTTAGGTTGATTTCCGTCCATGAACGGATGTAAACGACGAGGTCGTTCAAAGATAAACAGCATTCACCGAGCAAATCCAGCTCTTTTTGAAGACATTCGGCTTGAAGGGAATAGTCGAGGTGCACGGTAGTAACATTCGCGCAGCTCAGCCTCATGAAACGTTTCCAAGTATGGTCAAGAAATGGAGGAGGGATGCAGTCGTAAGTCAGTTTTCTGAGAGCCGGGAAGTGGTTGGCGTTTCTATCGTCTGGCAGGTAATCCCGCAAAAAGACCGACATGAGTGACAAGGACTGCAGCTTGGTCATAACGGGCATGTCAAGTCGAGCAGAAGGAGATCTGTCCCTTGCACTGGGTGAGCAAATTGGGCAGCGGAGCACGCTCAAATTTTTTGCTGCAGCTATCAACTTCATCAGATCCTCTCTAAAAAGTAATCAGCAAGTGGTTTATGCGTGATAGGGCTGAACCAATACCTGCAGGGGCGCAAAATGGACTCAGAACAATCAAATACACGCAATGATGAACCGCAAGATTCAGCCAGCGCCATTATAACTGATTCGGGTAGCTGTCGAAGCCAGGAATCATTATCGGGAAGCATGGGCATGGATAAATTGACGGTTGACAAGTTTGGGAACTGTCGAATGATATTGGCTAGGAGGGCGTAATCAGGTGCCTCACAACGGTCATCATGTATCAAGACATCAAGTCGTCTCGTCCACCACCCTACGTGAACGGAGCGGGCTGCTCCAGAGGATCTCCTACCGAGGGCGACAAGCAAAGAAGACAGAGTAGCTGGACGAGTGACCAGAACACTGCGATAGAGAATATTGATGGCGAGTGTGTGCCATGTCTTGCAGACGAGGATAATATTCCTCTTTGTGATAAGAGACTCTTTCAACAGTCTGTGCTCGTGCTCTTTGACGAGGGGACGCGGAAGATCGAATGGGGTCGGGCCATCATAACTCAGCAGACCAGGGATATCGGTGGCGAGGTTAAATATTGTAATCCAAAGTTCAGGAGGAAAACAAGGCAGATTGCACGCAGTGGAATCGTTGGAGATTGCTAAAGTCATCTAGTCTAGTGCTGTAGATTGTGTTGGTCACGTAAGGCCGATTAATCAGAAAGCGGACGCAAGATGGGCGTACCAGTAAGAACTATGGTCCACTAAGGGAGGAACTGTCTGAAGATAATATGATTCTCTCTAAGGGTTTATATAGGTGTCCCTGCCCTGAGAGTTTAAGATGTGCAGATGAGTGCCCTTGGGAAATCGGGCGATAGTGAACAGTGAACACAAGTCACCTCGATTAGTTGCCTCCTTCAATTAGCTAAAGCATCTCATATCAGTGCAAGTGATCCGAGATATGCATACCGTGTCTAATTATTCCATTATACGCGGGGTGGGCGCCGATAGGTCCTAGCAGTATACATTCTCAAAGAACCTTCGTGTGAAAAATTGACGGTTGTTCGGTGGCGGTTTGAAATTGCAGTGTCTCGCCTAACATAACACGTGATGACTCATTAGCCACGCTAACTTCAACCTCGTTGGGCTCGACTGCCACTGGACCACCGACGATCACGAGGATCAGCGCATCATACGACTCATTGGCCGGACGAAAATCGGATTGCGCCGGCCAAGGCGAGTTATGCGCCTCGCTGATTTTGTAGATCGTTGTTATTATCATGATTTTCTCGAAAGGTATGCTCACCTCTTCACCGTCTGATTGTGCAGCGCGCTATGTGAGGCCACGATCTCCTGGTTCAGCATCCTCACAAAATAAAATTTACGAGTTGCCAAAAATTGTACTTATCGACTCGGACGAATGAAAATATTTGTAGGCCCCTCAACGCGCTGCCAAGTTCGTGAGCGCTCCGTTCATGGTTATGGATATGCGATGTCTCTGTCTGTCCCTTAGGACTCAAAGAATCGCTCCACCAGGTACTGATGTGGGGCGTCCTGCACCCAGCATGGTCAGCTAGCCCTCTGTGGCCCCTCTCGTATGTTCGTCGAATCGGCATGGGTCAACCGTCCCTCTCTGGCCACTCTCGTATATTCGTTGGATCTGCAAGCTGCATAGTACGATGTACTTTCCCGGTTCTTGTGAGTTCCTTTTGTCTCTCACGTGTAGCGCGCCGTTTGACCGTCCAACTATCACAGGCGAGCAATCGGCGAATTTGGTGAGCATATTGGGGCTGCGCCAATGGGAGTAATGTTCTTCCGAGATGGTCTTTCCAAGCATGACGCCACGGGCAGAGGACATCACAGGTGAGTAACTGAGTTGGTCCCAGCAATACCCATTTCTTTCTCTGACTGTGCGCACGACTACCAAACGCGATCGACGACATCTGGCAGGGCACGGGAAGTTTTGAACTCGGATTTGACGTTCATAGCCGTAGATAAAATCAATGAGCATCTGGCTCAACAAGTGACGAGGGTATACTATGACGTAAACAGAAGCACGTGATACATTGTACGATTAAATGCCACGTGCAACTCAAAACAGACCCCGCAATACTTATCCAAACACTTGCCCGCTACTGCTCTGCAATGTTCTTCAGTTTCTTCAATCCACTTTGGGAGGTGCTTTGAACACGCTATTCTTTCCATTGGTTTCCCTCGACCGCATCTCTGATCACAATATTCATTGCCCTATGATCGCTCTCAAAAATCTGTCACTCAGTCACGACCCTTCGAACATATTGTTCGCTCAAACTGCCTTAAATGCAATACTGCGTATATATAATAGACGATGGATTAACTGTACACTGCATATCGTACTAGACAAAGCGTATCTGGCATCTGCGCAAATCAATTTAATCGTAATCAAGAGCTATGAGGATCAATTTGATTAGCTGCGAGGAAGGGAAAACACTGAAAACTCACTCCTTGTGGCAGCGCTGCCAGCCTGTCCCATGCGCCATGATACTCAGATCAAGCTCAACACCACCTCTGGGTATCACTAATACAGTCCGAGGATTATAAAACGCTTTTCGAGAAGCGGGTGGGACCCAAGATAACAGCCGATCATTAGGTCCTAACACCCATCCATCGCCTCCCAGCGCAAATGTGTGATCGTCATGGGGGGTGCCTGCAAGTAGCTCAGTAGTGTCGCACAGTGCATGTGCCGTTGGATTTGACGAGAACGAAATGAGGTTATCGTTCGTAGTATGGGGTGCGGGGATGTTCGTTGTCGGATGTGGGATGCAACTGCCATGCGGGGAGAATGCTGAACAGTCTTCTTCGGCATGGTACTGGAATGACTTCCCAATCGCTGCATACCACACACGGATACCATCCGATGAACGGGAAATGATACGAGTCCCATCCCGAGAGAAGGAGACCGACAGGACTAGATCAGAATGCCCCCGCAAGGGCTCACCAACAGGCTGCCCTGTTGCTGCACGCCACAGTCGGACAGTCTTATCAAATGAACCAGATACAATGCAACTCCCATCTGGTGAGAACGAGACTGATATAACAAAGTCAGTGTGCCCTTCCAAAGGCTCACCAACTGGCTGTCCCGTTCCTGCATCCCACAGCCGGACTGTCTTATCGTCCGAACCAGAAACGATGCAAGTCCCATCCGGAGAGAATGACACTGAGTTAACCCCACCAGTGTGCCCGCAGAAAGGATCACCCACTAACTGCCCTGTCCCTGTATCCCGCAGCCGGACAGTCGTATCTGCAGAACCAGTCGCGATGTGAGTTCCGTCCGGCGAGAAAGAGACTGACCAGACCCTAGCAGTGTGCCCCTGCAAGGGTTCACCAACTGACTGCCCTGTCCTTGCATCCCACAGCCGGACTGTCCTATCGTCCAAACCAGCAGAGACGATGCGAGTCCCATCCGGAGAGAATGAGACTGAATGGACCTCATCAGTGTGCCCTTCCAAGGGCTCACCAACTGGCTGTCGCGTTGCTACATCCCACAACCGGACAGCCTTGTCTGCAGAACCACTTGCGATGCGAGTCCCATCGGGAGAGAACGAGACTGTGCGAACATAAGCAGTGTGCCCCAACAAGGGCTCACCAACTGGGTGACCTGTTACTGCATCCAACAGCTGGACAGTACCATCCTGATAACCAGTGGCAAAGCGGGTCCCATCCGGCGATAGCGAGACTGAGGTAATGAAATTGGAATTCGTGTGTCCTTGCAAGGGTTCACCATCTGGCTGCCCAGTAGATGTATCCCACAGTCGGATAGTGGTATCCGCAGAAGCAGTCGCGATGCGAGTCCCATCCAGAGAGAACGAGACTGAGTAGACCCCATCAGTGTGCCCCAGCAAGGGCTCACCAACTGGCTTCCCTGTTGCTGGATCCCACAGCCGGACAGTCTGATCGTCCGAACCTGTCACGATGCGACTTCCGTCTGGCGAGAATGCGACTGAGTAAACCGACGAAGAATGTCCCAATAAGGGTTCACCAATGGGCTGCCGTGTTGCTATATCCCACAACCGGATAGTGTTATCTTCCGAGGCAGACACGATGTGTGTCCCATCCGGTGAGAATGAAACTGAGGTAACTGAATCAGTGTGTCCCAACAAGGGCTTGCCTACTGGCTGCCCCGTTGCTGCATCCCACAACCGCACAGTGCGATCATTCGATCCAGTCGCGATGCGAGTCCCATCTGGCGAGAACGAGACTGACTTAACTTGACCGGTGTGTCCGCTGATCACAGCCAGGACAGCCGTACAGTTGATATCACGTCCAGATGCTACACGAAGAGAGTTCGGAAACCGTGTAGAAAACGTTCCGGATAGTGCAGAGTTGAGAGGCGAGAATGGCAGTGCTGATACATAAAGATGAGGTGTGCTGTGCAAGATCATGCCGCCGAAGACTTGAATGAATCTCTGCACATCTATTGCAGCGGGCGAGGTATCTTCGTATCCGGTGTGACCCTATAATTGCGATTACGCGTTAGTGAGCATGTTAGCTGACGCTGATGACCATGTGCTCACCTTCAACCACTTGGCAATAAGCGGAAGGGCGGGGACTGCGCCGCTGAGCGCATTGATGAGGCAGAGGACTTCGAGCCAGAAGAACAGTCGCTCATGGTCGAAGAATGATTTGATGCCTTTGGCGAGTTCTGAATCGAAGTCGGTGGCTTGTACGTGTGAAATCCAGAACCGACAGGCATAGGATAGGTGTGGGGGGATGCGCTTTTCGACTCGTTCTTGTAGACCGGGATCTTCGGAGTTGGGGAGATAAGATGATTTCAAATCGCAGATATTGAAGGAAAGTTCATCTTTCTTTTTCATCGCTCCAAGTGATGCGAAAGCAAGGTCTCGTTGAACCTTAGGCACGTCGACAAAAAACTCTTTATTGTGGGATTCGTCTGTGAGGTAATCGCGGAAGGATGCATGAAGAGGTCGGATTGGGGTGGATGAGTTGGTGGTGCCGCTGAGGAGGGATTCCATGTGTTCTACTATGACCTCCACTTTGTAACGCTCGGTTTCATCTGGAAAATGACTTCGCATGGCATTAAGGGAATCCAAAGGGAGGGGTTCGGCCGTGCCAAGAATTTGTCCCATCACAGAACAAAACTTCGCTAGTTGTGTTTGCCGAGACTTGGAGCTTGTGTGTTTATCCTTTGGCATGATCTGTGTGAGAATGAATTCATACATATCATACAACAAGTGCTCCCGTTCGACAGGATCACGGGACACCATGACATTGAACGACTGATCGGAAAATAAGCCAGCAGGAGGTGCTTCGATGGATTCGCAAGCAAGACGGGCCCACTCGAAAAAACCATCAGCTTTCTTGGCCAGGGCTGTAAACTCTTTGCTCCCAAAATGCGGAAGCCCTTCCAGCTTCTTCGACACGTAAGCGTAGATATCGCGTTCCGCGACTTCTGGTAGAATGTCGTCCATAGAAATCCTTCGAATGTGTTGAGCGCCCGCAAAAGCCTTCTGAATGTCGCGAAGCGGGCGAGAGGTGACGATGAACCGGAAGTTCTTTGGGAGCTCCATGATTTGAGGAACAGCGGAGTTCTGGAGTTTACCGGAAAGAATGTGAAGAAGGTCGCATCGTGTCTTGGCCTCGCCGCTTTCGTCCAGTGCGTCGATCACGATCACGACAGGGCCCGCGGTTGATTCCGAGAGCTTCTGTAGTGGTTCGACCAGAAGCTTCTGCCATTGCTGGGAGATGTCAGCTGTAGTCTTGAGCGCACTGGCATTCTGAACTGTATCTGCCAACGCTCGCCTCACCCCCCAATCGCGGTCAGCGAGATCGCGTGCGATGGTAGAAAATATCTTCTCATGACGACGGTCGAAGCAGTAACATGAACCAAGCCCTCCCGCATCGCTGAACCACTTTGCAACCGTGTGGGCGATGGCCGATTTGCCCTTGCCTGCAGGGCCAGATAGCCACAGCACGCGTGGAACGTCGTCTCCAGTGCTGTTCACCCAATCTGTGATCTGGGAGAGTATTTCAGTCCGTGTCCCTCGGAGGCATTCTTTTCTGGTATCTAGCCCTGCGTTCGCTGCATATGCTATGCCACTGAGGTCCAGTAGTTCGCCTGAAGAGAAATGTATAGCTGTTGCGTCAGAAGGAAGTAAATCCTTACCTATACGGTGGGTGTGAATAGCAACGTCCCGAGCAACTTGGTCCCGGAAGCTTTGCATGAGCGCATCCAACGCATCGCTGTACTGTTGAATTTCATTGTTTGTTTCGGTGAGAATGTCTTTCCCGAGTCTCTTCCCTGTTACAATAGAAGACTGAGCATGTAAAACGTGCAACGGCTTGAAGACTCACAAAAGTTCTTAGTCTCTGAATAATCTCTGATGAAACGGGCGTATTCAAGGGTCTGCTGAGAGATCTGTCCAACGATACCACGCATCGATGAAATCTGGCGAAGCGTCTCGTCCTGTATCATGAAGTTATAGACTTGATCCAACTTGTCGACAAGATGATGGACTGCTTGATCACGATCCGCTTGGGCGATGACCATCTACACCGATGACCGGTGAGCGGGTGAGAGAAACGAGAAAGGAGCTAAACATACTTTTGAAGCGCAAGACAAGGCGCCCAGTGCAATCTTTGCATATGGATGTACCTGCGGCACGGGATTAGTTTGGTTCCAGTCAAGAGCAATGGGACCGTACATCCGCGAGCGTCCCGATCACATTGTCGAATATCTTGAGGGGTTTGAGATATGTATCCTGTAAAGTATATGCGTCTTCGAGACCCGCTGGTGCATTTTGGGTGGTAGATACTGCAGATTGCACTCGCTTCGAAAGTGGTTTGATCCCTTTGACAGCCTCCTTAGCGTGTTGAAGTGCCGATTTGGGATCAGCAGTTTGTTTTACGACAGATAGAGCATCCTGAACCTGTGCGACCATCAGAAGTTAAGATTGAAAGCAGAAACTGAAAGGTGACCTACCTCAGGCTCGTGGCTGCGCAAATTCTTCATGTTCGAGCGCTTCTTTATGATCTCAGCCTGACCCTGACCCCAATACAATCCGGTTGCTCGACTTACAGAAAACTTCTTCGCGACACCATCCTTGGCTTTCTTGAGAAACCGAGAAAACTTGCGTGGTGGTTGAACCTGGACAGATGGGTATCAGAGTCAGCGTTTGAGAGTGATGCACAGCAATGTACCGAGCTTCCTGCTGTGACGTCTGGAGGAACTGGGTTCGAGTCCCTCAATTGATTGCTGTCACTCATGACGAGTAGTCAAGGATCAGTCTGAGCGAGGTAGTAGGCTTTGAGCGGGAAGAGTAGGTAGTAACGTGGTTTAAATATGATAACAAGCCATACCCTTGATCGAAAGCCTTGAGGCAATACTTAGTATTTGCTGCTGTGTTGACCTCAAGAATATGGCATTGGGCAGGCACTATGGAACTCCGCGAAACGCCAGGAAATCGGATGGCTCAGCTGAGCGGAATCGAGACTAGGGTCATACTATTGATTACGAGAGAGATGCGAGGGCTTTGTAAAATGAATCAAACAAGAATGACATGGACCCGCCGGACTTTCGAGAAGTCCAGTTTCTTGAGAGAACCGGATTGAACCGGACTTCGACAGCACTACTCATTCAGCTTCGCATCCCGCAAAGGCTTTTGGGCACCTCCAAAAGGTGCAGGCTTAGATGACATACTCATGGTTTACTAAGACAGGTAAGTGACCTGCCTATCTTGCAAACCAGATCACTGATGGAAGTGCCGCCGTCAATGTGATTTCGCCCCGAAAGGTTGCAAGTTCCCTGGATCAGCACTCGTTGCAAAAGTCTGCGATGCAATATACATATGGTGATGGTCAAGTACATCCTCATCCATTCCAAGCAGGAAAAAACGCGCTCGTGAGACCGACCTAGAAGAACTTAGTGCAATGCATGCACTTGGAGCTGGTCTTGATGAGTCGGCAGACAGTAACAAGATAGAAAGTAAACAGATCACTTGGAACACACGCATGTTATTGAGCGTACCCTTTGTACGTATGTAAGCCTTCAATCATATACGTACGGCGGACACTACAGGCGATCCTGGCAGGAACTCCTTTGCGTTCCCAATCATCAGAAGGCCGACTTCAGTAAGGTTAGTGCATTGCATCATGAACCAAGTGCTTCGACTCACTTATCAGTCCGAAAAGTCCCAGCACGCTTCCGAAAACTTCTACCACGAGTACCTTCACAAACAGTGTTGGATCAGCTGCGTCAGCGAGCGCAGCAGTGCTGCCGGCGATACCGACACAAAGGCCGCAAAGAAGATTGCAGAATCCAACGGTGAGCCCGCCAAAGAATAATGCATATCCTGTAGTTTGATAAGTAGCATTCGATGAAGATATGATGAGGAAAGGTGTACCGGTGAAGTAGTTATCTCTTGTGTAGAGCTGCGCTTCGGATACTGTTTGGAGTTTGGAAGAGTACACGATACCCATGATCTACCAACATGGGGTAAGTATTATACACAGACTTGAGGGAACGAATACACACCACTCCGTAAATTGCAACAACCTCGCAAAAAATGATGCTGACAGTCAGCAGCGCTCAGTCCCTTCTGTGCACGCTGTATATAAAAAATAACACACCTAATCAGATTCTTTGTACTGATTCTTGGAGTCCTCACTCCTCCACCCAGTATCGATGCTCCGGTCAAAAATATTCCCCTTCAAAACAACGTCAATCTGGCTGAACAAGAGTGGTGTTGTGCAAACCTACCATCCTGCTCCAAGAACACTCAAGCCTATGCAAAGTCCAATTCCAAGCGAACCCCAGACGAACGGGCTAGTTTCCTCGAGAAAGCGACCAACATTGAATGCTTCTCCAGAATCTGTTCGAAAAGTGTATAAGTGCTGCGGAACAGAGAAGACGACCTCTGGCGCACCAGTAAATAGCAAGTACAGAGCAACTATGATAATAAGAAATGTTGGGAGGCCGAATGATGCATACGTTTTGTAGCCCATGTCTAGCGAATAACAATCAGTTCGTTCTAACAGGTTGACGAGGACATGAAGTGGCACAGGTACTGCATCTGAATAGGGCATATTATTCACACGCTTTCCATACTTGCAATTGGAATCTAAGATTTTAAGCACCTTCATACAAATGTCAGTGTCATCCCATAGAAATGTTCTCGAACTGCTAACACTGGGACTCATCTTCCACGTCGTATTCATTGCTTCTGTTTTTGACTGCTACTTCACTAGCCCAGTCGTCCATGGCATGCCTCCTCGCAAGGCTGGCCCTGGGGAAGCAAAACGGGTCGTTCTCATTGTAGGTAAGTATAGCTTCACCTTCCGTAGCACCAACTGCTCAAGCAACAATTTCTATCAGGAGACGGTCTACGCGCAGACCTTTTATTTAATGTCAACGCGTTCTCTTTCATTCCTTCTTCACCAAAAATCGTTGCGCCTTATTTGCGTGATATTGTTCAAACACGAGGGGCGTTTGGATTGTCACACACTCGAGTACCAACAGAAAGTCGACCGGGGCATGTTGCAATTATTGGTATGTTACTTCCCGATATGTCAGTAGTATTGGGCTGACTTAAGCAAACATAAGGGGGTATGTATGAGGATGTCTCTGCTGTGACCAAGGTAAAAAGTCAATTGCTTGTTTCTTCTGATTATAATGTACTGACGAGACTCGTGGGACAGGGTTGGAAGACGAATCCGGTTAGTATCGTAGCAGCGGACGCCGCAGACAATGTCTCATTCCTTCTCCAGGTTCACTTTGACTCTATCTTCAATCAATCCAGTCACACTTTCTCCTTCGGCTCTCCAGACATATTACCGATGTTCGCCCAAGGTGCAACGCCCGGAAAAGTTGACACTTGGAGTTACGATGAGGAGGACGAAGACTTTACGAAAGGCACGAAGGTTCAGAACTACTGCAGTCGTACTATTAAATCAGACCAACCGGATAGATGCCACCGCTCTAGATACCTGGGTTTTGGATCAACTTCAGACGTTATTTCAGAACGCATCATCTAACGACTTGCTTGATTCAGAATTACGTGCTGACAAAGTGGTGTTCTTCCTGCACCTCCTTGGTCTTGATACCACCGGTCACTCGTACAGGCCACACTCCAAGGTGAGCATCTCGATCAGTGCGCTTTTATTGATTTACTTTGTTACAGGAATATATGAACAATATCCAAGTCGTTGATCATATCGTCCGACGAACAGAAGAACTTTTCTCCGATTTCTATCACGATGAAGAGACAAGCTTTATATTCACAGCTGACCACGGCATGTCTAAGATCGGCAACCATGGTGATGGCGGTGAGGTCTGCGCTGTATTAGTTTTAACAATGAAGTATTGAAGGAGTTTACAGACCCGGACAACACACGTACCCCACTAATCGCGTGGGGGCGAGGTATCAGGGGCCCACTTCCTGACATAATTCCTTCCTCGCACGACGAATACTCTCGGCCCTGGCAACTTGACGACTTTATGCGACGAGACGTAGAACAAGCGGATCTTGCGCCCCTGATGGCTGCGCTGCTTGGTATTAACTATCCAGTAAATTCAGTGGGAATTCTCCCTGATGCAGACCCTACGCGACCTGGCTACTTACTACCGCGAGAAGGAGAGTCAGCCTTGGCCCGGCTTGCATTAGCAAATGCAGAGAGTATCTTAGAACACTACCAAGTAAAACACGGTGCGTTCAAAAAGCATTTTCTGCCTGGTTTGTCCATAACTATCTGCCTGATAGAATCAAAAGCTGCACAAACTATTCTATACAAACCTTTCGGACCATTGGAAGAAGTCAGTCAAGACGGGAAGCTCTTAAGAGTATCCTGGCTATCCAAAATAGAACGTTTGATCAGTAATGGAAGATGGTTCGAAGCCCGTCGAGAGACAGCTGAACTTATCAAGGTTACTTTACAAGGTCTTCGATATCTCGAAACGTAAGCTGCTTAACCACCATTAGAAACAATCGCTGAGAGAATGCAGGTATAATCGAGTACTTATACGGATCATCGTCATGATAGCATATCTGGGATGGTCTGCTTATGCGTCGTTGTCAATATTTCCCCCGCCAGCTTCCTTGGTTTCAGACAGGCAGCGTACCGTGGTCAGAATTGCCACCGCAACTATATTAGCAATATTTTGGGCACTGTTTGCTGCAGAGAGAGCTCCATGGACATTTTATGTCTATGTGACTTTCCCCTGCTACTTCTGGCAGCAATTCGCGCTACGTGGAGTTCCAATCGCTGTGCAACAATTTAAATCGAGTGACAGACGCGGTCATTTTATAGGCAGAGTGTTGTTCCACTTGGTCATCGTAGTGGTTGTGCTTCAGTGCATGGTCGTGCGTCGACCCTTGTTCATTTTACAAATCTCATGCGACTTATGAATGTCCCAGGCTGCTTACACTCACCGGTCGCTGTGGAGCATTGGATTTTTGACTATGGGCTTTTTATGGCCATATGCGTCATGGCCAAGTCACGTTCGGTCGCAACATCTGAGACTTCTACTTTCCTGGATGAGTAGCTGTCTCATAACTGGTGTATTCCCCCTACTCAGTGTTAACAAGAGAGAGGATTTATACATGATGTGAGCGCAGTCTGACGAATTTATGCACGTTGCTCATACTTGCCTATGTGTCAGCATGTGCGGAGGGGCAATGATCCTCGCAGTTGGCGCAGGTTGTGCACGTTTGGCGTCGAACGGTGCTTCGAAAGATGCAAAACTATCTGTAATCATCCAGGTAGGTAGTTGCAAATGGCGCTATGTAGCTTACTCATTCGTTTCCAAGGCGTTGTTTATCTTACTCGCCATGACAATTACTGCAAGCTCGGTGAAAAGTTTACAAGCAAAGCAGGGATTGTCCACCATTAACCAAACTTCAGCATGGCTCATACTCGGTGCTTGCCAATCAACTGACATCAATTATTCATCTGATTTTTGTGTTTCTCAGCTGTATCGTCGATATATCCATTCATCTCTAAAGCACAACACAACACCCCGACCTCCAGAATCGCATCGCTTTTCCTGGGCTTCGGCGTCTGTTTCGTCATTCTTTCGATCAGTGTTGAAGGCTTATTCTATGCGGCTTTCACGTGCAATTTACTCCTGTGGATAGAAGTCGAAGCGATCGTCCAGTCGAAACGAGCTAGTGCCGCTTCGCAGAATCAAGGATGCTACGAGTTTCAGACTGACGATATCAGAATAGCACTCTTTTTCTTGTTTTTCGTTCAGGTGGCTTTCTTTGGAACCGGAAAGTGAGTGATGGATACGACTGACCTTTGTGGTATCGATGTTGATGGTCGACTATGTCTAGCGTTGCTTCAATTTCGTGAGTTTCCCCGACAAGCTGGTCTAGCTCTGCTCACCTCTCGCAGATCGTTCTACTTGGAACCTGTGTACCGTCTCGTGCCAATTTTCAATCCGTTCTTGATGGCAGCGTTATTGGTGGGTTCTTTAACCATTGCGCATACCGGAAGCTTGAACGGATTGTCACAGATATTCAAAATTGTCGCACCATATGTGATCTTGTCAGCTGTGTTCGCCACTTTGAATGCAAGACTTCACCTACCGCCCTTCTCGCTATTCCTCGTCGCTCTGACGCTCACTGATGGTGCGTTGTTCCTTTTGACCTGCACTGATAACTAATATCTAGATCAGGAATGACGATGGCGTTTTTCCTGAACGTCACTGACACCGGTGAGTGGGCTAGCTGGTGGTCAGATCGTATCGAATTGACATACGACACAGGATCATGGTTGGAGATTGGGCAATCGATTAGCTTCTTTTGCATAACTTCTCTATTGTTGGTTTGGTCAGCTGGTATCTGCACCGCTGGGGAGTATCTCATGGTAGACACATTGGTGTTCCATAGGTCCACGGACAGTCGCAAGCTAGAATAAGCAACGTGTTGATGCACTGCACATAAAATTGTGGCACGCGATGAATGATTTTCTCGTATTTGCGGCTACAGGAAAGACGTGGGTAAACGCTAAGTTTGCGATAAGTACTCAGATATATTTGAGAGAACTTGTATGCCGAACAAAGATACGGCATATCCTCAGTGTGGTCATCTAACTATTCACTTTCCACGTAGCCAGGGTTTGATTTTCAATTCATCTTATCGGGCAGCAAATTACGCTCTGAGTTGTACTGCAATTGTGAATACTCGAACGGTCAACTAACGCACCGCCGCGACTTTACAACCTGGACCAAAAGCTACTTTGATGCCAGGCCACTAGTTTGATAGCGGTAGTCGAACTTTGCCTTTGATGGGGCCAATAACAAAGGAGGATTTGGTAGAAGCAGGGATCGCTGATAGGGATTACAACACTTGTCTATTGAGACAACAGGATACGTTTTTACTCTCAAGATGAACGATGGAAGGTGGCTATATTAGTACTAAATATTCTCCTCAAGCCCAAGGCAAAGGCATTGAAGTTGGAAGACGACGGTGTACCACGGCAAGTAGACTTTCTGAGACCGTTCATGATACCTGCCACTTCCATCGCCTTTGTGCGAGCATTGAGCAATCCTATAACACGACGTGGTCGTGCCCAATTGTCGGGCAGACGTTCTTCCCCGTACCACTGTAAAAGTATGCTTGACGGGATGCGACCATCGTCTTGTTTGAGAAGCAACCAACACAAAGCTGCCTCAGCAGCCCCGATCTGGGAATGGATGGGGTCGAGTGGATGAGCTAGCTGGGCCTCGCGAGATATGCGCACTTGCGCGAGGTCGTACAGACTCATGCCCCTTTGAGGATCTGCGTAGCTTAGAAATGACTTCAGAAGTTTTGGGTCGACCTTAGTAGGTGCACGTTGTTGACCCAATGCGTTTGCATGAACGAGGGATGCGTCGTGTTCGATTTTGTTGTGCATGGCCAGTGCGTCAAGGTCCAGACGGAAGGAGTGACCGCAAAGTAGAACTCCTGCCAAAGCGAGTAAGGCTGCCAATATAAAGGACAGGTTGTACACTTCTTGCACTGCGCGTATCAGATGCCAAAGTCCGATGTTCTGTCCATTGCGTGGCCTGGTAATGATGAAGTTTGAGTTTGGAGGTGCTAGGAGAAACGAAGAAAAACATACAAGTAACCGTGATTTGCTAGTGCATTGAGTGCTGGACAAGGAGAACGTCGATCGCCCGTAGTAGCGGGGATGAATGGATGTGCAGGAGGACAAGTCCAATTTGAAGTCGACATTTTGAAGATTACTCGGACTGATCCGGTGGCGCAGCCCCTGTGGCGTTAGCCTTTTTATACCACAGCGGATCCTGATGCAGTCTTACATCAGCGAGTCTGAGACATCCGTGCCGCACCAAACTCCGCAAAGCTTTTATTTGGTTTTGTTTATCAGTCACCCATCCTACGTCCTCCTCCCTGTCAGCCTATAAGCGAAGTATAGGCTACGTATGATTAGAGCGGTGAAGCTCATCTCGAACGCACTAATGCATATACAGACTAGGTGTATCATGTAATTACACCTACATAGCTCATCGTATACGGCAAATTTCGAATTTTCTGACGGTGATCACACAATACACGGTCCTCGGATTTACCAGTTTGAATTGACAAGGCTGTTAATTAGCGCTAATGTACCGTGAATTCGAACAACTGTACATGACGATGAATTACTCCCACTTCTTTCAATCAGAAGGATCAGGTAGAGACTAGGACGAGCTTTTAACTGCAGTCTTCTTGCTGGATGCACAAGCAGGCTGCGAAGCTTGTTTAGCTGGAACCGAGCAGTTCACGTAGGAAAGGTGAACGCAAATTTATCAATACCGCTAGATCCAGCAAGCACAAATGAGTTTTTCTCCACTGTCTCGAACTCTGCGGGAAAGCGGCTGTGATCACCATCTACATACAGAATAGTTTTTGGAAGATTAGAGTGAAGGAGAGACAGCTGCTGTCCGGTTTGTCTTTTTGTTTCATAGTCCGAGTTGGCCGAATAACTTTCGGTCTGGAATCGTATGATCTCATTATGGAAATTACAGTTACGCCCGTAATCGCTTCATGCTGTCCTAGGTCCCCAAACTCACTCAAACTCACACCCCCGAGATTTACATACCAATTCACGCTAATCCACGGGGGTGAATTCACACCGCCACTTTGCAGTACACTATCGATACGTTGATTTCGGCAACATGAAATGTCGTCATTCGTCTTTTGTAATTATAATTCATCCTTCCAAATATTCATTAGCACCGCTCGTTGTTCCCTGCAAGGCCTGCCAAATTTACAAACGACCTTGACCGCATGCAGTATAATGTCGCACCGGCGCCCTCCCTATTTCTGGGATGGCCTAGCTAGAAGGGTTCCAACCCGAGATCAGTGGAGGGAGTAGCAACCGTTTTGCATGTGCCAATTTAGGTTGCGTATTGTGCTTGCTATGCACGTATTGTTGATGAGTCGAGACAATGAATTTGCATCATGGCGACTACAATCGCTGTGCCATATGGGCTATGGCCCGTTGACAACTACCTCAGAATCAAAATCAAAATCAGAATCAGAATCATCCATCCTTGGATCAAAATTTGTTCCGATTAGTACTACAACTTCTTACAGAAGATGTGGTCTAGTGGGGGTTCAATGTGTTAGCTACGTTGCTGTTTCAGCCTTCCCCCGTCTATGGTGCCGACTCCAAATTTTATATGTAAGGTGGGCCAAGGGCTTGGAACAAAGTCAATTATAGCAGAGAATGAGAATGAGCGCAAACTCACCCGTCCGGAATACTCCAAGTGTAAACTCCACCACTAGGAGTAACACGCCACCTCCAGGCGCTAAACGGAGGACCTTTGGCAAGAAGCCCTTGTAAAGGGCTGTGGGGCCCTCCTCGCGCATGATAGTCATTAATCTGTCACGTTATTCGGTATCTCCGTCCACAGCGCAGGAAGAAACGCACGCAGGATATGTCCAATTATATTTTGGGGTAACTCCAGGAACCTTAGCCGTACCTTGGATGCGAGATTTCACGACCTAAATTTACACGTAGCGGTGTCATCGACCAAACTGGGGGACTACAAAGAAGAGCATACATCGAAGCTGAGGGGCATATCAGTCACATTCCTAAATTTGCTGAATCGCAACTCACGGGGTATTCACGACAGTTCCAACGAAGCCACCTACACTGCCAGAAACAAAATTATTGAACAACTGCCCTTGCTGCGTCTAAACTAGGCGATAAGAAAGATCCCGCGACATATTGCGGAAGGCTTGCCTCAGCCGGTGGCATCATACTACGGACTTGATGGATACATCCGAAATATCCACCATTCCACCAGAAGTGCCTAGTCTCTTGAGTCAATAATTAGGGATGCTAGAGCGTGAATCCATCTACCTCCAGAAAGTTGCCTCCATGCCGGCATAGAGACCAAGAGGACCTTCCTTCTTGATGACCTGCTTGACTACATCGATAGGACCAGCGAATGTACTGGTTTTATCTTGCAGCCTATTGACACGGGTTAGAAGTAGGAATAAGTCCTATGACAGCGATGGTCGCACTTAATCTTGACAAGCTCAAACGGAACGACAACAAAACTCTCCGTCGCACCAGCACTGCACCCTGTCAAGATAGAGAGTTGCTGCGTCATCTTAGATTCTCCAGATAAGCCCATATAAGTCTTCCCCCAGAAGTCATTGGCAGCGCTGTCAGAAAATGAGACAGTACAACGTAATACCTGCGAGAGCCTGACTCACAACTTAACCGCGCGCTTCGGCGCCTCAAGAAGAAGAGGAGGGACCAAGCCTATAAACAAAGTTCAAGGCCCCGTAACGAGAACTGTAAGAATATCGTTGACCTCGGTAAAGTCGGCCGAAACTGATGAGGATATCAGCAGCGTAGTCGCGTGAACATCGTGATGCCACGACTTTACCCTTCTTCCCGCACTATAGACGATAGAGTGCCAACCATTCCATGCTTGGCCTTTCCGGTCTCAAGTTGCATGCGAGTTTTCACCTGAGTCACGCTCCGTCATCGTACCCAAGCGCCATATGTACAGGTATACTTACGACATCTGGATCACGAGTGAGCAGGCGTCTTATGAGATGAACGCAACTCACCTAGAGGGTAAAATGTCAGAATCTCGGAGACACCAGCAATTGCGCCGGCGGCGAAATTCGCAATGAAAGGGAGTGCTATAGTTTATTCTGTCAGCGAGGTCTCAAGTACGGCGCCTGGTACGGTGCAGGTTGCCTAACTCACGTTTCCGTTGATCCGTAGCCATTATGCTTAGTTTTGATTGATGAGGATGAAGTTAAGAAGGAAAAGGGAACGTTTCAAGATTCCGAGAACGACCGACACAGAATCGGACGTAAAACGGAACAGGATATTCGACGGTACGCAAGCGAATGCACTAGTTGCTAAGATCAAAATCCGGGCTTCTCGACTCGTGACCATTGTCGCGTGACACTGTGACGGCCTGTGACCAAACCTTGCCTTACTGATGAACTTCATCAACTTCCTAGAGTGCGCGTTACTCATGCGAGCATGGTATACATCGCCTCCTGGCAAGAGTTTCAGGAAGCAGCTGAAAATCTTTACACAAAATCTCCCAACAAAGTCTGTCTTTTTGATATCTATCATCGTGTGACGCTGATGATGTGCCCACAGGCTCGATATTGTGTGAAATGGAGACCATCAGAGGGCAAACTCGTCCTGAAGATTACAGATGATACAACAGTGTGTTGTGGTTTCATTCACTTCTGAGTATAGATCTTACTTATACCCCATACATCTCTGTAGTGCATAAAGTTCAAAACTTATTCCTCGATCTTCCTCAATCGATTCGAGGCTCTGAACTTATCACTAATGCAGAAAATGCAGAATAAACGCCCTACACCAATCGTACCCCTGGGCACACCTGATATCACTAAGGACGCAGACCAGGCGCGCTCGTCGTCTCCGTTCGTTGCACAACCTGCTGGTCCTGCAACTGGAGGTGTTAAGAAGAAAAAGCCAAAGAAGAAAAAGTAAGGACAACATTGCTATGCAACTTCTGGTAAGTCTGCCGTAACGACCCAGCTATCCCATTTTCTGATAATGTCTTTCTGTTCAGTTGTCTCCGTGGTAGCATTATCTCCTGAGGTGGAGCGAACGTGCACATTTGTTACCAGAGCGAGACTAATGTTCGTATATCGGATTATCAATATGCCTTGTTCTTTTGGACAGCGCAAGCCTAGTGCCCGACCGGGCATGACCCGTTGATCACCGCGATGTTGTTCTAATACAAGAGGCAAGATCATAGGTAAGCCATCCATATGGGAACGATGGAAATAGACATACAACGTCTAGCTTCGGTCTCATGCACAGCTTGCTTAGCACTAAGCTATAAAACGTACCAATCAAACAACGGTGCCTTGGAGTACCCGGTGCTGATCTACCAGATCGTTGATACAATGATAGTGTTAGATGGGATGGTGATGTGGCTGATCAGTCCATGCGATCGTGCGCAGCCATGATGATTGTGCTCGACAATCGAACAGGATGATAGCCTGAATGATAGCCTGAATTTTAACGACAGCGGGTAATGCAGAACCCGGCCTCAGGCGTTCATCATAGACTCCAATGTCCACCGGAGACGCAAAACTAGTAAATGAGTCCAATGCGGTCAACATGTGTGTGGAGATGCCAAGTTAGCTTTTGCGGATCATCCGATCTTATAGGCGGTGCAACGGGGAATATTCCGAAGGAGACCGGGGTTGGTTTGTGCGGCGCCGAGATACCTAGTAATAGGCAAAGCTATAAGGAGAGCGCGTCGCAAGACCCAAAATTATTGGGGTCTTAAAAAGGGGTTGCCGTACTCGATTGATATGTGACAATTCAATGAACTTAGTGAATTCGCCGTTAAGATGCAGAGGGATTCTATTCGCAGGGTCCGGCTTGAAGGTAATTATCCGATATGATTGCGGATCCGACTGTCATTAGTAGAAAGAGTACTTACAATATCTCGAGGTACGTACCACAAAAACAAATCGCGTAACCAAAAAAACATGGAGCTGGTTGAGGCCCTAGGGAGGACTTGCGGGGGTTGCTATTCACCGACCCCCCGAGAAGACAGCTTTCTCATGAACCCACAGAACAAGGCATCTCATGACATAGGATTTGGCAAATTGTTCATTAAAAATAGAGACTGTTGACAGTCCATGATAACGGCGAAAAGCAGGGGAAAAAAAAAGCGCACATAGAATACTTGATGAGCCATAATTTCGCAAGTAATCCCGAACATACCACGATTGCAGCGGAAATCGACATGGTGATTGTTGATCACATCACATGTAGTCAGCGGAGTTCTAGCTGATGCGTTTCCTCCTGGATAGTACAATAGTGGTAAAAAGTCTGCGAAAGAGTGAGAACGGGGTCAAACCACAAATGAGAGTCACAGCGAGACGTGAATGTCAAGTCGACGTCGGGTAAGGATAAAGCTGGTGCGAAGTAGCAAGATACCCTGTGAAAGTGAGCAAAAAAAGATAGTGCAGGACACATAACTTAGATCTGATACCATAGCAAAGAGACAGTGTTTAGCTTCTCCTGAGCCTGGTTCTGGATGCCAAAGGGCTGCAACTAATCAACTGGGATTAATGAAGGAGGTGAAGTGGACAGCTTTTCAAGCAGTCCTCGGAGAAGAGGCTTCGGAACTAAGGTCTCATGTGTGTGTGTTGCTTCACATGAGGTCACTACACTCCCATATCATTAGTACTGGGGTGTCGTTTGTAGAACGAGTCTAAGACTCATGGTGCATGATATTCGAAACGTCGTGTTGACCTCAGTCACACATGTCACGGTATGGACTGGTTTAGCTGATCTCCGTAAATACGCGTACATAATAATGCCTTGCCATTGGCATTGGCATTTGATTCTAAGCGCTCGACCCTACATATTCTATGCGCATTGCGGACGTCTCAATCTATTAGGAACAGCTTACATACCCAAGTTCAATAACTGGTCGAATGTATCAAATTGAGAGGACATCGAGCTCATTCATAAAGAGCACCGACCTCTTCTATCTTTAGTGCAATAGGTAAGTTGTGTGGCTGTATTCCTTATTCCGATGTGTCTTCATCTCCCTACCTGCCAACAGTTATTTCTCCACTCGGTCTTCTGACACGTAATTTCCTCAAATCCTATTGCTCATGGCGCTTCGGCGGTATACATCATCAATCGACGGTACTATTCCAGTTCCCGCACTCCTCTATGACGATGAAGAACTTTTGGCATCCCAGGATGGCGTAGGCATATATGATGGGTGCGTGTGTTTTCTGGCTTTGACCTAGTGCATTGGTTTCCGTGTTCATGTCACCGATTAATAGTCTGCAGAAGGCTCCCGACCATCAGACAGGCTCTGTTCACGTCTCTACGCATCGCCTATTTTTCGTTCATTCCCAGAACCCTACATCATATTCTTTTACTATGGGTCTACTCCATGTGACACGGACGAATTATTATGCTGGCTTGTTCAAATCTTCGGCGAAGATCTCACTCTTCCTCGACCCCAATACTGCCTTGCCTTTGACCACAACGTCCGGGCAGCGAACAGAAATATTCGAGAGCTGGGAGTGCGAAGTCTGCAGCCATCGCAATCCTCCAGGTTTAAGTCCAGCCGCAGCCCGAATATGTGCTCTATGCGGCGTTCCGCGCAGCGCATCTGCTGTATCAATAGCGTCGGAGGCATCATCTCAAATTCAATCCGTGTTCTCCTCCCTTCCCGAGTCTTCATATACCTCTCTGTCTTCCTCGAGTTCTCCAGGACCTCCATCCCCTCCATCAACGAATGATGATTCTGATGGAATTGCGTGTCCTGCATGTACCTTCCTTAATCACCCATCTTTGCGTGTCTGCGAAATATGCACAACGCTGCTTCCCAATGCTGAACATGCTGGGATTATGAGAGCCAAATCCGCCCCCTCCACTCGACCAGTATCACCCGTAGATGACACCATCGATCCCGCAAATCTCCTCATCAAATTAAGCTTCCGCAAAGGCGGTGACAAACCATTTTACAACGTACTCAGGCGTGCACTTAAATCTCAGGCTTGGGAGGCAAGCATGGTGCCATTATTTCAAGAAAAATAGAACTAATCGGATTACCCGACAATTAGGGCAAACGAATTGGTCATAATACAAGAAGCGGGACTTCTGGCCTCGCAAGCCCTAATTACGGGCCGACACCCGTTGCCATGCGTCCTTCTGGAATAGGTGAGTAATACAACTTTATTTTGTTGGTACCGCCGGCGCTGAAGTTCATATGACTAATTCTTAAGACGGAATCATGCGTAACGTAGAAACTTCGGCCCATATTACACAAACAGATCTAAGCGATGCCCTGAAAGACTTAGAGGGCTTAATGATGAAAGCAAAGGATCTCGTTCACCTGGCGGGGGAGCTAAATGAGAAACTTACTGCATCCTCTACAATAACCACGACATCAACACTTGCTTCTCCATTTTCGACGACTTCATCCTCATCAACCCCAGGCACCCAATTGTCAAGTCCATTTTCGACGACCACGCTTGTTCCTTCGACGGAGCCCGAAGAAGCCAAATTTATACGTTCTTCACTTGCGCAGCTAGGTTTACAAATGTCTAATGCTCCCGTCACGCTGGACATGATCAGGGATGAAAGAAGGTGGGTAGAAGAGTTGGCGCGGGAACTGGCAAGGGTATTGCAAGGGTCGCCAGATGATATTCCCGGTCAGAAATCTGTCGGAATTATGAAAGAACGGGGAATTGTTGGGCTGGATGAGGTTTGGGGCGGATGGAATCGCGCGAGAGGCGTAGGTAAGGAAACCTTTTGACACAGCCTAAGTGAGCTACTGAACACATGATGCGCAGCTTTAATTCCGCCATCCACTTTTCTGCAAGTACTCCCTATCCTCCCGGCATACACGTCACCGCCTATCCGCAGCAGAGTGTTTAAATCAGGATTATCCGTCCTCCACATTCCACCGTACACCCACGCTTCGTTCACGGCCCGCATAGTGGGCTATCTAACTATGTCTGGTGTGATGACAACAAGTCAGATTGCTCATGAGGAGAATATCACGATCGGACTTGCAGACGAAATGATCGCTGCTATTGAAGCTGATGGTGTGATCTGCCGGGATGATGAAAGATCGGCAATCAAAGGGGGCGGAAGTGGGATTGCATCAGAAGTTAGGTGGTCAAGGAACGTCTTTTTGGAATATACTTGGGATGGTCAATTGTGAGTATGCTTACATCAAAGTTTGCAGCTAGTGCCTTATGGACCCCCCAATATATCATGGGAGTTGTTGAAGAGTAGATGCTGCGGACCAAGATACGACTCGGAGAACTCGGGGACTCGGGAAAACCCCGTGCAATCCTAGTTTCGTCAGCAATTGTTAATAGTTAACAATTGCAATTGCTTTGATTTGTGAGCGAAGAATCGACTTCTGGTCTAAATGCTTTTCTAGCTTGCATACAATTAATGAATTTCACCAGTTCTGGCATGTTTGGCAAAAGCTTTAAAACCAAACAAACGCCTGATCGATCGACTTTATTGCCTATTTTGGGCGCTTCAATACTGCAGCGACATCCACACCTGGCTCGGTAAAGAATTGTGGTTTCCGTATGCTACAGCAGGGCAGACAAGGTTCGAGGAGACCGCGTAGCACCGATTGTCTCGCAGCTTATGTTTTCGTGTGTATGTAATATCTGGGGCCCTGGGTTTGCTTCTAGATCGATATCATCCCGTAAATCAAGGCCCAACTTTCATAATAGAATAGATAACCTCCGGTGTCACGACCCTAGAAATAAAATCCAAACTTACACTGTCGGCTTGACTGGACACTTCGACGGCACGTTTTTTTATTATGAGCATCCCGAGGACATCGGTTTAGATGAATTCTATCCCCGATCGGCAACATGTCTTTCCCGCTGCATTGAACGCGGAGAACCTGTCAAGATGGTATCCTGCTCTCCTGTAGAATTCGTCGAGCTGCTTTGTACCGCTTCAGGAATGTTTATTTGAATGATATTCGTCGTACTCCGCAGCGATATTTCAGGACGACATGTGTTCATGCTTACGCTAATTCCAGGGAGATATCTCATCCCTGAAAAAATAGCTCCTTTTGCTCCTCATGCTCGTCGGGCAGCGTAATTATCCACCGCTGAAAGCGGTGCTGTGGTCCAACTGCGATTTACTCAGCCGGCGGAACAAAAATTTAATTGTATGCCCACAGTCTCGGTATGTGTATACTTTAGGTTCGCTTTTTCCCCAGTGATATCCGCATATATGTGGTTCTCCATGCTCAAACATTCTCCTGCGACGTCGAGATCATTACGACTGTTAATTCCTTTGAGGTTTATAGCAACCGACTCGATTTCTGTTCTCGTTAACAAAAGGATAGAGTACGCAACTATCACCAGTGGCGTAAGCGCGCCCATCATCTTTGGTTCGGCCTGCCGTGGACGGCCCCCGCGAAGTGAGATGAAAGCTCCACTTCGATGATTGCTCTACTCAGCCACTGTGTGGGTCAACGTCGGGGTCAGTGAACAATAATGGTAGCGCGTAGTGCTTACTACATTGTTTTATGATTATGATCGTCAGATCATCGAGGACGTGTTATTGTACTTCAAGGTTCTCGTACAAAGGCGCGATGTGTTTGAGGACTAAGTTCACGATGCAGATGTATAAAAGTCCCGTAAAACGCAGTCATAGCACGGCATTCGGGATGAAGATGATGGCACGATAATCATGGTGTGATCGGACTGCTGGGTCGGACTCAGACCTTGATAGGTGTCTTCGATCCGGTTCCTACAAGATGTCCGGATTGCAAGTTCTGAATTAATTTGCGGTGCAAAAGGATCAGGCATGTGGGTGAGTGTGAGATTCCACATGGACTCGGATTCGGAGTAACGGTAGATCGCATCACAGCATGATGAACATGATCATCCCGCGAGAGCTGCAGGGATGGCAAATACCAGTGAAGGAGATTGGGTTCAAATCATCGCATCCGTATCAGCTTAGCTCGTAAAGTGCTCCGAACTGGCACATCAACTGAGCTTATCAAAGTAACACGACAAGTTCGGGGGTTACGAGATGTTGCAATTCCGAGTAATCCTAAGATTTCGAATACAGCCATGGTTTGATGTTTTACATTCGAAAGTGACGCCTGTCGAAGAAGATGGATGTTTAAAAATTCTCCGAGTGAAAGAACACTGGGTATAAAATTTTACTGTCAAGTTGGGCTATGCTATGAGGCTGTGAAAGGGTCTGACTAAAAATGGACGATAGCAAATTATGTAAGCATTCCGGTTACTTGAAAGTAAAGATGGCATCAGGATACGTACAGTGCCAACAACCCTTTCCAATGGTAGATGGATGCGGCCCAAACTATCGCATCCAATATGATTTCATGATCATTTCTGGGTCTCCCCGAACCATCTTCTTATTTTTATACCATCCATGATATGGTTTGTATATAATTTATATCTTCCGGTGCACACGCAACTGGATCACCCTCCTCCCTTTATAACTGCATATCACCTTACTCCTCATCTAATCGGTCATCGCATTCATCCTTCCCTCTCCCAATCTTCAAATTTCTCTTTTTGATTCAAGGAGTGCGTACCATCACATTGAATTCGAACCTTCGTCGCTCACCATCATCATACCAGGTTAACCCTCCGTATTACTCTTCTCTTCTCTACAGCGTCACTGAAACAAGTGATCTCATGAACCCTTATCTACCAACGTTCGATTCTTCACTCGATACAGGCACTGCAGGGCTGACTCCACCATCAAACTCTGGATCTTCTTCCCCTTCTCTGCTGAATGACCACACCAATGCCCATCAAACGCAGGCGCCTGATCGCCGCATAGCAAATTTTATCGCTCGCACATCAGCAGGATCACCTACAATGCATAGCCATCGTTCACCACAACGAACAACAACTTCATTCCAACCCTGCCAGCCTCACACAACTGATCGCAACCAATCTGCCTTTGTCCCTCGCTTTAATCCATCGCTCACTGGGTTAGGTTCATGCAAGAATCTGACAAGGCCCTTGAACATGCAGGAACAAGAAAATCTTCTTTATCTGGACAATCTCAAGTATTTCCTCGCTACTGCGCCGTCCCGATGGTCGTCGACCGCCTCTGGTCAAACACAGAATGATTCGTTTCCTATGGACTCCTCTGTCCACCCAGCTTCTTCACATCCCTTCATGAACCGCTTCCTTCTTCCTTCTTCGGAATACATTACTTGTGTTAAGTGGAATAATCGCTACCACATAACAGGCACGGACATTGTTCGCGCGCTTGTTTTTCGCTTCGAGGCTTTCGGGAGACCCGTCAGAAACATGAAAAAATTCGAGGAAGGCATTTTCAGCGATCTGCGAAATCTCAAGCCTGGTGTCGATGCTTGCTTGGAGGAACCAAAAGTTAGTCTTGTCAGATCTTCTCATGATGCTCCATCTCATGTAGAACAGTCACAATTTCTGGATCTTCTTTTCAAATATCAGTGCATACGCACTCAGAAAAAGCAAAAGGTTTTCTACTGGTATGCATCTCCCGCATTGCCCTGCAATTTGTGGCTCATTTTCTTCGAAAGGTACTCGGTCCCTCATGATCGCCTTTTCCTAGATGCCCTCGAACGCGATCTCAAACGCGAGAAGATGGATTTGGAACCAACTACTTTCATCACCGGTGAACCTGCCCTCTCGTTTACATACGAGCCGCAGCGTAGCCTGTATGAACAATTCAGCAAGGGACAGAGCACCATGGAAGGCGATGGCGACGTCATTAGTAATTTTGACGTCACCCAAATGAATGGGAAATATGACACAAGCGGATCAGCACCGACAGTTTCACGTGCGGGGGCGATGCACAACTCTAACTCGGGGGAGTTGCATCTTAGCAACTGTCGCATTGATGGCGGAGGCGTCCCACATCTTCCCTCAGCACTGCATGGCCCCAATATGGCATACCTGCCCCTTTCTATTTTCGAAGGTTCTCCCACCTATAAGCAACGTCGTAAAAAGCCAGCCAGCAGGCTCGATGCGATCACGCGCAGTGATTCAGAGGAGACGCCCATTCATGCACACGAGGTTGGCGTCGGATATGGACCTAATGATTCCAGTATGACAGCTGCCGATATGTTTAAGTCTCAGGCGAGAGGTGAACAAGATTCTAACGTGAGACGAGCAAAGGCTGTGCTACAAGCCCAGGATAGCGCGATTTGGTCAGCTACACCGCAACTCGCTCCAGCACAGACTTCTGCCACCCTTCCAGTCTTCGGACAACGGTCACCAAACAAGCAGCCTTCATCGCAATCCCATCTCCACCCCTTTCCGGAGCATTCCTCACTATCTTCGTTCCTTTCGGATATTGACGGCCATCACGCCACCAGTGAGATGACGCTCACTTCAAAAGTGTTTGTTTGTCCGCTCTATTCCTGTGGCCGCTTGTTCAAGCGCATGGAGCACCTAAAAAGGCACGTGCGGACGCACACCATGGAACGCCCATTTCCGTGTGACTTTTGCAAGAAGCGGTTCTCTCGGTCGGACAACCTCAACCAGCATCTTCGCATACACACACGAGCAGAAAGGGCTGACTCAGCTTCTGCCGATCTAAATGCGTGCGATACTGATATGGACAACGAGGAAGGAGACGAAGGAGACGTTGCCTTTGCTGCCGCTTTCTCTTTTGCAGAGGGTGGCTTACAAGACATGGAGAGATGTGTTTTGGAACTACAAGGCGAGGTTCAAGATGTACAAGGCGACGAAGAGGGTCTTGTTGCGTTGTCTGGCGTCTCCCCTGTTATGGATACCGACGCCATCTCGGACGGCGGGCTCGGTAACAGCTATTTCCTGCAAAGTGGCACCGGGAACCACACCGGGTACGTTGAGTCTGCGGAGATGACCTGGGCCAGTCCCTTTATGAACTCTCCATCGTTAACTTCGGCGTGCAACGGGCAACTGGTCATGGCGTCTTTTTCAGCTCCGTCTCATAGGCAGGATTTTTCCCTGGACAAGATGTCTCGCCATGTAGCACCCTCAGAGGTCGGATCTCACAGACGTCACAGAAGCGCGACTCCGTCTCTCATACGCTCGCATTCTGCGTCCAAGAGCAGTAGCCGACACTACCATCCCTATGCATCATCCTCTCCTTCATGCCCCAGTTCAAGTCACTCTAGTCCATGCGCTCTCTCTCACTCTCTTGATAATTCCGCAGTTTCAACAAACACGATGTCTCGTGAGGCCTTCAGGGCATCACAGCCACGTTCATTCTCAGCGCCTTCCTTCAGCGCCAACCAAGGCTTAGATGGAGCGCTCGACATCAGCGGACTCAATTTTGACGGTATCTTCTCGAACCCCATGACGTTATTCTCTGAACCTGGTGCATTCGACCTTTCACAGGCATACCCCGCCTACGAATCAAATTTGTTGTCAATCTAGACCGTCCGATACAGTATACCTCTCTTGCGTCATCATAATTTGTTTTTGTTTCTCTATAAATGTATCCATAATCTATTTATCGTCCACGACCTAGTACATACTATACCACCCACCAGTGATTGTTTTTGGGCCTTTCAGACTTCTCGTGCAGGTCACTTTTGTGTCCTTTCCCCATTTACGACACGGTGCCTCCTGTGTGCCATTTTCTTGTATTACATATCACATATATTGTTTTGATCACGAATTACTTGTACTTCGCTCGAGCTCGGTGATACATCGATCCTGCTGATTCCTGCAGATCTATGCATGGAGCTTACGCGTAGTCTTTCTTGTATTATCGAGATTCCGTTACCTATGTCAGCGCAATTGACCATGCCTACACCTCAGAACTCAATATTGACTTCATCAAGTGTTTGCGCCGCGGTTCACGAGCTCATTTGATGGCGGCGCCCTGAGGTCAAGCTGACTAATTGCATAAACCCCAATCACATACGTCACTGACATACGGAACTTCCTTGATTACGAACGTCAACCGAGAACTTCTTAGTCTTAGTACAACAAACATTCTAACATGTTCTCTGGATTCAAAAAGTCACTGGTGAGCCGAGAATCACCAGAATCCACCCAACGTGAGCTAAACATCAAATACAGCCCCAAATCTCCATCTTGTGTGCATCTGAATCTATCTTCATCTTATAAGGAGCTGAATCTTTCCTCTATACAGTCACCACCCGTCATCGCCACCATCAATTCAGGCCCTTGCACTACTGCGGAATGCCCTCTCCTCACCCTATCCCCCTGGAAAGCAATCAGCGCGCCCACTTGAGTTTGATCTAGAAGTCGTTGAAACGAAACCCCCGACCGCCGATCAATTGAAGACTATTCTTACGTATATCACACCGTCGAGATCTGCTGCACCCCTTGGGCCGTCTGCCTTTTTATCTGCGCATCCGGCAACGCCTGGCCTTGGAGAACAGCCACAGAGCGCGAAAAGTATCGTGAATCTTGCGGAACAAAACCCGAATGTGTTCAAATGGCCGGTTGTCGTGGACTGGATTGGTGGCCGTGCTAGTGTAGGGGACGTTCGAGGGCGTGAAAGGAATTTTGGAGGCCATCAGGCAACAGCGAGATGGGGAGGTGAAACAAGATGAGGTCGATCAGCCCAAAGGCTGGTTCTCATAATCGTTAAGACAAGAATCTGAGGTATACAATATGTTAATTCCGCGATGGCTATGATATTACAGAACCTGTAACTGCATGACGAAAGGAACAGCGTGTTTGTTTGACATACATTCTGACCTGTCCATATAGTAAAAAGTTAGCGACATGTATATAGAATGATTATTACGAAGAAAGAAATGATCCGCAGGAGAAATTACTGATCAAGCTCCAGCATGCCATCATCGCTCCCCGCATCCTCCGCCCAACTATGGCGTCCCTTGGTTCCCTGAATCACGATGATGAACTAAGTGGGTGCCGCTGACGGGCTGGTGCGTGCCGCCTCTGTAGTACTACTTGCAAATGACTGGCCGGGCGGAGTGGTTTGTGCAACTTCGGTGCCAGTGCTAGTCGCTGTCGTAGGAATTGAGGTTGTCTCACCAGACGAGAACGTAGAAGTGCTCGAGGTTGGGCCATTCTTTGCAGGGGCGTTGTTATTTGAGCTGATTTTCCCGACAGTCCCACCGACGGCGCCACCGACTATAGCACCGATAATGACGATGGCAATAACGAAGATGGTGATTTTGCCATTACGAGTCCGCCAAAAGGATTGGGCAGGACGCGAGGCATGTGCAGGTTCAGGAACAATCTTTTCCTGTGTCAACGAGCTGCTTTCAACGTCTGTATCGCTAGGAATTGGTTGTGGAAGAGTGAGTGGTTGAGTGGATGTGGGGCGTGTGGGACGGTCATCGAGTAAATCGACGTTGTAACCTTCCTAGAAAACGGAGACCCATTTGTTATTAGTGACAAAGCGGGACGGGCGGGCAAACAGGTACTGCACACCTGCCTCTGTGCCCTCGTGGCTGCGGGAGCTTCATGAAGTAGGTTCTGGTCGTATGCCCCGTTTAGAGAGGACATGATGCTTCTCGAAGATGTTGGCGATAGCTAGAGGTCGCATAGGCGGTAGGCGCCAGCTGCCGTTCGCATGCAATTGCTTGCTGGACAGCCTCGTTCCTGTGTGCCTGTCTGACAAGCAGCCACAAGTCGGATCTTGCCTTGAGCCAAGTGAAAGAGATACTACATGTAGATAAAATGTAAGGCGAGCGCTGGGCGTTCAACGTTCAACTCGAGTCTTGGCAGACGAACAACGCAGATGAGTCGTGGTAATGCAACTACAGTAAGCCTGCTCGGTATCCTTCTAGAGCCTCATGCATGCACATGACTTGCAGTCCCATTGTCATCGGATTTGCCAAGAACTAATTTCAAAACTGTTGGGACTCTGTCCTTACGGTGCATCGCCTCAATGAGGTGGCATGGTTGTCCTTGCGTTGACCTGATTGAACGTTAATGTACGATAGGCATGGGCATATAATCAGATAACCGGGCAAGAATCAGGCAGAACATCTTAAGCTTGTCAATCGAGTTAGTACATCATATTCATTCAAGGATATATGATGCCTGAAGCGGGCCGCATGTCTAACAAGGTTTGCACCCAGACAAAGTGGAGGACCGTCACGATGCTATATGTAGTTAATGCCCAGTTCCTTCCTAGGCAGCATTGTACGAAATGATTCCGTTCTGCTATGCGAATTGTTGAATTGTTCCATGGTCCTCGTATCTGTAATGACACGATAGTGCAATCTTGGACCTACGAATTGACATGAGCAGGCAGGGTTGTGCAAACGGTATCTGAGAAAATATCGCTCTAGCAGGTTAGGAATTTCTGAATGGAAAATAATAGAACCACCGGTCTTCTTGACGAAAGCATGCATCTGTTATGGATCATGTGGGCGCCGAAGAGATCGACACTGCGAAATGAAGAAAGTCTCCGGCCTTCGCGCATATAAGGTTTGACGAGTACCTCCAAAGTCGTTTAACAATCACTACGGGAGTGAGAAACCAATCAGGTGGGACAGCACAGGGACTGCAGGGTGGTAGTGGTGGAAATGACACTAATCAGGTTGGTCTGTGTATGCTCAGATTCCTAAACGGCATCTAGAAGGGAAGTGCTGGCCCGGGAGGAGCGCACCGACAAAAGTCCTCTTCCGTTTCCAACATGCAGTCAATAACAATTCACCGGGGTTTTAGATTCTGACTGATGTATTAGGACAGACCTGTGATTTCCTTGAGATTCTGCCACTTCCAGGACTTAATAATTGCCCACATGCTACCGGCTCGAGCTTCACTATGAATAAACACTTCGAGGACTGGCAGAGCCTTTCGAAATCCCGCGATCTTGGAGAATATGACTCGGTGCCGCTGATGCATAACACGTTCTGTGGCGCTAACCGGCATACCGGAAGTCCCATTAATTCGCTGAATTGGCAGACTTTCCAGTAACGACGAGTTGCCCGGTTACTAACGGGCCACAGTAGATGAATCTCCGTAGAAGGGGGAAGTGAAAGTTTGGTCACCGTTGAATGCGAATCGTTATCGTTCAGCCTCGAGTGGTAGTGCGCTAGTAGCCTTCCTAGTTGACAGAGTTTAGAAGCCATGCATCGGTGATAAAGCGTATCCGAACATTTCCATAAATCGACTGGGGGTGTCGCAGGTCATCATTTGGGTGGCCTAGAGTAATACTCACTGATGTATATCTTTGAGAAAAAAACATACGGTCATCACTGTCGACGACCATGTTTGATTTTCTCTTCAAGTTGGATATTAATGTCGCGGTTGCGGAGCCGAGGTGACACGGGTCCTAACACTCGGCACCGCCAAGTTCGGTTGTTGATCGCTTACGCCTCACGTGGCTTCGCGGTTTGAATAGCACAGTTTGCGTTTTAGCGCAGGAGAGATCACCGAGGCTATACGCGCTGTCCATCACGACAAGCGTTCATCGCTCTCGCGCCGCTCAGAAACGCGCAATATGTGAGCTTTCATTCTTTAATTTATCGTTAAACTTCAAGTCCCTAACCATGGTTTACTTTTACGACCATCCAGCTCATTCGGTTCCTTCGTTGAGATCCAAGCGTTAGATTAACACCATGCCCTCGTTCTTGAACAAGGTCTTTGCCCGAAAGACAAACGACGACAAGAGTCAAGTAAAGCCTTTTCAGGACTCTAACGACAATAGAACTCTACTGGACGGAAAATACGAGGCTGTTTCTCCACTGAACTATACCGGTCCCAATATTAGTACTTTGTCAAAGACTCAGACGGGTAAAGATCATGCAGGATTCTCGTTGTTTAGGCCTAAATCTCGTTTTACCCCTCCTCACACTTCGCACAAACGCACGGAGAACCTTCCCCAATTATCACTCCAACTTCCGAGTCTGAAAGACGATGCAGAATCTCTCGAACTTGGCGTTTTCGAAGTTGATCTAGAGCCTCAAAGGATTCTTGATGACTCGGTCATCGGTGCAAAGCTCCTAAGTCCTTTAGAAGCTCTCATACTTGTTCGAGCCTGTGCCCAGAGTATCACTGAGCGAGGTAACTTTTCCAAAATTAATTAACATACAACCGTCTAACGTCCATAATCATCTCAGGCTTGGAAACCCTCGGAATCATGCACCCTCATTGGCACTCCGCATCGCCCGATATTCAACGAAAGCTCATCTCGCTCTTTATTCATTCATTGGCTCCCAAAAGCCGCATGTCTCCGACGCCTGCTGCTGCTGCATCTGCCTTTGATGCCGAGCTTGAGTACACCCGCTCTCCTCACGACGTTGCAGCTGTCCTCCGTTGGGGCCTTCGCCACCTTGTGCTTGAGAATAACTCTTTCGGCAAGGATGTCTCTGCACCTGAATGGGCGTGGTACAAGTCCTTTTTCGATGCTGAAAAAGGGGCGTCGTACCCACCCAAGAGTTTCACCGAGTTGCTTCTCCCTAAGCTTCCTCCAGTGCACATCGAGTTGCTCCTTGCAACTATTGACATCATATCCGCATTAGCTTCGCATGCTGAAGCGAACAGCATCTCTGGTAGCAAACTTTCCAAGGTTTTGGGTTTATGGTTGCTTACCGCGACGAGGACTGAGCAAACCGACAACTGGACCACCTTTTATGCTCGATGGGAACGCGCTGGTAGGATTTTGGAGCATCTATTCCTTGCACGAATCAGGTATGTACGCCGCATGAACCTGAGGGCGTGTCTGACCATGGCATAGGGAGGAGAGCTTCAAATCTCGACTACCTACCCGACTTCAGGAACTTGTCAAGCACTATCCATATTCGAGGGGCTCACACGGCGTTGAAGAGGATCTTCTTCCCCATCCTCGCTTCTCTACGCGGAGCTCCAGTGTCTTATTCGTGCGCATAGAGGTCCTTCTGTCACAGTCTGCACCACAGCCTAAGCCATCGCCCGTTCGCTTGCTCTTAGATGCATTCAACTTATCTTCTGAAGGTGAAACCTCTGAGCACGTTGAGTTGTGGAACGCACTCAAGACTGCCGCCGCGGAAGTTACCTCTACATCCTCTGGTACTCAAGATGGCCCACAGTTCGGTCGGGTATTTGTGGATGAGACGATCCACCTCCTCGCGTCCACATCTCGTAACGCCTCTTCTCCAACCATGTCCCCGACAATTGAAGTTGCATCGCCCGTGCCCAGACGCTCTTCGCCCTTTGGCAAGATTCTCGATCGTAGTAAGGACAAAGCTGCCCACGAAAACGGTAACGGTAACGGGAACAGCGCAACGTCCCCCATCTCGTCTGTTTCCTCGCCAATCATAAGCGATTGGGCACAGTTCTCCACTAGCGGCTTCGGTGAAACGACTGCAGTCACACCCCTCGCTGCAACTCTCCTCGATACAGACAAGGATGTTGAGATTACGGAACCGCTCTTGTCCTTTAAGTCGGGAAAGAAATGGGGAAGGTCACGCTCGAGACAGCGCTCTGCTGACTCCCCATGCGAGACGAGCGCCAAAGAGCCCGCGGTACTCAGCACCAAGCTTGCTAGTGTCCACATGACGCAAGTCGACGAGGCCTTCATTGATTTCTGGTCCGACGCCATCACAGACCCAATCACAGCGAACTGGCCCTCATTTGTCATCTGTGGGCTGAAGCCGCTGCCTGCGAAAGAAGCTGTCAGTTGGCTCATCGTCGAGCAGGTATATGTACGCCAGCAGCCCCCGCAGCCCTCCCCTGCATCACCCGAGCGCCGTGGTCGCACGTCGCCCCGCCCTTCGCTCCGCTCAGAAATTTCTGGCACGTTTGCTGCTACGAGAAAGCGATTCAGCTTTTTAGGTGGGGGCAATAAGACGGCTTTGACGGGCAAGCAGGGTATAATGAGACAGTCGTCAAAGGTTGGCGAGCTTGGTGAGATGGTGTCTCCTGAGGAGGAGAGATCTACGACGCCGACGGCTGTGACGAGTATGAGCAAGGGACTCGATATCGCTGCCACTGCCACAGTTTGTGCAGTCGCCGCAGAGGCTGTTCAATCGCCTGCACCCGCAGAATCTATCTTGCAGCCTCAGCAGGATGAACAAGCAGTGGTCGAAGAAGCTAACAATGTTCTCGACGAGGAAACCCCTGGGACTGGCGAGTCCGTCGCGCCCGCAACCATCCCTGATGAATCTGTTCCAGAGTCTGAGGGTACACTTGTCGAGGAATCTGTGTTGCAGCCCGAGCCTACAGACAGCGAGCCTACAGATAGCGAGACTCCCGTTGTTGGAACTCCTGAATACGCTTCGGTTGCTGAAACCGCTGAGGCCCACGTTCCGGAAGAACCTTCTGTTGAATCCACTGAGACAGTTGAGCCCGCACCATCTGCCGCCGAGTCAAAGCCCGTCGAACATACCAATGGTGCAGCATCTGTGGAACCGCCATCGTCTGCCGATGAGCAGGACAATGTGGACGTCCCGGAGGAGCATCTATCAAATTAAGGACATTGCCGAAGAACCTGGATGATTACTTTCTTGATTTCTTCTTGGTTTATTTATTTATCATTTCATGTTTGATAATTGGTCGCGAAACCTCTTACTGTCTTTTGTCATTTACTGGACCCTAACTAATCTACATTCACTGTCGTATGCAGGATTCCAGATATCGCACTGTCTCACTTCATTCATACAACTGTCATTTGGATCGTCATTCGCCCGCACGTGGCCGCACCGTTTTTCCTTGATATCCCATATGCCCTTCCTCGGATAATTTCTCGACCTTGGTGCTTTCAATGTTCCAGTATTCCTGCGCGTAGTCTTGGATCGCACGATCAGAGCTGAACTTGCCCATCTGTTTCAAATTGGATTATTCGTCGTTCACCCCGTTTCTTCTTGAAATTATACCTTTGCAGTGGTCCTGATACTCTTCTTAATCCACTCCGTTCGATCATTATAGGCTTCGTCTACCATGCGGAGAGCCTCGATGTCTGAAAAAGGTTCATGAGGGCCGCTATCGCCCGCCCAGTAAGTTACTCACAGGAGTCGAAATCTTCAGTGATAAGATAATAGTCTCCCTGACGAATCGTGTTGAGCAGGCTGTTCAAATAAATAAGTAAACTTCATAATACGCTTGCCGCGACATTACTTACGGCTCGTACACGCCTCTGTCACCAAACAACCCAGAGGAGATCTCGTTAAGAACTTGTGCAAGAGCAGGGGACTTCTGCTCGACAGGAACGGGGTGGTACACATGTTTATAACGAAGGTCTTCCACTGCGGGTGTCAGATGACCGAAGAAGACTACGACAAGAGAACAGTAAGTCTGTAACACCGGTAGTAAATGCGAAACTACGTACAAACATTGCTAGGGCCAACTTCCTCTGCGATCTCAATGTTCGCACCATCTACCCGAACAGTCAGATATTTATGAAACCGGATAATAGCATAGTACATACCAACAGTGCCCAGTAAAAGCCCGCCATTCAAGCAGAACTTCATGTTGGACGTGCCAGAAGCCTCTGTGCCTGCGGTGGAGATGTGCTGACTGATATCCGAAGATGGAATAAGGACTTCTGCTAAGGTGACTGAGTAGTCTGGTAAGAAGAAGACATTCAAGTAGTCCTTTGTGTCAGGATCAGAATTGACCACGCGAGCGACGTTGACGATCAAGCGAATGGTCTAGACTCAGCTCGTCAGTATCATAAGATTGTGCGTCTCGCTCGTCGAACGAACCAGCTTGGCAATATAATCTAAACGCCGATCAGCTCGATGGAATTGTCGACGCACATAAACACTTACACCCTGGCGCGGCTTTGCCTGCGAAGAAGACATTCCGCGGAGTCACTTTCTTCCTCTCCTCAAGAGTCATAGATTTCAACTTAAGGTAGCGCTAGAAAAAGTTGAGCGTAAATCAACGATTGTGCCATTGATCAAGCTCACATGAATGACACCAAGAATATTAAGAGTTTGACGCTAACAAGATCGATAGATCGAATTTCGAGAGGATATGTATTGGAGTTACGTACCTTATACTCGTGCAACCGCTGAAACAATGATCAGTCCCCTAAGTTCCGCAATATAATATATCTGACTAACCTTGATCTGGATATCGAACATGGCTTTAGTGTTAACGTTGAGACCTAAATTAACCTGCACGTAATGAGCAAGCCTCTCTTTGTTAGCTTGCTTTACAGCTGCCCATTCTTCCCTGAAGTCCTCGTCCTCGATATAATCAAGAAGACCCTCAAGTTTGGTGAGGTCCTTGAGCCACACGCTCTTCTCTATGTCAAGGGTCATAGTAATAAGCCTGCTGAGTCCGGGATTGCACTAGTATGTGTAACTTAGCATCGATGTCATACCTATTTCAAAATAGCCACACACCTGATCCAGCCATCGACGTGGGGTGACTTAACAAGATAATGAGAAGCAGATAAGCACCGAAGATATGGTACTCACTACCGTTAGTCACGTTTCCAAACCTTGCGCGCAAAAGTCAGCATGTGCTAATTCAGCTCAGAAATCAAACGTACTTGCTAACTCCGTAGAAATCTACAAAATCCTTCAAAATAGTCGTCTGAACCAGCTCGCTGTGCAACTAGACGGGTAATGATGCTACATATTTAGACGAATGGTGAATACTTGGCAAAAACTTACCTCAGCCACGCCGTTGACTTTGCGACTGCCTGTAACCACGCACATTACTAAGTAAGAACATGAAATGAATTCTGCGAAGCTCACCGATGCATGCCAAATGAGCCATGCGAACGTTCTGAGGAACACTCTCTAAAGGACCCTTTAGATCGTGATTCATCGGTTGCAACATCACAATACCTTCGATTAATGACATTCGCGCAAGTCGCTCCCTATCCCCAGGGAACTTCCGTTCAACAGCTGCCGAAAAGATCAGTCGGGCGCTTCATATGGAATTAAGTCTGTCTTTCTTACTCTGTAAGAACGATCTGCGGTCCAATATTTAAGTCAGTGTACAAGACAACATCTTCCACTGCTTACAAATTCTGAAAGCCAACGTGTTCAGTAAAGAGGTTCAGTGATATCATACAAGACTCACAATATCAAAGATGATCTGCATATGCCTATATAAGAGTACTTTAACGCCAGCATATCGATGCAACAGATGACACTCACCTGGGCAAGAGATATTGCATAAGCGGTACAGGCCACGTCTCAAGCGCTTCCTATCACCAATATCTTGCGTCAACATCCGTATCACGAGAACTGGCATCGTCTCGACTTACCGGGAGGACAGTATGATTGGTGAAGAAGAAAGTTTCTGTGACAATGTCCCAGGCAGCATTCCATGGAACATCTTCTTCATCAACGAGGAGTCGCATGAGCTCCGGAACGGCGAGTGTCGGGTGCGTCTTCAGTAAAGTAAAGTTAGCCCTTGGTAAGTGCACACGCATATATGGGTCTTACGTCGTTTAACTGGATCGAGACATCTAGTAGGAAAATGAGCATGTATAACTAAGAATCAACTAGCTTCGCGTACATTGAGGGAAGTCTGTAATGGGCCGTCCTATATTCTTGAACCGGCGCACGATATCCGCGAGACTGGCTGCAGTCCAGAAGTACTGCTGCTTCAAGCGAAGTTCCTTTCCAACTTGAAACGGACCTCTTTAAGTATAACATATTTTTCAAATTGTTGGGGATACTCACAAGTGGTATGGTCGTTGGGGTACAAGACGGATGTAATCGCTGCTGCGCTATTTGAAGACTCGACAGCACGTTCATAATCCCCCGCTAGAATCAAAATCCATCAGCCGAGTAAAAGACGTAACGATGTGGGTGTAGATATACCATTGAAACTGTTTAGATCAAAGCCCCTCTTCGGCTTACTCTCCCACAGACGGAGATTATTAGTGTTGCGCGTGTTACAACCAGGGATGGGTACGTCATAAGCGACCGCGAGAACCTCCTGACCACCCTCCCAAATGGCGCGGCCGCTTCCATCGCGCAAGCGCTCTGCAGAGCCGTGGAACCGCACCTCGTAGCTAACATCAACACGAGGAAGCTCCCATGGGTTAGCATTGTCGAGCCAGGGATCCGGCGCTTCCAGCTGCTGTCCCTCGGGAGAGATGAGCTGCTGGAAAATGCCATACCTGTAGCGCAGGCCGTAACCCCACACAGGAAGCTCCTGAGATGCGGAAGAGTCGAGGTAGCATGCAGCAAGACGCCCGAGGCCACCGTTTCCAAGTCCAGCGTCACGCTCCTGCGCTAGAAGATCTTCCATGTTGAAGCCGAGCTTATCGACCCCATCCGTATATTGCTGTTTGAGGCCCAGATTGAGGAGGGCATTGTCAAGCGCACGGCCCATGAGAAATTCGAGAGATAAGTAGTACGCCCGCTTTCCTGCTGTGCGAGAGTAGTGAAGTTGTGTTTCGTTCCAATTGATCTGTGCATCGACGATGAGTTAGATGAGTGGAATGATACGAGATAACGGGGCATACGATCAGATTATCACGGACAGATAGAGCTGCAGCCTGGTAAGCTCCAAAATTGTCGATCTCGTGTGGTTGGCGAGCCAGAGAGGTTTGGACATGGTTGACGATCGACTTCGTAATGGATGACACGCCTGCAATGGGTGGTTGAGCGATACACGAATCAGTTCATCTGATGAACTACCTGTGTCAAGACCTCTCAATCCATCCTTCCAGGCTTTCTCTTCGCCTCTAGGCCACTTTTCTTTGCCTTCGGAGTCCTTTTCTGGCAGATATCCTGTTTAAAATACATTATATATCTCATCGAGGAAACATATGACAATTTGGGCATACCGGTAAGGGTCCTAACATGTCTGCGGCGGCGTGGAACCTTTCCAATGGCAGTAGTATCAAGCACAGACGTCATGTCTAGTCCCAACGATACTGATTATCGTAGTTGATAGGAAAGAGACAAGCGCCTTGAGTGGAGCACGGACTCCAGAATAGAAGGAGGTCATATCAAATCGACTATGGTGGAAAAGAGGGGCATTAACTCTACTAATCTGGATCACCTGAATGAAAAAAAAACATTTTCACCTCACACAGAACTGACCATTTGCCAGTGAAATTACCTTCGAAAGGTATCTTAGAGTGCTCTGGAGCGCTGTAGGCTAGGTCTGGAATGCTCTAGCCAGGTTTTGATTGAAGAGGTGAAACCCCCGATGTGTCACACGCAAAAATGATTGTCTATCCCACACGCCATGCCATAATGGGTGACTATCCGTAGGCCAAAATATTACGGAATAGGATAGAATAGAATATAAATTACCATAGAAGGAAGTCGTGCCGCGATGCCGCTGTCCATTTCCGTTTAATTTGCAAAAGATTATATTTTTGACCCTCATATAAACTCTAAATCTGTAAGTGGGGGCCCCCCCCTTACAGATTAATCCGAGTGGATTATATCCGTTTGGGCTACAACACCATTGCTATCCGCTGACAAATCGATGACTAATCTATAACTGAGGTTTCCGCGTTGCTCATCTGCACCATAGCGATAGTAGCTGCCTCGCAAGATCCAGGACAACTGCGATCTAATCTGCAAGCTATTGTACATTAGAGTTCTCACTGACATAATTCACATTATTTTATTCTACATGCGTTACGGTTTTGTTTTCTATACAGATTATCTTTTGCAATTTTTTTTCGAAGTCCGTTATAATCTATTCCCAATAGCCGCTCCTTCATCAGCGTATAATAATTTGTGGGAAGTTGGACAGCTGGTACAGTCGAGAGGAAACTGGTCACACATCGATAATATGTAGTGCCAGCAGAACTATTATAAGGCAAAACCATCTGCACTGTAACGCCAATATATCTGGTGACAGTTCGATGAACTTCAATCTTTGCCATTCAGACAAAGAACAAGCACAGGCAAAAACAATCTCAAGGGAACAGCGCGAGTACGCGACAACGAGAACTACTTGAATAATTATAGTTAATGTGGTTATGCATCACCCTGCCATGAACAAGTGTATATCTATCGAAGAACTCAGAACGGTCTCAAGTGGAGGTTTAAAAGCGTATCTAGTGGTGGATTTTGGCTGGCATTTCCCTTTTGCACACCTCCTGTGCTGGCATAAATTATATTTGATGGCGCATCCACGCAACAGTAATTCCAGAGAACAATATAAAAGCCAGTCTTCCTAACTTCCACTTCAGAATTAACCCAACCCACACACGAGTCACAAATAATGCGTTTCTCCTCTGTAATTGTCCTCCCCATCATTGCTGCTTTAATATCATCGATCTCGGCCATGCCCACCACTAATGACGTCGAACAGTGTTCTAAGGCTTGCATTAAAGACTCGCAATGCCAAAGGGAGAGCTGCTTTTGGAAGCGTTGTGTGAGTATCAACATGTTCCTGGACCTGATGATATGACTCACCTGAATGACAGTCTGGCTTTTTTTACTGTACAGTGAGTCGTATTTTTTGCTTGCACGTCAGTGGAATATGGCCGTTGACACTGACGCGCGAGTGACTAGTGATTTGTAGAGTCGCGTCAGAAAAAAAATCGGTCCACTTATAGCTCTTTGTTTATCGGTTTAGTGATATTTTCGTGAAATATAGGAAATGGTAGCAGACCTGGGTCACATTGTTATGTATGAAAAAGTCATTTCATATGAAATTTAGCGTACCCCAAAGTGTGTCCTCTGGCGGATAATATAAGCTCAAACAGTCGCTTGAAGATATCTAGCTCTCTTGCTGCCCAATGAACCACGATATAACGACCACGCATTCACTGACAACTAATGCCAGCATGGCCGTTATCGTAGACTTGAACACGTTGACATCAGCGCGATCGAGAAGTAAATTTCTCCGCTCTTGACATCCCAATTATCGTAGCACGACGGTTAGCATAGGAAACTTGAAAACTGTTTTAAAAACACCATACCCTTTCAAACTGAGCGCCAGCAGAGTGCTTCAAGGTGTTCTTGCCTTTGCCTGTTGCGACGACAGAACCAGAAGTACCCTTGTCGAAACCGAAATCGGCCTTCCACAGTTCCGAGTCTTCGATCAGTGTGAGCAGTTGATCTGTGAGGTGGTGATTTTCTGGTTTTGACCAACTAAAGCACATGAGCAAAGAGCATGAGCATGACAATGTACTTACGGAATCATAACGCGAGGCCTCTTCACATTGCCCGTCTCATCTGCATCAGTAATATTTTCTTTGTCCGAAATTCGAATTGAAGTCAGGTGCAGCTAGCACAGGAGTGACCTTCTTCTTGCGAAACTTCGGAACGATAGATTTAACAGGTGTTTGCGATGTCGGTCGTTTATATTTCGTCATGGTTCAGGATAAGCTATATTGATCTATAGGCAGCAAAGGAGGATCTAGTCGCGTCGTACAGACCGTGGCGTGTAAGTCACGTTGTGCGTGTTTCAGAGTCCGACTCACCTTGCTGAATGTTGCCGCTTGACCAGCCGAAATCCATCCTAAATCCACCAAAGCTGATCTCGTTTTCGAAAAACGAAATCCACATCCAAATCCACGTCCAAATTGGCCTCGAAATCCAGCTTTGAAGTCCCCTAATGTCCCATCTTCGCATCCACTCACCACTCGCCCTCCATCTGAACTCCAGGGAATGCTCTAGCCAGGTCTGCTTTGATTGAAATCTTGCAGTAAGGTAAGATGTCGAAACCCCCAATGTCACACGCAGGCGGTTTGGCCCGGACCTCGCCCATATGGCATAGTGATTGTTGTAACAGCTCAATATCTGTTGATATTCTGCTATTAAGTGAGTAGTTATCTGTCCGCACGCCTTAATAGCTGCTCTTTGTCTCAATAGTTCCTATTGCTCTTCGACTTCCCATATTTTTTCCCATATTTTTGTCGTCACATCCCAGGACCCAGGATCCACTCGAGGACTATCCGTAGCAGACAGACAGCATAATTTGTGCGCTTCATGACCTTCGATGTCCCACAATCTCACTACACAATCAACCCAAACTCCCGCTTGCTAACGCCTTGCCCGACAGTTCTATGTTAGCCACTTCCTTCGTCCTTCCAGGCCTCCCCGAATTCTCTAAGTCCCAACTTGAAATTGGAAGTGAGTCAACCCATCGGAACAGGTAATAACCAGCCTGTCCACTGGATAGGCGCATGACCGATTGATGTTATTCTTCGATCTTTTGGTGAGGCACTCTTTGCTTCGCAGGGACGACATTGATTTTACCCTCAAGAACTTCACCTATCGGACGCGGAGGATATCCAGGCTATTCTCTTCAAAGCCGTACGAATATTATCGCTTACCTCACATCCTCGTTTTCTCTCCGACCTTCATTCTTGGCGTCCTGCATGAGTACGTCGCCCCATGGTCAAATTGCAATTTGCTATTCTGGTCACACCTTCCTACTCCGCTCACAGTACCTAACACCAAGCTCATGAGAAGACCCTCATCCGTCATGATCATTATCGGCGGATCCTTGCTACGACACATGCACCTTCATTGTATCATTATTTCGTATCTGTAGAGTTTGTCTTGAATTCACAACTGCAAAACAACGATATCAACAAGGTCAGCCCTATGCTGGCACGGACAGAGATGGGACATCTGCGAACATAATCTAGCATTGTGGGGATGGTATTGATGGGTAAGTGTACATACCATACCTTCGTGTATTACTGGTCGCCTTATACACTCCGCAGCATGGGGTGAGCATCAACCATCGAACTATTGGAATGGTGTAGTGTCTTTTGTTCATCGGTGACTCGCCGCCATCCTTTAGAGAATCATTTCCCTCGTGTTCTGGCTTGTGCTTGCTTTTAGAGACCATGATAAGACTCTCACCTACGATCTCCTGCGAACCATTTAATCTAAAGTAATACACATTTCCAGGGAGTGTTCAAGTAATCTTGTTCTACTGGTATCACCGATACGCAAAGCTAAATGCACGGTGTAAGTAGTATTTCACGGAGATTTACTGTTTGAATCATGACTTAAGCGTATTCTTTGTCTTTGGCACCTTGACGCACGAGTTCATTCATATTCAAGATAGCCAATACCCGAAGTTCGAACTTTGCATACATGCATGACTGGTGGATATTGGTACCATACGCTATTACACACGAGGAACTATGTGATGACGGAAGAGTGAGTCATGAAGAATAAGCTATGGATGAAACAGCAAAAACACGAACGAAACACATAAGCCAAAATGTCACTCGACTAATGGTGACCGTCTGCGTTCTGGACAGATGCGCAGCAAATACAGCCCACGAAACGAGCACACCATCCAACACCTGTGGTATGAGGACGTGAGGGTATTCCTGATGCCTCAGCAGTACCAGTAACTGCTGAAAGCGTCGAGGTAGTGGCAGTTGAAGGTAGTTGTGATGATGCGCTAGGTTTTGCAGTGGCATGGACTTTAGGAGAACTACGAGCTGGCTTCTTTCTAGCATGATAGTTTCTCTGCAAGAAAGCGAGTCAGCACTAAAGAAGAACCGTGAAGGAGAAAAAACGCACAGGCTTGCCCGCTGTGTAAGGGACCTCGACCTCTTGCAACTCAATGTCAGACGCATCTCGTCTGCGTAGTATACCAAGGTTTCGAGTCCGGCTAAGAGGGTGGGACTGAGGTCGCGCATGATGGTCAGTTTCCCTGTGCGAATTTGAGTTACGCCATAAGGAGGAAAAGCGATTGAAGGTGCGTTGATGTGGTGTTGGAGTGGGGTGATGATATGGTCCATGGGATTGGGATAGACGAATGCGCTCCTGAGAACATATCAAGTCAAAGCATTGAATAAATAGATGGAGATCACATACATTAGCCTTTCGTAGGTCATCGTCAAAGAACCCTGGGGGGATTCGAGGAGTACCTTTCAACTTTGGAGCTGGTCGCGGTGTAGCATCAAGCTGAGGGAGCCATTGTCAGCGTCATTTAAAATGAAATGTATCTAAGCTCACAATATCTAATGGAAGGCCAGCCTCTTTTACAATGGCGGAAACATCCCATTGGTATAGGTAGCCGTCGTAGCAGCTAGTGACAAGGAACTTTCGATCTGCAGAAAAGATAGGCTGAGCACGGTACACGAGGTCTTCAGTGTGATATAGTGTTTTGATAAGTTGATTGGTTTCGAGGTTCCATAAATATGCTGTCTTGCCCAGTACCAGTCGTGTACCTGCGAGGATGCGCTCATTGGGAGACAGTGAAATGACATGCACTGTCTTTGGCGCCTCAATGACAGTTTGTGACCAGGTGGCTGTGTCGAATTTCATGAGGGGGAATCCGCCGGTGATAAGTGTTTTTCCATTTGAGGTCCATGCCAGGCACAAAAAAATTACCCTGGAGTGTTTTGAGCAGTTCGCCTGAGCTGGCATCCCAGATTTTCAGCCCATCTCCCGTTGCGGCAATTATCTTTCCATCGGGTGAGTAACAAACCGCCCGAATAAATTCCGTTGCCTTGATTGGTCCCAGGATAGTCTCTCCGCTCTTGACATCCCACACTCTCAATATCCCATCATCGGATCCACTCACCACTCGCCCTCCATCTGAACTCCAGCACACAGAACGCACTTCCTTTGTGTGTCCCGTCAACGTTTTGATGACCTTGCCTGTCTTAATGTCCCACAATTTCACTACGCCATTTTGATGCCCAGTTGCTATTGTCTTGCTGCTCGGCGACAATGCCATGTCCGCCACTCCTGGATCTTTGTCCTCCCATTCCTCTGTCTGCGTGCCCGTCTCCAAGTCCAAGACTCGAAATGTCCCATCCCATGAATAGCAGATGACCCGCTGTCCACTGGGCAGGTGTAGGATGTACGTGATGGGATGTACTTTGATCTTTCGGTAAGGCATTGTCGCTGAATTCTCGTCCTTCGCAGGAGGTCGATGCAATATGATTTTGGTTTCGGGATTCACTTCATGGGTGCGTCATGCTTTCAGCTCTTACCATACGAATCTATCACTTACTCGGAATCTAGATGTCCTTGACTTGTGCACAGAAAGACAAATGCGACACGAAAGCTGCGATGGAGTGGCCGTTTCGTTCGATGGAGATTCAAGTCAGGAGTTGAGTCGTCGTTAAAGTCTCTACTGGCGTGTCTTCCTTGTTTTATCTTGTGTTCGCTCACAGCATCAGCACTAGCTGTGCAGATTAAACGCTCAACGCTATTCGGACCCAATACACGCTTCCTTCATCTACATTGCCTTGACATCGCGACCATACTATCCCGCAAGCCTGCATTTTTGTTTCTCCGGCAGTCCAATGTGTATGATTACGCATCTGCTGTCGCGCCACATTTCTGTTGAAGTCCAACTGGACACATCACGTTCTTATTCCCACCTTTGTTCTCAACATCTCACCTGGGTTTTCATTTTCGTTGCCATACTATTACTAGGCAATCATTCCCAATCTGACTATCCTGGTCGCAATTTCCTACTCTTTGTCCCATCAGTCATTTCCCTTCTTTTCTTTCCCAGATCTACATCTATGTACTTCTACACACTCGTATTTGTGCAATGTGAATTTGCAGCTACGTTTGGGTCATGAATGCAACATCTCCAAAGCCTATTAGCGAATAATCATTCAGTACGCTTCGTCAGAGTGGGTGGCATAGCACTACTCATAAGGGTATGCGCTTACCACTTTACTGCCTCACGGTCTATAATAATTCAAACATCATCGTGAGCAAGTGGTTGGGTTCAAGATGATCTCGGGAAAAGGAACGTTACACCAGGTGATGATCAAGGGGCAGGGCCACGCAAGGAAGCTGACGCGATCTCTTCCGTGATGCGTAGCTCAGCAGAATAGATCGAGCTAGTCGGTCCACGTTGAGTGACCTCGTCATCGTAGGACTAACACGAACCAGTCAATACAAGCGATAGTGGGCTGGCGTTGGTCCGTAGTCAGTCATGACCCGTAAAATAATTCATCATGGGTCCTAGCAAACGCAGTCCTTCGCAAGAGATACCGATTGACAGCACCACAGAATTCTTCCGCGTAATTCTTCTATTCGTGCACTGCGAAGCGGGAAAGAAAATTAGCCTGTGTTCTTACGGATTGTGATCATTGATTGGGGGATAGTACATGTCAAAAACGAACAACAGCGAAAATAATCGAAGCCGTAGCAGGCATAAGAAGAGTCTACAAATGTAATTGACTCACTCACTCGTTGGAGGGCAGGTGACGTCGAAGCTTGATGTATGATGATCGTTGATGCTGATGATCTTCGAATCTGACTTGCTGTCGCAATTTTACAGGTTGTTCCACGCGCCGAAGAACAGAACAAGATTGTGATTGTGCTCGATGGAGAAAAAATCACGTCGGGCGAGGATGGAGACGTCGACACATGCATCAGAGTGACAGAGTCTGATGGATTCTGAGAGTCTGGATCATGTCACAACTATTATGCTTAATGGAGTAAGAATCATGGTGAATGGTGGCTCGGGGCGCTTGTGAGCGACGTCGAAAAAAGTTGATGGTGATGGTTGTCACACTCTATCAGCGCTCAATTGCATCCGTGATTCTTGACTTATCCCCCTTCAAGCATCGATTGAATATTGAACGGTCAGTTGTGGCCTCGAAATGTTTGAATGATAGTGTTGTTCTAGCTTAAAAGCAAGCTTCCATCTGCGATTTCTTGTCATTTCAGTTCACTAAGCACTTGCCTTACGCTCTTTATCATGGCTGACAATGCTACTGGCGCCACTGCGCCAAAGACGCCTCCCCACATCGTAAACTCTGGGCCCAAGCTCGACTCCACCCCGCTTGCAGTTGGCTCTGCCGCTATCAGCGAGCATATTGGTGCTGTAGGCGTTGGGTACGTCCACTTTTCTTGTCGCTGTGGCCACCGTACTTTGATATTAAGCTTCATCCTTCACGCAGCGTCCAGGATGTTAGTCCATGGATCGCGCGCGACGTTGAAGGCTACAAGGAAGGTGCCGTCGATAAAATGTTAGAGGAACTCCTTTATCGCTGCGTAGACGACTCGAAACCACTTCCTGACAAGTCGACACTACTCGATGATTCCCTCAAGGCTGTCCTGCCCATCTGCAACGAGGGCGATGACGCTCGAATCATCAAGAACCACATGATTACTCTGTAAGTCAGATCTTCAAATCTTGTGAAAGGAGATTAGTTTAACGTCACTGTAAGTCTGGCCAGCAATACTGAGCTAGACATGTACCAGCCTTTTATCAAAGCTGCAAACTGTGCACTCCGCCGACTGAGCAAGCTGGACGCGCCTGGATTGGTTCCTTCGAAGGCAGAAGACGATTTCGAGAACATCATATTTCATCTAAACGACCCATCGTTAATCCACCAAACACACCAAGAAGAACAGTCCTCACGCAAGCCTGACGTCGTTATCGTCTCCAACGCGAGCGCTATGAAGGCGGGGAATTGTGAAGTAGAAGATATATACGAATCAGCGTTGAAGAAGCCCGTCAAGAAGTTTGAATGGAAGGAACTTCGAACGACGCTGGAGTTCAAACACACGAAGGCGAAGTCTGGACTTGCACTACCGCCTGTGACTTACGCAGCGAAGACGACTTACAATATCCCTGTAGCGAAGAAGTTTATGAAGTATCGGAGGGAAACGAACCGGTCCGCTGATGAGCCTGAGCCAGATGCGACACCTTTGCCTGCCAGCAGTGTTGCTACGGGTTCGTGCCAGACATCGAATGCGCGTGCTGCTGCTACGAGTTCGCGCCAGACATCAAATGCCGGTAAGTTGTTTAGCATGTCCAACTTACGCTTCCATACTAACGTGTGCGATGCAGCAGGACGTCCGAACCAGTCTGAGCGAGACAAGAAGCGTTCTTCTGCTGGTCTAGCTGACGGCGGCCGTAGCAGCAAAAAAGCTAGGAGGGAGCCGGCAAGACTTCATCCTGTCGTGCAGAATGGTTTGTACGCCGCGGAGATGTTTGCAGCTCATTTTGCACGGCAGAGCGTGATCTCATATGTGGTGGAGAGTAAGTTGATAAATTGCTGCAGATCCCCTATGACATTGATCGCTCATACTAGATGACATAATCTACACCTGGTACTTCGATCGGCAGGGCGCAATCCAATGCTCTGGTATCAACTTCGTCCAGGACCTTCCACGCTTCATGGTTTTGCTGCTTGCTATGCAGCGAATGTCATACGCAGAATGGGGCTACCACACGCTACCGGAGTTTGTGTCTTCGGGTGAGGTTCGGGTCGATGATAAAAAGATCGGAGTGGTCGACCTCAAATTCAATTTGACGTCTGACGAGCGCATCACTCACTTCGGTTTGCGCGGACGTGCAACCACCGTCTTCCCAGTGGAAAGTGTGGCGCTGTCGGCTCTGGTACCTCAACTCCCTCATTATAACCCTCGTAACCCTACCGACAAGCTCGTGGCCAAGCTCTATTGGCCAGAAGAGGAGCGCGAGAGTGAGGCTGACATACTCCAGAAGGTGTATGAGATAGCGAAGAAGGATGAAGAGGGGAAGGTCAAGTACCACGTCCCAGAGTTGGTCTGGTCCCAGGTGTTTGAAGATACATCCACGGCGAACATCAGGAGGGCGCTAGGAATTGATGATGCTGAAACAGGCAGGCGCGTCTTTTACATAATCGTATTCAGAGAGCTTCGCCCGATCACGAAGCTGAGCGGGGAGGATTTCCTCAGCGCATGGTGGCAAATCGTTATCTGTATGTGCTCTTCCTTCTATCTCCTGATTGTCCATTTACGCGTGCGACACCAGGTCATTACGCGCTCTGGGACAATGGTGTTCATCACCGCGACGTCAGCCCTAGCAATCTCATGGTATACAAAACCTCAGACGGTCGATGGATTGGCGTTCTTAATGACTTCGACTTATCATCGACTGGAGACACTCCCTCGGGCCAGGAGCGCACAGGGACGGTACCTTTCATGGCGCTCGACCTTCTCACAAAGGAAGCTATCAAGGGCCAGGTCAAGCATCTGTACCAACACGACGCCGAGTCATTCATATGGGTCCTGACCTGGGTCTGTATCTGTTATGAAGACGGTGTGTTCATCGGCAAGCGCACGGATCTTAATGACTGGCTGAGAGTGGATGCAATTGGATGCCACCAAGCAAAAAGTAGCTTTTTAATTTCAGGTCGTAAAACCATGACACCGTCGTCATCGCACGGAAATATCTGGAAGATGGCACGATCTTGCCTTCTGACTATCGCCCAGCATTATGTGCCGGAGCTGGTACCTACGGTGGAGGATCATGTCGTATTTCAGACATGGCTTCAGAAGAACATACTTGAGGCAAAGATATTGTCGCCGGCGCTCCTAGATGTTCGCTTGTAAATTATGTGGTCTGTAGTAGCCGGCAGCACCACAGATCATGCATACATTGAGACAATTCGTGTAATTAATACAAGAGCTTTGTAGAATCATGATGTACGTGCATGTCATCAATCCGGCATGTCATTTCTCGATCTGTTCCTAGTATACCGTCTGGTTAGCTACAGATGCACGCAGTACCACATACCAACTTTGACAGGTCTCAGTCGCTCGGGGTCATTGCTGTCTTCCGATCATCCCCGTCGCTTGGCGTTTGTATTGTTACAGGTTCATCGGGGCAGCGAAAGGTGTCTATATCGTTGCGCAAGTTGATGAACTAGTCTTGCATTGCATAGCACCTCACAAATACTCGATCTTAGCATTATCTATTTCAAACTTTGCGTATTAATATCACTCGACACCTGATGAATATTGGCATCTCATCCTACTACGCACTTTTGACAAAACCAGGAAGTACTGTACGGTGGCAGGAGAGTCATGAATATTTAGCTATGATGAAACAAACAAAAATACGAACGAAACACAGAAGCAAAAATTTCCCTTCCCTAATGGTGGCCGCCTGTGTTCTGGATAGGCATGCAGCAAAGCCAGCCCACAAAACGAGCGCGCCATCCAGCACCAATGATATGGGGACGCGAGGGTGTTCCCGTTACCCCGGCAGTACCAGCGACAGCGAAAATTGTCGAGGAAGTGGCAGTGGCAGTGGCAGCTGGGGGTGGTAGCGGTGATGACGTTGGTGTACTTTGTGCTGCTCCATTGGGTTGCTGCGTGGTATGAATATTAGAAGGTCGAGATGAGTTGGCAATGGGCTTCTTCTTTCTTGCGTGATAGTTCCTCTTGGGAAAGAGGATCAGCAATAAAGAACCGTGAAGGAGAAAAGACGCACAGGCTTTCCTGCTGTGTAAGGGACCTCGACCTCTTGCAACTGAATGTCTGATCCATCTCGCCTGCGAAGTATACCAGATACTAGGTTTTGATTCCAGCGAAGAGGGTGGGACCGAGATGCAGTATGGTGACCAGGTTCTCTCTGAGACTTCAAGTGCTGCCAGAATGAGTGAAAGCGATCGAAGGTGCGTTGATGTGGTGCTGAGGTGAGGTGGACATGCGGCCCATGGGATTGGGATAGACGGATGCGCGCCTAAGAACGTATTAGTTAAAGCATTGAATTGTATAGAGATCACATACATTAGCCTCTCGCAGGGCATCATCAAAAAATCCTGGAGGTATTCGAGGAGCACCTTGTAACTTCGGAGCTGGTTGCGGTGTAGCATCAAGCTGAGGGAGCCGTTGTCAGCGCCATTTGGGATAATAAAATGTATCTAAGCTTACAATATCTAACGGAATGCCAGCTTCTTTGACGATAGCGAAAACATCCCATCTGTATAGGTAGCCTTCGCAGCTAGTGATAAGGAACTTTCCATCTGCAGAAAAGGTAGGCTGAGCAGGGTACTCCAATTCTTCAGCATGATCTAGTATTTTGATAAGTTGATCGTTTTCGAGGTTCCATAAATATACTGTGTTGTCCAGGAGCAGTGGTGTACCTGCGAGGATGCGCTCATTGGGAGACAGTGAAATGGCATCCACTATGTTAAAACCAGGCGCCTCGATCAAATACCAAACGATACATTCTGTGAGGATTGATATATCAGCGTGAGGCCTTGATACCAATTGCAACAAATTCAATGACTAGTTTCTGCATCGCGCGCAGGCGTTCCTGGAATATCCTGCGTGGATGAACCAGCTCTTCGATGGTCTATCCCCTGTATCCTGAACCTCATCTGGTAGACGATTCAGGAAGCGTTTCGAAAACTTGTCTGACTAGCGCAAAATGCACGAGTCGATACACTTTTCTGTGAGGAAAAAAAATTGGTGCTAGGCAAATACGTCTCAAATTCAGTGGGCATACATGCGAGGCATGAGTCGGAAGGACAGACAAGAATCGGGACATATGCGCGGAAAATGCCGGAACGGCTTCTTATGCAGTTGCTCGATACGTCGCCGTATGACCCTCGATATCTGGTTTTTGCAAAGGTCTTGCAGGAAGTCGGCACAAGCATCAACGATTAGGGCGATAAAGGAAAGATGAAATCAGGAGTGGAGACGAGATAGAATGATTGTCCGCTCCTTCCTTCTTGTTTCATAGAAAGGAAAATTAGAGGGCCGTGTACCACTACGTTTGACAAAATCTGCTGATGCAGACGTAAAATGTTGTCATATGCAGGAGGCGAATCAGTGACGGACTTACTGCTATCGAAGACTTCAGACTTGGCAGTCATTGAGGCGAAGGATGTAGTAGAGCTTGGTATTCAAAAAATTGAGGCCTGCATCCAGCTGACGTTCCGCTAGAACAATTGAGGGAAGACACACAAGCTTGCTTGCTGCGCATGGTACCTCGACTACAGGTGGCTCTCGCAGCTCGATGTCTGATCTATCTCTCCTGCGCATCAGGCCAGAGGGGATGTTTCCAGTCCAGCTGAGAGGGTGGGATCTGTATTGGATGTCGGGCTCGTTTGTCCTATGTAGTATGTGGCTTGGAGTAGTGGCGTAAGAAGGTTGATATCGGTAAGCGACTAAGGAGGATGCATGGACTGCGTCGTGTAGAGGACTACAACATATCAATTAAATGCACTGTTCTATGAAGGAATGAGATCGCATACCCTAGCATCAACAGGACGTGGTACATTGTTGGGAAAAAAAACCGGGGAAATTTGGCACCTTGGAGCTTCAGCGATCTGGGAGGTTTCTTGCAGTCGATGTGGTGTAGCATCGACCTAGGGTATGGTCAGAAGCAATAAAGTTGTCAACATCCGGTTTGAATGCTAGTTTGTTAGCAGCAGTCTGTGATGCATGCACGAAGATCAGCGTCCGAAGAGACTACCTGGAGGATGAGCAAGGTCACTGTAAACGTGATGCCATTGAAGTAGAAATGTATCTAGAAGGCCAGCAGCCAGCTTCTTCGACAATAGCGGATCAATATCCCGTGTGTATAGGCAGTGGTTGTGTTCTAAGAGAGTCCGAGGAACGAGGACGAGCGTAGAATGTCGTCTATGCGGCGGATGTCGGGGCTCAGGTATTTTGCCGCACCACTAACGCATCATTACTGCCGCACCCGCACTAAATCAACACATTTCACTTTTAGTTTCGATAATCACTGTTGACGTGCACAATATAATTGGTTTACCGTCAAACTCATCAATTATGCGCCTCATGGTCATGCCTTTGAGAGTCTGAATCCCGAGAACAAGTTGAGTACTATGCTGCGGCACGGATGCGGTAGTGGGTGTGGTGGCTTCTTGACGGTCAGTCTTGATATCATTACTGTATGTACTGCATGAGACATTGACATTCAGACTGTCACTAGATCACCCTCCTTGTAACGGCCTGTCTCGCTTATGCGCCCTCTGGCTACTACTGGCACGTAGTACTCATTGCATGAGACACAATGCGGCATGCACCATACTCTTTCACACAGTCACTAATAACAATGTTCTTTCTTTGCAGATGCTAACATATTTTTGCATGAATGATGTTCAAGTTGTTGGCATGATACTGGTGTGATACCTGGCTTGACCTCCAACTAAGTTGTGATCTGTCCTTGATGGATATAGATGTCGACTTGGAGTGCCTTGGTATACTAGAACAACAAATGTTTGAGCTCTCATTGGCTGCAGGCACTGCAGGGAATGAACAATGGGTAAAAGATGCCAATGCTCACCAAGACTGATGGAATCCATATGAGGGCCTCCTGAGTACTGGAATCATGGTGATTGAGATCCATATGCACCCGAATTTGAAGGAGAAGTGGACATGAGTTGTTGTCATATTGTAGCATGGATTGCTCTGAAACACTTTACACAATAGTGTGGGCCAAACTTTAGTGAAGGAAGTGAGCCCGAAGTCATTTTTAAAAACGAGAGACAGACCCAAAAGCCGAAACCGCGGCCACGACCAAGGAAGGCACATAAGGTGTCTTAAGTTGACAGTAGTCCATAGAACTTGTGTACTGTGAAAGTAATGAGTCTTATCTAAAGGCCATATACCCATCACATACATACCTTAGACCCTAATATCCGTTCTCGCGGGGGCACAGAATCATGTTTGAGGCCCAAAGATGTGCTGTAGTGAAGTTGTCAAGGCATGTCACCAATGAAGACATATCTTGAACAATAGGAATTGAGGCGTTGAACTGTGTGAGGAGTTGTTTAGTAGTTGAACCAAGTTTCGCGTGAGGTGCTGCAAGTGTACTGCATAAGATGGGTGTGTTGGTGTGGGTGCGGTGCACAGCCACTGCCGCATCACTGCCGCATCACTACCGCATCACTACCACATCACTGCCGCACCCATCAAGTATACTATCACTGTTGTATCAGTGTAATTCTAACTCAAAAACATGCACTATGATATTTTTGCGTCAATAATCATATTCATGGCCTTTATGGACGACATAGACATATTATACAGGGATATAAGACACTATTAAGTAGGGTGTGGCAGGATGCGGTACGATGCGGCAAAATCCCAAGGCCCCTTTTTGGGACATCTCTTCTTCTTTTCATACTATGACTTGAGAAACTTCAGTACTCAACAACTTGTAGTCCTTAACACCCATTCTTTCGCTTTTCTTATACAAACACTCTCGTTAAAACACTACAATGCCTCGTTTAACAAGTGATCTGAATCTCAGTGTCTGTCCAAACTACGCAGATGAGAATTTCGCTAACACTAGACTCCAACTCACCAATGAGAACATGACTGAGGCTCAGGCTGTTACAATCCTTAGGAATATTTGGCAGACGCAAAACACTGCCGACAAAAACCAATGGCAAGCACAAGTAGAAGCAGACAGAGAACAGCAAGACAATCTGGAGAGACTCTGTGATGAAGAACAAGAGAGACAAGAACAGGAATGCCTTGACGAGGAAGAAGCTTCGCGGAAGGAAGACAAGAAAAAGAATAAGCATAAGTACTCTGCTATTCCTGAACTGGATGTCCCTATAAAACCAGTAATCCTTCCTTCCCCCTACGCTATCCGTAAGCTAGACAAAGGAGACTATGTCGAACTCTGGTACTTCACCAACGACAGACTAGACAACGCGAAACTCAAGAGCTCCGTCGATGAAGACACCATGATCATGGCCACCTTAGCGGGAGGTAGCACAGCTTGGGTATCAGCAGCTTCAACGCGGAACGCGACAGTTGTCATTGACGATGAAAATCTCACTTTCGAAAACTTTTGTCAAGCCTGCCCATGCATAATTGAGGCAATGCAAGAGACCTCATGGCCAGCAGATCGTGTTCGAATGATGGCTCTCTTTTGGTGAAACTTACAGGTCCATGATTTTCGTTTGGAGCGTGATGCCTTAGCGCAAAAGGCTCTACTTGTCTACCAAGCAGAACAGCGGAAATGTTGGCACATTGCTGTCAAGTTGGCTGGCGGCGCATATGATCTATCTCGAATCAACGAGACACTCTTAGTACACACTAGATCTAATGTCTACCTCGACAAGCGCAAGAGACTGGACAATCAGCATGATTATAGGGTCAGTCCTTTTTCCTTCAATAAAATAATTATACGCTAATCCCACATTTCTCATACTTCACTATCTGAACATCTCACCCAATACAACACTACAAAATTTTGATACATGCCACACGCTACACACCATACACTACACATTATACACTTCATGCCACATGCCACGCACTAACTGCCTCACATCCCGCGTCGCCTCACATTATGCCTCACTACACATTGTACCTGCTATCAGATGGACCAACAAATCAACGCACTCACAGCGAGTTCATCTTCCAACCAGCATCATAGAAAACAGGGACAACATTTGTCCATCACAAGACCATCGTCGTCGATCAGCATCCCCATGCCCAGGACATGATTATCATTGCCGCTCGGCATCTCCGGAGCCAAACAAACATTCTCGACAGGATTTTCAAGCGGCACAAATGGATGTCCCCTATCCGCTTGCGCCGTGTGCTTGGGAAGACACCTGCACAGAATCATCGAATGCAAAGCGTCCAAAACATGGGACGATTCTACAGACACTCTTTGCACCTGAGTCGGCAGAATACTCACCATGTGAGATGGCCATCCAATCTGCAGCGACTGGCAACAAGTTACGGGATGCAGCGACACCACACACGACCGTTGTCACTTTTGTTCTGGATGCGCCGCCTCCTCTCATGGAGCACAAGTCTGTGCTTGAGTGCAGAAAGCTTAAAGCCCTCACTCCCTATGACCCAGACACATGGGAAGCTTGTCTTATGAAAGCTGGTCTCATTGATAGATACTCTCATATTCCCGAAGGACTCCATCAAGGTTTTCTTCTTAATCTTCCTGTCATTACAAAAACCCAAATTCCGCCAAACAAAAATTCTATTCTTATATATACCAATGAGTTCCAGTCCATCATCAAATCCAAAATCCAAAAAGAAAGATACATTGGCCCATGTACGGCAGCCGAAATCGAGAGCTTTATCAGCCCCTTCCAATCATCGCCCTTATCAATCATTCCGAAACCAGGTCGATCAGGGTGATTTCGCGTCATACAATATTACTCATTTCCTCATGCACCTTCCTTCAAATTCCTAATCCATCCAGCAACGCGTGTATTGAGTCCGAATGATTTTCCCGTACCTGGGGAACATTCCACACGATTGCACTCATTATCAGCTGTCTACCTCCAGGATCACAAATGGCCACGAGAGATGTATGGGAAGCATATAGAACAATACCTCTGCACCACTCGCAGTGGCCAGCTGCAGTTGTTCGAGTCGCAGATGACCAATTCTGCATCGACACATGCATGTGCTTCGGAGTTTCCTCCCCTCAGCAGGAGTCTAACAGTTGTGTCGCAGATGCTGGACCTTTGACATTTTAGGTCCGAAGGGATTGGTCCTACATCACGATGGGTCGACGACCATTTATTTTTTCCGTATACGGAAAGAATTCCTCGAGACATATAATAGACAACTGGTTACAATGGCACATGACATCATCACAAGGGGCAACCATCAAGATGGAGGCCGAATATGGTTTTGGTGGTTACATCTTCGATGATGGAACTAT